CATTACCACACCGCGATTGCTCGATAGCGTCGTAGCGCAGTCGATGGAATCTCACCAGGAGAGCGCGATACACGGGCGACGGAACAACACGACTTCGGGGAGGCACCAAACCACGGAATAGCACAAATCGGCTAGAACACCGGCGATGGAAGGCCAACGGCCATGAAATACTATGTACGACGAAGCCGGTGCCTATGTAAGCGTTTGAGAACAGGGAATAGATATCAGCCGCGAAAGAGGTAGTACTAAAGAGCATGAACCCACAAGAGAGAGAGCGCTTAACCTCTAAGCAGCGTGTGCCAAGGGTGGGCAGGGAACTACGAAGCCAGGAAGAGCACGTAACAGCGCAGACCATTTAAGAACCTGATATCCAGCCTGTACTACGGGATAACCGAAACGTCCCAAACCACGATATTATGCGGGGCCGGATGAGACTCGGAAAGGTAAGTCGTGAAGTACACGAAGCTAAGATCTACTGGGTGAACGACGGACACAAAACACGCGACACCACGAAGCACTTAAAATTGTGGCCACCACATCTCCAACAAATCATGCCACTCCGCCGCGTAGAGGCGGCGAACGGCTAGTCCTAAAGTATCAAGGCTAGCATGGTGTCTGTCCGTCCGTCACACGAAACGCTCAGGTTTTTGAGCTTTATCATTGGCTGTCGAGCGGAGCAAAGGTGGCTCCAATTGGTTAAAACCGAATTATGTAGCTTACATCAGTAAATTCATGTGGTTCACAGAGCACATATGGAGATTTGCACAAGACTATCCATTATCCGATGGCGGCATCGTTTAAATACTACGAAGTTTTAATTTGTACTATTTTAATATGGGATGTTGCTATTAATATTTGAGTGCTTCTTATTCTCAAAAGAAATAGCCCCTAAAGAACTACAAGGTGCTTAACGTACACGTAGGAATGCGTGTTTTCGAGGCCATACTATAAATATACGTAGTACTATATTCTTAATAGTTTCTGCAAGAAGCAATGACTTAAAGAATAACTACAACTGTTTTTGTTGTAGAAATATTAAGAATATTCTGAATGTGAGGTAACCGACTGAGCTGCCAAACAGAAGTACATCTACAACAGAAGCTGGCCGTAAGAGCAACGCTGTGCTAATAAACGTTGTCGCTTGAGCCGCTAAGATAGATAGGTTTAGATTGAGCAAAACGAACTTATATGTGCTGATGACAATTACTACTGTAAGCGATATCCGAAGGCGGCATCGTTTTTATATTACGAAGTATTTGGGCCGTGTTCGATTTAAGCTAAAACCAGCTGTAATTGTTATTAAAGAGCTAAAATGTCTCAACCAGATTCCGCTAAGAAACACAAAAAATGACATCCAGCAGGATAGCTCCAAACGACTGGTTTCAAAATTCAGAATTTTGATTCGTCCTCCTTTGCGCCTTCAAGACCAGCCTTTTTCTGATGGAACACGATCACTTAATTGGAGCCCGTCGAAGCGTGGTGGCTGTTAAAAAAATTTTATCTTTATTTTTCTTAACAAAACGACTGTTCTACAGCTCTAGCTTATTTTCAAACAAGCTGGATTTGCCCCTGCAAACCGAACACGGCCTTACTTTTTTAATAATGCATGTTGCTTTAATATTTGAGTGCTAAAGAGAGAGAGCTACTTATTCTCAAATGAGGTAGCCCCTAAAGACGCTTCCTGCTGCAAGGTGCTTAGCGTGCACGTATGAATGCGTGTTTTGGAGGCCATACTATAATTTACGTATACTATGTACTTAATAGTTTATGCAATGTACTGTGCAATGACTTTAATAGCTACAACTGTTTTGTTGTAGATATATTATCTAATTATCTGAGAGTGAGGTAACTACTAAGCTGCCAAATCGTAGTACATGTACAACAAGAAGAGCTGGCCGTAACAGCTGGCCGTAAGAACAGCGCTGCTAATAAACGTTGTCACTTGATTCACAAAGATAGAAAGTTTTAGATTGAATAAAACGAGCTCACGTGTGATACTGCTGTAAGCCTAAGAATTGTTTAGACAGCAAAATCCGATGCAACTTAACTGGCGGACGTGTCACCGACATAGGCGAAGGATAAAGTTTTAAATGGAGCGGATAGACAACAGCACAACATGAGAGCTGGTTAATTAGACACCATAACAAAACGCTAAACTTAGGGTATAGTTGATAGTTAAACCATTTTGGTATCTTAATTAGCCTATCAAATAAAAAGAACGCTGCCGCAAGCGTCTTGCGACGCATTATCCTAATGTTTTACAGTAATCATAACTGACAGGTTCGACTGTACAATGACTTTTGAAAGCACAAAATGAAGGCTGCATGCATAAAAATATTACAATTCGAAAAATTTATAGCTTTTAGTGAGTTTTGTGTGAGAAGTTAGCACTTTTTAGTTACTTACAAGCTCAAATAGGCAGTACAAAAGAGTAAGAAGTGAGATCATTACTGTCCTTTGCATTGATGCGGGCTAAGTAAGTTTCACAGCGCCTCAGAACGGCCCATGATATCGAGCACGACGCCAAGCTAAATATATTCAATATCGTTTGTAGACATGCTATTTGAAGTGCTGGTGATTCTTGAGTTGGGCACATACTCGCCGTTAATGCCAGCACGACACGGCAAGCATGTGCCCGAGTCAACACGGACTGTATGATGCTCTCTAGGTAAACCTATCAAACTTCATGAAAATAGCGATGACTGACGAATGTCACGCCAGTACTTATGTAGTAGCCAACAATAATAAAGAGACTGTGTCAAGATCACCAGAATAATAATTTTTAAGCATAATAAGTGTGATGCTAGGGGCTCAGCATTTTGTAGAAATAATTGCACGGCTTACTGGGAGCTCAGCATTTTGTAGCGACTGGTCTAAATTAAACCCAGAATTAAGAAATTCATGGAATACATAGGGGTTCATATTTTTTGAAATAATTATCCCGCCGAAGCGAAGCGGAGGCGGCAAGGCCAAAGCAAGTAGAGCTAAACCTAAACTACCGCCGCTACGCGGCGGCGCTCGGCTAGTAAGTTATAATAATGGTAACTCCAAAATCGGTAAAATTAATACATAATTTATAGCCCCTGCACTGGAATCCAGCTGGGCCCCAGCCGGGATTATATTACAGAAAGTAGGAGAAACACACTTCATGTGTTTGGCATGTTCTGTCGAAATATTATCCACAACGTCGGACGTTACCTGTACGTCTCACAGCAGGATATCCTACTATTAGTACATGACATGTACTACATGTACAGTACAGTGCACCGGATGCACCATACATGTACATGATTTGCAAATAAATCAGATTTTAGCTTACAAGTTACTGTTCATTTAGATTCAGGATCATCATATTCCGAAGTTAATTGAAGGTCCAAGAGCGCGAAAACGGGGTGTGGTACTACTGTAGGATGTGCGGTCTGGATGATCCCGAGGCGTTGTTAAATTAACAGTGGGAAATTGGCCCAACTGTTTGTACTAACGCTATTCTCCCTGGGCATTATAGGTTTTACAGAACTTCGAAGAAACTTACATGCTACTACTTTTATTTTGGCACGTGTTGCTAGCACTTGTCAGATCAGTACTGTAGTAAAGGCAAGATAATTGCTCATCACCATTACCATCCAAAAATAAAGAGGACGGATGTCGTTGAATTTTTTAAGAATTGCTCCGCTGCGCGTCGTGATGGCAGTCGCTGCGCTTCTACGACAATAAGATTCTCTCATCAAGCTCGGTGCTGGACCCTCTTTTGCGGGCGCCCAAGGGGGTAGGATTTTTTTTTAATCGGGATGAATTCCCAGACCCAGAATGCAGTGCAGTAATACTGTCATTTTGTATTACTACACGTATTAATACATGTAGTCACTGGATGCTTTATGTACTGTTCTGTAAGTCGAAAAGAGCGGCTTTGATAATGTACAGTACGTTTTTGCTTCGTGCGGTTCAGACTGTACATACCGCACAGAGCAAAAAACGTACTACAGTCTTCACAACCACTGTACATGCAATCATTCCAGAATTTGCCCCGCGGGTATAATATCCCCCCCCCCCTCCGGAGAGCTTCCCAGTCAAGCATAGGATCCTACCGTACCCGCATACAATGAAGTTGTTGGCAGCGATTATCCTGCTTGCGAGCATGACGAGAGCTCTGTCCCTGGTGGCGGCCTCGATACAAGTGAAGCCTGTACCCATTGACATGATCCAGCTGAACGATGCAGATTCTACTGACGGCGGACGGTTTCTAAGAGGCTACCGATTTGATGATAAAAACAACAGAATATACACACACATCGCGATCAACGAAGACAGAGAATACCAGAGTACAGCGAATGTGGTCAGCTCAAAACTCGTCGCTAAGCTCCTTACAACATGGAAAACAATGACCGACAAGGACTTTCAGAATCTGCAGTTGTTTCTGAACAAGGAAACTACCTTAGAGAAGCTCTACAGAAAGGGAGCAACGCCATTTAAACTTTTTACCGGCATTAATCGCAATGGCATCCCCAATGAAGGTGCGATTCGTGCAAGGTGGGAGAAATATTTTGATTTCTGGGTAGCGAAGAAAAACGCAGCTCTTCCAAAATAATAAATGCACGCATTTTCGTTCCAGTACGCTGAGCATACGTTTCGCTCTGAATCGCGATTGTATGGACGCTGCATTTTCTCGTTGACGAATAAGAGTAGGAGCTGCGAGGCAACTCATTCTTTCTCTTTTACTACTAATGCCGCGCTGCCCTAGAAGCTCTGGATGTTATCGAAAGTATGCGCTTCCTCATTGTTGAAGGCATCCTCCAAGTCTCACTTAATAAACGGTCATTTCTGCTTTTAATACTAGTAGTAGTACTAAGATCAAATATGATACGTTCCTGTAGTAGTTAGCATCGCAAAAAATACTATGTAAAATCACATTTAGCTACCGATCCTATCTTTAATACCGGTACTTCTTTCGGTAGAATACAATTTTTCCGGTAATAGTCCCACAGCTGTGTACTTGATGAAAAATGCCTATTGATGGCCACTGCACAGAAGCCGCCGTCAGTGTGCTCTTCACGTGCCGCTACCGTATCTCTCCAGCGGCTCTACGACTTCGCCCTCGGGGATCTAGTCAATACGTGCTTTGTTACATTGACAGCAATCTTTGCGCTGTTTGTCGCGTCTCGCTGAGCTCTGCAGATGGCGCAAACCCCACTGACCATCGCAAAGTTGACGCATCTGTGACGCTAAGACGCGACTCGCGGGCTTTTAGTGGGCTACAGGAGTCTCTACTTGTTCGTAACGACGATGCGACTTCAAGCAACACGTTACAGGACCGTGAGCTGCTGTGGATATCTCGTGCAGCGGTACACACCGCTGCGGCCGTCACGCTAGAGCAGCTCCCATCACCAAACTCTCAATTGCTGCGCGACGGAGACACTCGCTCGTTGTTACAGCAAACACTGCAGCGGAACTTTGTCGTTTGTGCAGGTGCCAGAGTGAAGCTACCGACGTTGTCTGGTCTTGTGTCGGAGAGCAGAGGCGTGGAAAACCAGAAGCACGAACAAGTGATGATGTTTCGAGTTGTGTCCACTTATCCTGCTGCACCCTTCGTCCGGATCACATCTAGTACTCGTGTAACGCTGACGGAGCCGGGTAATACTGATGGAGAAGATGGGAGTTTAGTTCTAGACGCGGTTGGGACACGTCCAACTACACAGCAAGTCAAGGGAGTGACGATGGGGGGCATGGAGGACGAGCAAGCTGCTTTGCGAGAATTGATTTTACTGCCAGTAGCGCACCCGCGACTGCGCTCGGAGCTAGGTGTGGAGTTTCCAAAGGGTGTGTTGCTATGTGGACCTCCTGGTGTGGGTAAGACGCTGTTGGTGCGGTCGGTAGTGCACGAATGTCGTCAGGTCAAGGGGGCATCTGGAGCTACGCTAAATCTGAATCTACAGGTCATCAACGGATCTGAGATTATGACTAGCGGTCGTGGCGACGCTGAGCAGACTCTACGTGCCACATTTGAGACTGCGGTGGCACATGCTCGCAGTGCTCGTCACGCAGCCAGCGTCATCTTTATCGACGAGCTAGATGCGCTCTGTCCTAAGCGTGAAGCTGCAGGTGGAGGGGCCTCATCTTCACACAGCCGTATTGTTGCTCAGATGCTGACACTATTAGACGGTGTAGAGGGCGGTCTCTCGCGTGAAAATGTGGTTATCGCCGCTGCCACAAACCTCCCGAACTCAATCGACCCAGCGCTACGTCGTCCTGGACGATTTGATCGCGAGATCTTCGTAGCTCCCCCAAATACAGTATTGCGTAAGAAGATATTCAAGGTGCACCTCAGTAGAACACCCTACGCCCTCAGCCAGGGCTCGCCAGAGGAGGCTGAGCAAAAGCGCGATAATTTTCTCGACACATTAGCTGCGAAGGCTGTTGGCTACGTTGGTGCTGATATTGCTGCTTTATGTCGTGAAGCTGCTATGGTGGCATCGACGCGGCAACTTGTGGCTCTTTCTCGAGATCGTGACCTTGAACAATGGTGGGAAGACTGGAAACGCCGAGTGGAACCTCTCAGTGCTGTCCAAAACACAACGACAACACTTGGTGCCGCTGTCGCGGGACGAGCTTGGCATGCGAACCCAGCTGCCATTATTCCGTTGTGGTTCCTCGCCAAACACAATAGCAAACAAGATGGAGATAATACTGGAGATAGGGACTATCAACGACAGGCAGATCGGGAGTATTTCAGCTTTCTATTAGGCGGTGAAGGCCAACGTACCACAACTGCGCCTTGTCAGGAAAAGGATGAAAAGTTGCAAACCTTTGAGGTGACCATGGCAGACTTTGACCAAGCTATGCAGACCATCGTACCGTCAGCTCTTCGAAGTGCCAGTGGATTTACGTAAGTATTTGGTTCTCCTTTACATTTATTGTGCTGACAATGTTTTTAATATTATTTCAGTAAGGACTATGAGCGACAAGGATGGGATAGTATTGGTGGCCAGGCAGAGACTAAGCTCGCCTTGCAGCAGGCGCTCGAGTGGCCCATCAAGTATCCACAAACCTTCTCTCGTCTAGGTGTCCAGCCACCTCGCGGTGTCTTACTTTATGGCCCACCAGGATGTAGTAAGAGTTCTATTGTGCGTGCAGCGGCCCATTCAAGTGGAGCCACGTTCCTGTCACTGTCAGCCGCTCAGGTGTTCTCACCGTTCTTCGGCGATGCAGAAGCTGCTGTTCGTCAAGTTTTCCGTGACGCACGAGCAGCTCTTCCTGCCATTATCTTCTTCGACGAGATCGACGTGATGGTTGCCAAGCGAGAATTTGATGGATCTGGTGGCGGAGAGGGCGGAACTTCTACCGCTATGCGTGTGCTCTCCACGATGCTCAATGAAATGGATGGCGTCGAGTCCGCTGAAGGACTTTTGGTCATCGGTGCTACGAATCGTCCAGCTTGTATCGATGCAGCACTTATGCGACCTGGTCGGTTCGATCGCATCCTGTTTGTGGACCTTCCAGCTGAGCCTGATCGCGTCGAGATCTTGCGGATCCACTCGCGTCCGATGCATCTGAACGAAGATGTCAGTCTTGAAGCTTTGGCGAGGCGTACGCCATATTTCAGCGGAGCTGAACTTGAGGTAAGTTACAGCTTCATCTATTTGCTTGAACCAGTTCTATGTTTGCTAACTTGTTTGATTTATTGAAGAATTTGTGTCGTGAAGCTGCTCTACTCGCTCTTCGAGAGTCTCTGGATGCCGTGGAAGTGTGTATGCGCCACTTTGATGAAGCCTTACTTGGCATTACGCCTGTATCTTCCAAAAAGTCCATGCTAGACTACATTAAGTTCGCGGAAGCTATGGGTCATCTGTCATAGGGAAGTTATCTTCTTACAATAGAATAGATGCACTTTGAGAATGTTTTTCTTGTAACGTTTCAGTTAAAAAAATATGATTGCCTCCATTTTTGAAGATATTAATAGAAAACTTTAGATTCTGGAATAGCTCAGGCTTTGAAATAAGAATTTTCTTCGTCCAGAAATATATTCCAGTGGAATATCGATCGGTAATCTATCCGTCATTTATTCAGATTTTATCCAGCCTTACGTTATTCCAGAAACTAAAGCTCTAATACTGAACCGATTATTGGTGCCTAATCTTATGTACTCAGGTTCGAGAGTCTTTGGATGCTGAGAAAGTGTGCATGCGCCACTTTGAAGCTCTAATTGGCATATTCTACATGTATAGGGATCTATGCAAACTACATTGAATTGGCAGAAGCTATGGGTCATTGTCACAGAGCACGAGTTGACTTGTCAAACACAACAGATGCAATTGTGAATACTTTTCTGTGACGTGCCATTGTCGAGATCAATTTTACTGTCACCTAGAAGAGAATTTCGCCTCCGTCTGTGAAGCTGACCTTGTGCTGCAATGGGATGCCATCTCTCTCCGCGCCAGCCTGTTCCATCTTGTCCACGACCTCAAATCCCTCCACTACCTCTCCGAACACTACGTGTTTGCCGTTAAGATGAGGCGCAGCGTTCAGCATGAAGCAGAATTGACTGCCGTTAGTATTAGGCCCAGCATTGGCCATCTGCAGGATGTATCGCTTCGAATGCTTGAGTCTCAGTCCATTCGGCTCGTCGTCAAATCTGCCGCCATAAATGCTGCGACCTCCTGTTCCGGTGCCCGTCGTAAAGTCTCCACATTGTACGATAAAGTTCTTGAGAATGCGGTGGCATACACTGCCCTTAAATGCGTAGTCCGGACCCTTCTCGCCCGTGGTTAGCACTCGGAAATTCTCCACCGTTTTAGGTACGATGTCAGCGTATAACTCCGCCGTGACACGGCCCACGTACACGTCGTCGATGGCCACATCCAGCCACACATACTTGCGGTCAGATTTAGGCTCCCATGACCTCGTGGGTGCGGGGATTGCAGCCTTTTTATCAGCATTCACCCCCTCTCGTGCCATTTCGTCAGTGAATTCACGCGCTTGCTCGCCCGCCTGCTGCGTCAAATGCGGACTCTGTGCCGATAAGTCGAAGAATACGTTCACCACAACGAAGTAGGCTACAAAGATTAGCCCCATTCCCAGAAGAATCACCTTGCGCGCATCCGGCGCGCTGCCAGTTCGGGGAGCCATGGTGACGTGGTTGCACTGAACAGATCTTGTTTGCGATATGGATACAGTTAATCGGTTTGGACGGGGCTGATGTCAAAGCCATCTCCGGAATAAGAAGTTGGAGCAAGTTGCTTGTCATCAATCTGATACGGATAGAAGTCACTCGGAAGCCTCTTCCACGTGATGTCTCTTTCGTACTAGCGAGAGACTTTTAGTGTAGCTCATTCTCCGATTTCACACGCTACAGGAAGTAACTCCAATCGTGTGTGGAATATAACCTCACGCTATCGCTGGCGTCCTGAACAGCGGCACATTTTGAAAGTACGAAGCAGCGAAAGAAAATCGAGGATGGGTTACAGCATTCCGGACTCGCCACGCGGAAAGACTGACGCCGGTACACAGTTTGCGGAGCCAACGCTCCCGCCGTCGAGAATGGGGCTTCGTGAAGGTTTCCAACAGTCGATCGCTGCCCGTCGTCGGAACGCGATCGTGCCGGGCTCTTTGTCGTTCGACGCGATGGGATCTCCTCGCTCACCCTTCATCTTCCTGAGCCAGGAGAACCGCAGAGCTCTCGCTCAGCGTCAGGAACAAGAAGAGCAACAGTCAGGTCGGGAGGACGCACCCATTGTTGCAATGGTACGCCGTTGATAACGATATGAGAAGCGACAGTTGTAGCTGACATTTTGCGTGTGTCTTTTGCAGCCGTGAACGTCGGAACGTCCACATCTTCGTGAGACGTGGTGTCCAAGCGGGATTAACTGTTAACGGATTTCGATGAATTTGTAAATATATAGCTGCCATTTCAACCAACTTTGAGGAAATTGCTCTCATCAGTAAAGTGTTCTGCACCACCTTTCTTCGTACTGCACTTTAAAAATCATGGCGCGAAACGATAATTTAACTTTACCTCACTCCTCAAAATTAATTGTTTTTCATACAAACTTTTAATGCATTCTCAAAGCTTTCGAGCTGGTATTCAAATTTACGTACCCGACTCAATATTGTTGTGTCTACCACGCTTCCTCCAAATTGGGTATCAAGCGAGGAGCTCCCCTCCATACGACAAGCAAATGAACGGGGGATCGGGCGACTGGCACTCGGCGGCCGACCGCCTGGCGCTCTTCATGCAGCGCTACGCCGTGCCGAACGACAAGGTAGCAAGGCAGTTGGGCTGGGCTGATGAGCAGCTGCGTGCGTACCTGTCGCCCGAGTCACGGCGTGTCAAAGCGGCGTCCGACGTACGTCCGCCAACGTCAACATGGCACTTATTGGCAGAGAAGGAGGTTCTAACGCTGTGCAACGAACTATAGATTGCAGACACCGCGGTGGACAAGCTACTGATGAGGTATCGCGTTGCATTGGCGCATCAAACGCTTAAGAATGCGAAGACTAAGCCTCTCAAGCCTCTAGAAGGGAGTTGTAGGAGATCTACAGTACCCACACAGGTCAGAAAAGTGCTGAGTGTTTTTATAAGAACAGGAGGAAAAGAAATGAACGATTAATTGAGAGTTTTTGTGGCAGTTTGGACGCAATGTGGGGGACAGAAGAAGCATTATTCATGCAGACGCTACGCCTGCGCAATTGGTTCGTCTAGCTGTTGCTATTGAGAACAAATGTTGCAAGAGGCTGATACATCCTATGCAGAAGGCAGCAGCGAATGTGGAGCAGCCGTCTACGGGCAATCGGAAACGGAAACGGAAAGTCGTAATACATCCTCTGCATTCATCGAGTGCTAAGGTGAAGACTGCGGCGTCGAAGGAGGAAAATGCTAGCGATAACGCAGATACAGAGTCGACAACACATCAACTTGATGTACGGAAGCCGCTGCGACTGGCCAAACCCGAGCTTATCTGCCCTATTCGTCTCGATGTCGACTTGGATGGCGTTCACTTTCAAGATACTTTTCTCATCAACGCGTACGTTCGCCCTGAAGCCGTTTGTAGCGCAAGTTAAGCTAACATTCGCGTATTTATATCTTACAGCGTTTTGAATACGTGTTCACCGGAAGCTCTCGCTACTCAAATTGCCCAGGACGAAAGGATGAGCAATAAACTAAAGGTTCGTGTTCTTACCCTTGTACTTTTGACTGGTTTCGGCCTCGGAAATGCTAATATTTTCCTTTATTGTCGATAGGATGCAATCGCGGAGTCAATTCGAAGACAAATTTTGACTTTTACCTCATCTTGTATGACTGTCGACTACAAGAGCGAGCAGTTATTCCCAATTTACCTAGATCTCATCCTCGAGGGATTCTCCGTAAGTTATTGGTTGAGATAATAAGTATTGATTTATATTGATTTACTAATGTTGTCGATTTGTTGCAGCTGCGGGATCAATTCGAATGGGACATATCCAATGACTGCATCGCAACGCAGACGTTTGCCAGTACGCTGTGTGCAGACTTGAACCTGCCAAAAGCATTCGAGCCCGCTATCGTCTTTTCGATCTACGAGCAAGTTGCTGCTTATCGTATCGCACTAAACGGGCGAAAATGGATTGGCAAGGATTTAAAAGATAGCGGTCTCACACCACCAACTTCCAGTTCAGGATACATCGAAGTGATGCCACCGCTTGACGACGTCGTTCGTACCACTGATGACGCGAGTAAGTTTGTCTTGTGCATCTATGCGTTTTGAGTTCTAGAGCAGACATCTCACGGCTCCACTGCTTCTCTACAGAATTATGGCAGCCCGTACTGAGTGAACTGTCCAGAGAAGAAAAAACGTATTTATCTGCAAGATTCACGGCTGCTCGAGCGTACGTTCCACTTTTAATACTGAACTCGTATCTGTAGTCTTGGCTCTAATACATGACATACTTTGCAGACCTACCACCTGGAAGAGCACGCCGGTGGTCTCAGACACTAATGGCCGATCAAAGCGACCTTCCCGGCGACTATCAAAGGTTCGTTTGTAGCGTTTACATGTTCAGATTGGTTGCTACCAACTGACAACATTCAATTTGGTGCTTGTTATGCTCTCAGGAGAGTCGCCTTCCACGACCAATCAACCCATTCATCGTATACTGTCAGATGCAGAAGGAGGCATTGGGCAAGACTCGCCGCTCTGCGTCTGAAACGAGAAAGATTATGGGCGACATGTGGCGCAAATGCACCGAAGAGGTTGGTACCTTTCACTGCGGTGTTTTCTATTGACGTTTTGATCTAACAAGCGTGCGATTACCAGGAGAAAGAGTATTACTCGCAACTTACTGAGGTGGAGAACGAAAAGAGGCGTCGAGACCACATTCTCGATATGAGGGACCGCGCCATCGCTGACTGGGAAGAGGACGAAGCTCGTCGGAAAGGATTGTTGGCTTCCTCTACGTTGGAGGCGTCTGCAGAGCACTTCCGTGGTCTCTTGCTTGAAGTAAGTCGTGTGCATGTCCAACGTTTTAACTGAATATTGCTGATAACGTACTTATGTGTAACCAGAACTACATGAGCGAGCGACACGAAGTAGATTTGAATAGACAAGCGTTAGTGACCGAGACTGAGGAGGACGAGGAGGACAACGAAGTGGCCTAGAGGAAGCTACAGCAACTGCGCGAGTGACACCCACATCAAAAATGGAAAGCACAATAAGCGAGCAGACATAACATAAAGACTTGCAGCGCTCCTAGAGAGCCACCTGTTGTGCTGGATTCTACTTAGGTTGCTCGGCTACGGCACCTCCCATACCTTGAGCTCAGGTGTAGATCTCAATGCCTGTTACGTCCAGGATCTCAGCGCGCAGAAGCTCCATCAACTCGCCCTTGTCTCGTGTGTTCACCCAGTGTCCACTTTCAGCGTCGTACTCGTAACGGCGAGGGCCACTGCAACACCAGAAAAGAAGACAGCGTCAGTCGCTCATTTTTATAATAAATCACCACTTTGAACGTCGTACCTGACCGGAGACGACCACCAGATCTGTCGGTTGGGCACCTGGCGATTGATCACCCACGTGCCGTGCTCACCCAAGTCAATCTTCAGGACTCCTTGCTGTCCGGGCGCCCATACGGTGAGTCAGTCTATTGATCAATGCTACATCAAAGCTACGACATACCGAAAACATGATGTCGGACTCTTCAAGCATCTCCTCAATACCGTCCAGCCAGCTCTGAATGCCGTGCAGCGTCTCGTCCGCCAGCTCCATGAACTCGTTCTCCGCCATTTGCGAAGACGGTTCTAGAGAGTCCGTCGTCAAGTGCGCAGCTTGCAGGGAGCTGCGATGCGACATCGAAATTGCACCATTGGGTCTGCACAGAGACGGCAGAGTTGACAGAGTCTTGACACTCTGTGTAGCAGCAGTACGGCGGGACGCGCAGCGTAGCGAAGAGAGAGCAACACGACGCAGCATAGTGGTGGTTTTGGTGACGATTGTGAACTGATAGCTCACCGCACAATATGAGCCAATCGAAGGACGCACAGTCAAGCTTTTGACCAATTATGCTGTGATTTTAGAACACCTAGCTTTGTCAAAAAGCGTGGTAAATTCATATCCATTTTCCCAAGATGGCCAAGAAGCGTCGTCATGTAGCCGCGCCACACCGAGCGACAGCCACAGCAAGCCGAGAGGTATCGGTCGACCATGAGGCAATGAAGAAGTCTCTGGAGTCATTTGGGGCCAATTATGACCAATTAAGAAGCGAAGTGACGGGAATCTCGGCCAGTTTGGAGCGCACGCTCCTGTTGCAGAGTCTTGTGGCACTCGTCCTGCAAAATGTACTCATGGTTGTCCAGGTATTCGTCCTTCACTTCATTGCAGTCGCGCTGTACATAATTCTAACAATTATCGCAGAGCGTGTCAACTACGCAGATCGCGGTGGCAGTTGGAACTGCCGTCTGGATGACTAGGGAACGTTTCGTGGAGATGTTCTTGCCTCCTGTTTCCCTTCGAGTCGGCAGTGGCCGAGAAGTCCTTTTGAGAAGTTTAATCCTTGTGTTGGCTATAGTCGGACTGGGAGCTGTATTTTATCGAGTGGAGATCCCACCAAGCGTCGTGCATCTCGTGGCTTTCGCTGCAGTGTAGGTTGTCCCGCATGGCGGCAGCTATTTGAGACTCACCATGTGATGCTGGCTGCAGTTTTTTGCTGGATCTTGTATCAATATATCTTAGTAAAGCAGCTAGAGGCCGACTTGCGCGCCCACAAATCCTTTTGGCAGCCGTTGAAGTCACGCACTTGGTCGCTGGCCTTTCAATTTCTCTCAATTACGTAAGGAAATCGTGTTGGAAGAACCTATCAGTAGAGCAATCTGACCTAATGGACATGCTGTATGCGCAGAAGCAAGGGTGGATATACGATGAAATGGCCTTCGCACTCACGGCAGCTACAGCTTTCGTGCACGTTGTTGTACTGCTCACGGCGAAGTATATTGTACTCTATTGCTTTGGCGATATGAACGGTGCCTTTATGGAGACAAAGCAACGCGGAGCAAAGTTAATGGAGAGAGTATGGATCGATATCGACCGCTTCGAACCTGAACAGCTTCTCGTGGGAGCCTCAAAGGTTCGTCAGCAACTACCTCACCGTCTGAATACCAAAAACTTACTAACGATGTGCTGGTACGTTCTCAGAAAAAGAAAGCTAAGAATAAGTCTCGTACAAGCTCTTCCAAGACCGTCAGCGTCACTGCTGGCAATGACAAAAGCGCGCTTCCAAAGAAGCAGTCGGTATTCAAAGAGCCTCGTGTGCAGCTTGCTGTGTTGACACTGGTGCAGATATTGCTTCTGCTTTCTCAACTCGTGCTCTCTGTATATGTCCTGCATTCGTGGGAGATGATAAGGTACGCTATCAGGTGCGCATATTATATGGACTTTTCAGAGTGTAAACTGACTTACGTTTATTTGTGAGCAGCGTGCTGATGCTTAGTAGCTCCCACGTGCTCTGGACACTCGGTCAAGTGCGGCGAAAAGTGCTTTCACGCAAGACAATTACATCGGCAGACCAGAAACTATAAAGCGAATAGATAATTACAGCTGCTCGTCTCCTTCTACTTAACTTCTTCTTCGTAAGTTTTTTTTATATTTTCAGTAGAAGCAGCTGGAGGCGGTTCGAGTCTTCTGCTCTGCTTCCTTCGCAGTGGCGCAACAGTCGTAATATCGCTTGATGACATCCGCGCACTTGCTCTCCTGGTAACCGCGACGCTGCAGACAAAACTGGATGGCGCATGCCTGCTTCTTACACACGCGCTCGCACAGCTCCTTCTCGGCCATAATCCCTCGAAAATGACGCAATAAGGGTGAAACTTTCCCCGAACACGTTGTACTACTACAGTAGTAGTACTACAGTACTACACTTCGAAGTACTTAATAACACAAACAGGCTCAGTAAACGCTCCGGTAAATTATGAGGATCGATAAATGCATGACTGCCGGTCTCCACGTCAAGAGGCTAGAAGCAGTCGAAACTCTTTCATAGCTACACAGTGCAGTAACGCGTGCGTCACTTCGTTTGGCTATGGTGAGTGACGTCTGCTATCGACCTCTTGATCATAAGCTGAGGAAGAAAATATCTCCTTAGACAGTGGTGTCCTCCTCCGTGACCGTCTTGGCCTTGGCTGCCGGAGTTTCCTCGGGTGGGGTGTAGTCGGGAACGCCGCGCGTGAAAGAGGGGTGCTTCATGATGACAAAGTAGTTGAAGTACGCATTGGAGAAGCCCGCGAGCGACACGAGGATGCCGTAGACGCCACACATGCCGAACGGAAAGATAGAGATCCTGTAGCAGCCATTACCATCAGTACAGTACAAACTACCTCATCTATACGTTTCAACGAACATGCTCAGGAAGAGGCATCGACCCCAGGGGCTGTACATGAAGCCGAAGCTGCCACGAAGAATCTTGTCGATGTAGGCTGTGCGTAGCTCGTATCCCACCAAAATCAACGCGAAAAAGCTGTAGCCAACAACAAATAGAGTGAGATACCTTCGCTATAATGCCATAATTCACATAATAACACTGCCGTACATGGTGTAGATGACTGAGAGCGCGTCTGCCATGACGGAGAAGGCCGAGTCTGACTGAATGATTTGTCCCACGGCCAGTCCGACCATGCAGCCGGCCATCGCCAGGTTCACAATACGCATGGCAGACAACACGCCAGATACTGACGAGCCTAGGATGCTGCACCAGCATGAAATGTTAAGACGGCGTGAAATGAACCAAAATCACAGTCTGAAGACGCACATTTCCCGGGTCTTGGCCTTGATCTCTATCCACACTTCGCTGATGGAGATGGCGTCCGCCGTGTTGGTCACTTTGTTGGCGGCTGATGGCGGCGGAGGCGGCAACTTGAGGTCATCAGGGTTCAGCGGCGGCAGCTTTCCATACGTTGTGCTGCAATGGATAATAGAGAAGGTTAGCTAAAATACGGTCCTTCTGTCATGTTAGCCGGCAACGTACTCCGTGCCCAGGGGTCCAGCGTTGAGCACAGTGCCTCCCAACACGGAGGCGTTGACTTCGGTGGTCATCCTGCGAATGCTTTCTCTCTGTGTGAACGCTCACACTCGCGGCTCGGATGTCTAGGCTGGTGAGCTTTACCGCAAGCTTTTGGCTGCCAGTTTGACTCGGCGTTTGTAAGGCACCGGCTTTTCCGGGGGATAGGTAGCAAATCGCAAATATTGCAACTATTGAGAGTTTTGATTCAATTCGACTTAAGAAGTTAAACTTGTTTTAAACTTCAAGTTTTTTTTTTTTAGCCTGAAGTTCAAAACAGGTTTAATCTCTAACTACGGTAGTACTTTGAGGCATGTACAGTATTACTATCGTCATTACCGGTACTGTAATAAATACTTCTTGACGAGGCACGAAAGCAACAAATTATTCTTGGCAATTGTGTGAGTCGCACGAAAGTGAGGAGCAACATTTGCTTGCGTGGCTTAACATTAGATAATAAGTTAGGTGTGCTCGGAGGCTGTTACTGACAACTGATCTCGGGCATGTCCATTGACGACATTGACGCTGTGGATGCCGTTGACACGCCACTGCACTCGCTCATACTTCTGCTCTTGCGCGGAGAGCTGGCAACCTCCTTTGCGAGAGCTAGGTGGTTCCTCCGTTTGAGCTCCTCCACACGGCCCTTCATGGTCTCAACCTGACCTAGCCACCGCTCGTCCTTTTCGAAATCTAGCAACCGGGACGACGAGTTTTCAATCCTGGTCACGAAAGCGGCGTAGCTCGTGCCTGGGGCACGAATGCGAGCCGAGACAGGTGTTGGTGGGGGCTGACTAAAGACAATCGAGTTGGTGGAAGACGAGCAGCTCCGCTGTGCCAACGCGGGCTTGCGCACCGAGCAGGCAGCGAGGTGGAACTCGCGAGATTTCGGCGGTAGAATTTTGCTCATGGGGAGCGAGAAATCCCGCACGAGCCTAGGTGGCGACGACACTGGCGCTGGTGGCACCTCAATTGTGTCCTGATTACTGGGCTCATGCTCGTAAACCTTTTCCTCTTCCAGGTCCTCCTCGGCCTGCTCCTCCTGTCCCGGTTCCTCTTGCTGACACTCCTCTTGCTCCTCCTGCCCAACTTCCTTTTGCTGCGACTCAGCCTCGCTCATGGCAGGCTGGTCCCGTACTACATCTAGTCGCACGATCTTGGTCGGCAGGATGATCGGAGTTTCCTCAATCACCGCCAGAGCGTCGTAGTATGTAACCAGACCGTGGACGTTGCCGCGTTCCCGAGACTCAAGCTCGTGGGCGGGCGCATCGGCACCTGTGGAATCTGCCATGCTTTCAAACATCTTTACGATGCTGCGCACTGTCATGCTGGTGTCTCGACACTTAACTGTACTTTCGAGTTATCTGTGACTGCAAACTCTGAATGGCGACGGAGAAAACTGCGCTTGAAGAACTTCCGACGCGGCTCACAACAAGGCGATGAGGGATCCGCGTGCTACGCTGGAGACAAGTGAGTCGGTGGCTGGAATGGCGCGCTTTTAAGTTTGAGCGCCAAGGTCTCCGTGGTGCTCAACAGAAGATCGGATTGGTCAAAAATAAAAACAGTGGGATTCTACTGGCTCGCAGAGCCGGTTTTATTTAGCTTGGTCGGAGCAAATGAGTCTCACTGTAAAGGATAAGACCACGAGGACGAGAGAGCACTCACTGGTCAAGCGGTGCAATTTATAGCAAACGGCTTGGCGAGCATGCAAGTTGCCGCCAGCACCTTGCGAGACTTCAGTCAAATCATCATCTTGCACTCTTCTGTCGAGCCAGTCCCATCTGCCATCGCAGCACCAAGCTGGTTGTCAAACAGACGACAGAAGTGACACACCAAATCTTACGCCAATGTGGTGTGGTGACCTCTAAAAACGTTTTGTATGATAAGCTAGAAATCTCTTGAAAAATAACTGATTCCCTGGCCAAATTCAGTTTGTATCCTCCCCATGGATCTAGAGATCGGCGCCCGCGTGGCATTCGGCGCCGGCAAGAGTGGGGTCGTGCGCTTCATCGGCGAGACGGAATTCGCCAGCGGTGAGTGGGTAGGTATCGAGCTAGAGCGACCCGAGGGAAAGAACAACGGCGAGCTCAATGGCCGCGTCTACTTCACATGCGCGCCCAACCATGGCGTCTTTGTCAAGAAGTCGATGGTTCGAACGGTTTTATCGTCCGCGTCGTCCACTGCCAAGGCGCCACTAAGTCGACGTCTCTCAGGCGTGGGCAGCAGTCGCTTGTCGGGCATTGGGACGTCGTCATCAACCGCAGCGCCGTCCAGTTCGACGCCTAGCAGCTCAGCGAGTTCCAGACTATCAGCACCTAAGCCACGGGCGTCGATGATCACACCGAGCAGTAGATCTAGTATTCCTGCAGCCTCAGCAGCCAGACCGAGGCTCTCGCTTGACAGACGGCCGTCTTCAGGTGCCGCTACGTCCAGTAGTTCGGACGACCAGCTGACTGAGGCGAGAGTGAGGATCTCCAAGCTGGAGGAAGAGCTGGAGCAGAAGAACCGGCACGTAGAACAACTGAGACAGAGTGTAGCTGTCATGAAGGAGGCAGCGACTGCGAACAGCGAGAAGATCAAGTTACTCGAGGAACAGGGACAGGAACAGGTCGAGAAGATGGAGCAGCAGGGGCAGGTGGATGCCGACGGAGACGAGAAGATGGACGTGGACGAGGAGCAGTCCAGTTTGTCGCCTCAGGAGGAACTAGTGCTACAGATTGAGATTGTCCGAGAAGAAGCAGACGAACATGTGCGTTCGGTACGTGCCGAGCTGGAAGATCACATCACCGAGCTCCAAGGAGAGCACGAGGAGCAGCTGGACGAACTGCGGCTTGAGAACGCTACTCAGGCGTCCGAGATCAAGGCTCTAGAGGCAGAAGTGGCGCAGCAGAAGATGCGCATTGCGGCGTTTACGGCAGCTGAGCAGAAGAAGGCGGAGGAGGTGGCGATGGCTGTGGCCAAATCGAGTTCTGGTGCTCGTAAAGTGGAGACGCTGGAGAAACAGGTCGCTGAGCTCCAGGATATGATTGAGATGATGACGCTGGAGAAGGAGACCGTCGAGATGGATAAGGAGATCGCGGAGGAGCATGCTGAGGAGCTGCAACAAGAAGTGGAGAAGCTCAAGGCTGCGATGGCGCTGTCAGCAACAACAGGACCGGACTATTCGGAGGGATCTGCGAGTGGCGGAGACTTGGCAGAGGAGAACAACAAACTCCGAGCTGCTGTCAAGATGCTACACGAGCGTGCGTCCGAGGAGAAGGCGGAACTGAGCAAGAAACTGCGCCAGGCTCAACGTGAGAACGCTGAGCTTGTGTCGTTGAGGGAGGAGGTGGAAGAACTGGTACGTGATAAGTGTTAAGTGTGTGTTGGAGAGGGTTATTGACACCATATTGTGTGTGTAGAGCTCGAAGAAGCACACGCTGGAAGTCGAAGCTGAGGAGCTGAAGGAGATGCTGGACGTTGCCAACGCGTACGAGTCGATGGTGGAGGATCTTACTGAAAAGAATCTGAATCTGGGCGAGAAACTGGCAGAGCTGGAGACCACGGTGCAGTCGCTCGAGTCGCTGCGAGAGGTGGACCAGGAGATGGAGCATCAGCACACTGAGTATGAAGCAGAGCTACGCGATGAAATCGACTCGCAACGTGTCACTTTGCAGGAGCTGAAGCAGGCGGCACTGGACCAGAAGACTGTTCTGGAAGACAAGGAGCGCACGATCGCTCGGTTCCGTGACCTGGCACACAGTCACCGTGAAGAAATTGCCCAATTGAAGGCGAAGCTCCGAGCAGAGAGTGGCGCGGTGGAGTCTCTGAAGGACACGGCACACTTGGCACTGAACCAGACGATGGGACTGCGTGCGTTGGTCGCAGCTGCACGCGAACACGAGACCGAAGCTGCCAGACAGAGGATTATCTCGGAGCAGGCGAGACTGGAGAACTCCTTCTTACGTGCTGTGGTGCCCAACTCGATCTTCTCTGAGACGGACCAGAAGGTTCTTCGTGTCCGATTGACACTGGGACGCATCGCCGGCAAGTCGGACATTTTGGTGCAGCACCTGAAGAAGGACCTGGACACGGTGGCGCAGCAGCCAATTGCCAGTGGTCAGACCGAAGACGAGAAGGACGAGGGGGCTTCTATTCAAGCCGTGAGTGTGGAGCAGCTGGTATTGGGAGACAAACTAGCAGCGGTCTCGTGTCAAGCGAAGGAGGATCTCTTCATGCTCGAGTGCCACTTGACTACAGAGGACGAGTTTACGCAGGGCTGTTCAGCACTCGACACTTCTCAAACGTCTGCGTTGGAGAGTGTACTGGACTTGGCGTTGTCAGCGTTCTCGGAGGGAGCTTTACTTTATGGCCCTCGAGGAGGCGACGTCGCGTCGTTGTATGACCGGTTGGTCCAGACGTCGGAGGATTGGCACACGGGACGGATCGCCCAAGCTGCTTGTGCTCCAGGAGCTGAAGGTTTTGGGGCTCGGTCTGCTGTTGTCAAGTTGCGTACGAGAAAGAATGTAGCCAAGTTGGCATTCTCCATTTCGTCGATGGTGACGTTCCTGCGGACTACCAAGAGCTTCATTGCGAGCTCGGAGATGCCGGATGACGACCACACTGCCGCGTTACGTGCAGAGCTGGCTCCAGTGCTGGATAAATGTCTAGGAGAGCTGTTGTCGGTGCTGAATGTGGCTCAGCTGTTCTACCGTCGTGCTGAGATCGATTTGGCTGCTTCAGACGATGACCTGGACGGTCTGGTGGCTGCCGGCGGTGAGGTTGTGTCCTCTATCCAGAGTTATGCGGCAGAGGCTCAGTCATTGGCGTCTGCATTGCAAGCTCAGCTCGGTCACGATGGTCTTGTGGAGCACACGAAGCCGACAGAAGAGCTGGTGCAGTTCGCGCAACAGGCGGTGTACGACCACGCTGTGGCATTCAAGGAGAAGGTCGCGTTGCTGTACAAACTGGTATGTCGCGGAGCCTTCACTGATGCCGTAGCGCCTCGTACGCGCAACGAGAACCCTGATGGAGCCAATGGTCGTCCGCAGTGGCGTATCCGTGCTCAGGCGATCCATCAAGAGTTGGTGGATGCGTCGACGCTGCGTAGTAACTTGGCGGAGATGACGGAGCTGTGCAATGCGCTGCATCAACGTATCCGTGAGTTCGAACGTGCCGATAGTCAACACCGCGTGGTCGCTCAGAAGCTCGAGAGTCAAGTGCTGCAGCTGACGGAGAGCGTGGCTGCCATGACGAGTGAAAAGACGCAGCTGGAGACGCAACTTGCCAAGGAGCGTGAACAATTCGACGTGGCGCTGGACGAGTCCAACAAGGAGAAGACGTTGCTCAACTCGCTGAATCGGGATCTCCGAAAGCAATTGAAGCGTACAAGCGATGCTGGTAGCAGCGTCAAGAGCGGTAACACCGGTACGGGTGCCAAGGGCTCAGCCATGGGCGCAGCAGATGCCGACGCTTTCCGTCGCGCCTTCCATCAACTGCACACGGAGCTGCACACGGTGCGCTCTACACTCGCAAAGGAGCGATTGGAGAAGCTTCTCGGGTCGAATGCTGGGCTCAACCCGCGCCAATCGACGTCAAAGCCGTCCGATCGATTGGCGAACTCCCTAAAGGAGGTGGCGACGTTCTCGAGACAGGTAAAGGCCCAACTGTCGATGCCTCGGTTGGTGGATCTGAAGCGTGCTGCTTCTTCGACGGGGGCGACTGCACACGCGCAACTCGTGACTGAGAAGCTGCAGCAGTCGCGTGCGCAGAGACAGTTGACATCACTTCGTGAACGTGTCGGGGCGGCCATGCAAGAGGACGGCTGGGGTCAGGACGTCACGAACGCTATTACTAAAGGTGAGAGTGTGTTCGGCTGGCAACCGCCAGAGATGGAGAGGCCCCCTGTACTTCTAGGGCGTGTGAAGTTCGGCAACAGCTCCACGACCGCCTCGCAGTCCGTGCAGCTCGTGTTCAACCGAGCCGAGGTGAAGCATCTATCCCAAGCTTTGGTGTGCTAAGTGAGTCTCCACAGGGAGACGATGGTAGGAAGCCAGCAGCGAGCCACGCGTATATGAGTTGAATTGAAAGACACTTGATCAAGAGCTGGGTATTACAACGTTTAAATTGTGGCAGTTTGCATCACCAGTCGTAGGGTGAGTACCACAATCTTTTAGGACATGGGCGTCGGATCTTCGAGTCGTCGCTGGGATGGCAGCACTGTGTCCTCGCAGAAGGGCAAGGTGGCTATCGTGACAGGCAACTCCGGCATCGGCTTCGAAACGGCTAAAGCTTTGGCCTTGCGTGGAGCCCACGTGGTACTCGCCTGTCGGAGCGACGTTCGTGGTTGTCAAGCTGAGGAATCGATTCGGAAGACGCTGAATAAAGAGGTCGGTGATGGCGTCGGTGGAGTGGAGCTCATGCTGCTGGACCTGGCCGAAGTCGACAGCATTAGCGAGTTTGCAAGGGCCTTTCGAGCCAAGTTCGACCGTCTCGATCTGCTTATCAACAATGCTGGAGTTGCCTGCCCACCAGTGCGACACAACTCCAAGGGCTTAGAATGCACCTTTGCCATTAATCATCTTGGCCACTTCTACTTGACGAGTTTGTTGTGGAATCTGCTACGTCAGAGTACGATACAAGCTCGAGTGGTGAATGTGTCGAGTGGACTGCATCGTGCTGCCAAGTTGGACTTTGCCATGATGGGTCACACGCCAGGCAACAGCATGCGTGACTACGCCGAGTCCAAAATGGCCAATGTGTTATTCACGTATGAGCTGCAGCGACGGCTACGGGATGCCGGCATTTACAATGTGTTGTCGGTGGTGGTGCACCCTGGCGTTTGCCACACGGAGATCTGGAACAAGTACATCCGAACCAAGCTTGCGAGATGGCCGTTCCTGCAGTGGTTGGCAATGTGGGCCGTGTGGTTGTTGCCGTTTCTGCCTCAGAAGATCGGAGCGCTCCCGACGTTGTACGCAGCGACGGTGGATAGCGTACGTGGTGGCGAAATGTACGCACCCGACGGGCTAATGACCTTGAGAGGTTACCCAGCGTTGGATACGTCACACCCGGCCAGCCGCTCGCATGACAATGCCAAGAAGCTCTGGACGCTTAGTGAAGACCTGCTCGACGCTCAGTTTGACGTGCAGTGAGGAACAAATAACGAATAGAAATTACACCGACCCAGTAGTCTGCATTCCGCTTGACTTCAACATCGCAGTATCGAATGCATCGGCTCGCAAAGGATCTGCCAAGATTCGCTGACCTATTTTGCAAAGACGCGTCGCATGAAATGTCAAAAGCGAGCAGATCTCTACAGTAGAGTGTTTATCGAGAAGCATGGGTGCTGCTGCCACTTCCGAGAGAAACTGGGATGGCTCGACGATGCCATCTCAGAAGGACAAGCTAGCGATCGTCACAGGCGCCAACTCCGGTATCGGCTTCGGCGGCCAAGGCGTTGGCCGCGCGCGGAGCGCACGTGATCATCGCTTGCCGTAATGAAGGGCGTGGACGACGCGCCGAGGACCTGATCCGCCAAGGACTGTCCGAGCTGCCCGTAATCGATGTCGGGTCTGTGGAGTTTATGCTGGTGGATATCGGAGACCCGGCCAGTGTTCGCAATTTCGCGCGTGCGTTCCACGAGAGATTCGACCACCTTGATCTGCTGATCAACAACGCCGGCGTGTCCGTACCCGCCGAACGCTACACACGAGGAGGCCTGGAAGCTCACTTTGCCATTAACCATTTGGGGCACTTCTACTTGACGAGCTTACTGATGGACTTGCTGCGCCGCTCAAAGGACCAAGCCCGTGTGGTCAATGTCAGCAGTCTCGCGCACTACTTCGCCTGGATGTACCTGGACTTCTCGACTCTGGGGCACACGCGCGGCAGTCTTCGCGACTACTTGACGACCAAGATGGCCAACTTGCTCTTCACCTATGAGCTACAACGTCGTCTACAATCCGCACAGGTGGAGAACGTGGTGGCCGTGGCGGCTCACCCGGGCTTGACACACACCGACATCTGGAACCGCTACTACCGCAGCACGTTCCCAAGCTGGCTGGCCGAGATCTTCGTATGGCTCGTATCGTGGTTACCCTTTATGACGTCGCAAATGGGCGCTCTTCCCATTCTGTACGCTGCGACAGTGAAGAACGTCAAAGGAGGAGAGTACTACGGACCCGACGGGTTCCTGCACATACGAGGGTACCCTGTCCTGGAGGCTGGCGCCAAGTCAAGCCACTCACTGGAAGATGCCAACAATCTCTGGAAATTGAGCGAGGACACGCTGAGCGAAAAGTTTAAGATCTGAAACAGAAAGCTTTGCGTGAAAAGTATTGATGAAATTGCAGTTTCACAAATAATAAAGTACTGATTCAAGATTATTAAGTGCTCCAGTTTCAATTTCAGCCAATCCTTGATTCGCATTGCGAATTCACCGCCATCCAGTGAAGATAAAGGAGACATCTCTTCCAACCATGAAGGTCAAGACGATCTCCCGCGTCGAGAAGGACTTTACACAAGAGGTGCAATCGGACAAGCTCAAGGTCTTTCGCAACTACGACCCGGCGCTGCACCCGTTCGAGCGACCGCGCGAGTACACTCGAGCATTGAACGCTGTGAAGCTCGAGAGACTTTTTGCCAAGCCCTTCGTTGGAGCTCTAGACGGCCACTGCGATGGCGTAACAGCGTTGGCAACAAACCCTAAGAGTCTAGTGGCATTTGTCAGTGGGGCAGCCGATGGTGAAGTGCGCGTGTGGGATCTTCCTCGTCGAAAATGCGTCTGGAACGTATACGGCCACCGCGGCTTCGTGCGTGGGCTGGCAGTGACCCCAGACGGCAACACTTTTTACTCGTGCAGTGAGGACAAGACGGTGAAGCAGTGGGCGTTGCGTGTGAAGGAAGAAGACGAAGACGTCCCTACTGCGCTGGCCACCTTTACGTCCAAGGAACCCTTCCTGTACGTGCCCTAGCGAGAGATTCGAATGACTCCAGTGCTGAGGTGATGACGTGCGTGTGATTTTTTGTGCTTTCTGTTGCTGCAGTGGCATTGACCATCATTGGTCTCAGAACATGTTCGCGACATGCGGCTCCAAGGTGCAGGTGTGGGATCCGTCGCGCTCGACGCCAACACACGAGTTTGCGTGGGGTGCCGACTCGATCAACTCGGTGCATTTCAACCCGGCCGAGGCGTCGCTACTGGCATCCACAGGCTCAGATCGCAACATTACGCTGTACGACATCCGTGTGGCGTCTTCGATGCGTAAAATCGTCATGGAAATGCGGTCCAATGCGCTGGCATGGAACCCCATGGAGCCCATGAACTTCACAGTCGTAAGTCTCTTTTGAATCTGATGGCTTCACTCCAGGCTCTTCTGCTTGTGCTAATGAACCGGCCGTTGGACTTGCGTCATTTTGGTGGTGCATTTCTAGGCCAACGAGGATCACAACTTGTACACTTTCGACATGCGCAAGATGGACCGCGCCATGATGGTGCACAAGGACCACGTCTCGGCAGTGTGCGTCACTTTGAGTCAGGTTTTGCCACAGTGGCCAAGTGGATTTTGGCGTCTAACGAGTGTCGTGCTTGCTCTAATGCTGCAGAATGGACGTGGCATATTCTCCGACGGGTCGGGAGTTCGTATCGGGCTCGTATGACCGAACGCTCCGCATCTTCAACGTGCGCTCGGCTAAAAGCCGGGAAGTTTATCACACGCAGCGCATGCAGCGGTACGTCTCCTTTAACTTTTGCATTGGCCAGTCGCCGCGTGCAACCCCCTCACAAGGGGCACAGCCGTTTCCCCACCAGCATAGCGTGGCAAACCGCCACTCTCATTTGACTTAACAGTTGCGTCGATAAATTCTCACTGAATGTTGCCGTTTTTGCCTTTTGCCAGGATTTTCTCCGTCAAGTTCAGTGCCGACTCGAACTTTGTGCTGTCCGGCAGTGATGACACAAACATCCGCATCTGGAAGGCCGAGGCCTCCAAGAAACTCTCCAAGGTACGAAGCAAATTGTTGCTTTTCGACCGTTACGCGGTCCTTTTATGTTTTTGCAGCTTTGAAGTTTCTGACGTGGCGCCCCGTTTTACGGTTTCCCCTTTCTATTTATTGTGCGTGCATCAGGTTAACCCGCGCGAGCGCCGCAAGATGGAGTACAATGAGTCGCTCAAGGAACGCTACCAACACCTGCGCGAGATCAGTCGAATCTCCAAGTACGTTTTGTTGCTGGCTGTCGTTGCAGTTGCCCTTGTTGCCGTAAGCGTGTTGCTCACGCAAATGGAGATGGGCCGGCAATATCGGAGATTGGTCCCACTAACGAATGGCCGTGATTGTGTCTTCTGATGCGGTTAAACGAAATCGGTGAACTAAACTGCAGGCACCGACACGTTCCCAAGGCCATCAAGAAGGCGGCCGAGGCCAAGCGCGAAGCCAGCGCGCGCGAGCAGAAGAAGATGGCCAACCGCCGCGCCCACGCCAAGGAGGGCGCTGTCCCCCACAGCAACATCCGCAAAAAGGTGGTCGTCAAGGAGATGGAATAAAACGTCGCTGGAACGGCTCCATCCCAGCCTGCTGCTGCGCCCCCAGACGAATGGAGCTACTGATTTCGATGGCTTCGGAGCTCCGCGCTGGACTGCTGGCTGCGTGGGGCCAGCGTGGCTTCGACGGAAACCATGCATTGCTAACGCACTCGAAGAACGTTCTCCGCTCGACGCCGCGGTGTATATACAGCTAGCTACTGTACATGCTTAGCGTACATGTAGTAGACACTATAATATCGACGTTAGCCATACGTAACGATCAACAGCGATTCCGAATTGTTTTGCTAACCGTAAGAGGGAGGCCTCCCAGCGATGGTAGATGACGTGCGCGTCATTAGACCGCTCTCATCACGGCGTGGGATCTCAATCCACCGCGGTCTGCTTCGCGCTTGTTGCTGACGTGCCTCGTGGCGTGGTGGGTGGAGGCTGAGCGCTCTGCGCTGTTTTTGGTCGCAGCAAGCACGCCGGCATTTCTTCTGGGTTCACCACACTAGCGATACTCGTCGTCGTTCCAATGTTTCTCCTTATATTGACAAAGCACGAGTGACTACAAATGCTAAGCTTGCTCGTCAAAAAACAAAAGTTGCCTCTTCTTCTTTCGGTGCAATCACGCGCGGCTACATCATCTTTTTTACTAGTATTTGCATTCGCGGAAACCAAGTTGAAGCATTTAGCATCTTTTTTTTTCTTTAGCTGAGAAGCGCCAAGATGCTGTTTGCCGCTCCATGCTGCTGGCAAAAAGCAGAAAAGAGCGCCATCTTTGCGCTCCACTTACGCACCGGCAGATCCGCGGATTGTGCTTCGGTCGCTTGAATCCTTCGGCAATTTTAATCGGGTATCAAGATCAATTCGAAGTAGCCATTTCCCGCTGGCCCTCCCGTCCCTGATCTCCAGTGAAGACTCCCCACGCCACCGGCTCCAGGCTGGAGCCCAGCGTTCAGCACGCCATAAGTTATACAGCTCGGACGCGTTTTGCAAATCTCCGACTTGATGCGTCCCTTTCCAAAGCGGCGAAAAAAAAAAACTTCGCAAAAAGAGTTTCCTCAAGAACCTTCTCGATCTGTTTTTCACTAAACAGACCAGACTGCGTCATCACATGCCAGTACTGCAGTGCCAGCGCCCCACGAGATTTTCCACTTGGGACAGCACCAGCAGATGGAAGTCACGCCCAAGCAAAGCGTGAAAAAATGCCTTGCTCGTTTAGGTTATCCCTACACAGAATCTCCAAAAAAGAAGGCGATTCCGGTTTTGAGCTTGGTGCAGACGGGGCAGACGCAGCCGCTGACAATCACTCTTAACTCTCCTCTCCCTCGAGAGGCTCGCGGCAACTCCAGTGACGGTCTCACAACCGAAAACGCTTCGTACCCCGTACGTTCGTGCCACTTTTTCGTAGGGATCGCAAGGCCGACAGAGAGACCACACGACAGCTAATGAAGCCGAAGGCCCCCAGCGACGCCAAGACGGCGCTGGAGCTGGCCGAGTCCAGCGAATGGAGCGCGCTGGACCGCCTCGTTACGGCGCAGCCCGAGCGCGCCGACGACATGGACGACTTTGGCATGATGCCATTGCACTGGGCCTGCACAGACACGCACGTGCCGCTACGTGTCATCAAGAAGCTGGTAGACGTGGCCCCGTCTGCTCTAAGCCACAAGAATAAGGGAGGCTTGCTGCCGCTCCACATTGCCGTCAAGGCCGCCACTAAGCTCGAGGTTCTACGCGCGCTAGTACAGACCGCACCCGACGTCGCCTCCTGTCTGTTCGAAGAGACCCCGACGGGCGAGACGCCTGCTGAGCTTGCCCGAGCCTACCAACTCACCGATGACAAGGTTAGTTTCTTGGTAGACATGGAGCAACAGCTCCGCGCAGCGGGTAAAGCTCCCGACCGCCGGAGCGCAAGATTCCAGGCCTTCTTAAACCAACCGGGAGGCTTCCCCCTTCAAGCAGACGATACCTCTAGTATCAGCAGCTTCAGGAGTCTCCCCACTGCGCTGGGAAGTGGCCGCGGAGGTGCCGCACTAGACGACGAATGGGCCAGTAACAGAACTGCAGTGGGCGCTCTCCGTCTACCGGACGGCCTGGCGGGCGTCCCGCTGCCCCCGCGTTGGCGACTGGACAAACGCTGCAACATTTGTCAACTTAAATTCAGCTACTTTAAGACACGTCATCACTGTCGCTCCTGTGGCGAGTCGGTGTGCAGTACACACTCGAACAAGCGACTACCTTTGCACCACTTGGGCCTGAAGACACCGCAACGCGTGTGTATCTTATGTTACGATGATCTACGTGAGAATGGCGCGCCCTCAGCTGTAGTCAACATGTACGGCCACGGACGGCACAGCGGCTTGCCGCCAATGGAGCCGAATATGTCGCGACAGGAGTCCACGCCACCCCCCGGCAAGACTGGCCGACCGCCGCTGCGATCCATCAACAGCACAGTATCAATGACCACCACGTCTTCAAGCAGCCGCAACTCGGCGTTCCAGAGTCCGTCCGACGCCGACAAATACTTTCAGACGACGCACACACCGCGTCGTGTCACTCTGGGTGACCGAAGCTCAACAGACAACAACGATGGACGGGATCCTACACTAACAACCAACTTGCCGTTCGAGGACGACTCGCGTGGCCGTCCTCGTGCCTGGACAGATGTAGACTCGACGGAGAAGTATCAGGATATGCAGGAACAAGTCCGGGAGCTGGAGTCCCATGTACAGGAGCTCACAATGGCCAAGTCGCGCATTGAAAAGAAGTTGGAGGATGCCACTCGACTGGCTGCTGAAGCCAAGAAGGAGCGCAACGCTGTGGACGCGAACGTGGCGGAGCTGCGCAACAACCGCATCATCGATATTAACCGCATCTCGTTCGACGACGATGAAGACGACGAGAACCAGAACAATAGCAACAAGGCACCGGACTTTACCAAGAGTTTTATGCAAGGCAGACACCGTCAGGTCACAGCGGAAGTTGAAAAGAACACCGAGCTGATCGAGGACAAGGAAGTGAGCGTGGCCGAAACGTGCAACTACCTGGGTCAGGTATTCCTGGACCGTGGCGAGTACAACAGCGCTGTCGTGGAGTTCCGCAAGTCGGTGGATGCTAATCGAAAAGATGTGGACGTGTGGATAAATCTGGCACGTGCACTTCACGGCGCTGGCGAGTTTTACGACGCTGAGATCGCCATCCGACGTGCATTGGCTCTTACTTCCAAGAACTACGCGTCGCTGTCGCTGCTGGGCAAGATTTTGCACTCCAAGGGCGAGCACGATAAGGCTGTCGAAGTGTTCCGTGAGGCTCTGAGTCTAATGGATCAGGAGGACGACTCGGATGAAGATGTCGGCTCGATGACCGTCGGTTGGTGAACAAGTTTACCACCTCTTGTCCTCTCGTTGACGTATAATATCCATGAAGCAAGAGAGAAAGACCAGTACAGCGCTGGAACTTACATGTCAAGCCACTGCCACACGCTTTGTTTATTTAGGAAAAAGGCGATTTTAGCCTGAGGTCTGGCACTAGGAGAGACCGAAGGATCACACCAAAAAAACACCGTATAGTAGGAAAAAAACACAAAATACAAACGATACCAAATATCTCGTGACAGTTCTTGATTTTGAAAGTGCTAAAACTGCAAATCCAAAAGAGCCTTCAACATCAAGCTTACAAGATGATCAGATGGAGTACGGGGCGATGCTCCTCCGTCCCCAACGCTTGGCCACCTACACAACAACGTAGCAACCTCTTTCGTGTCGTCCTTTAGTCCAGCTGCGAGAACGCATCGATGGTTTTCTCGTACACGATGCGCTCTCCACGCGGGATTGTTCAATGTCTGTGGGCGTCGTGAAAATGTCACGTAGAAGGCCGTGCGAGGGATCGCCTTGTCTTTATTAGCGAATGGAGCGAAGGAGCCGAGCTTAGCCTTGCTCTCACAGAGAAGTAACGAGAAGAGACTGATACTCTGGTCGGAGGTGTCTACTAGTGTTTGCGAGAGATCGATAGCAGAGTTGCAAAGCTCGTCCTGATTGGCGCATACAATGTCGGGACAACAAGGTTTCTATTACCGTAATAGTAGCTCCGTATGCGACCGTAAAACCGAGAGGATATCTCGCCAAGGCACGAAGAGCTCGAGAACAGTCGCGTGGCTAGTCCAAACAACAGGAGCAAGAGCACCAAAGAAGTGAACATGTTTACTGAGACCCGCGTCGCGTCCTCAGAGTGACCACCATAGCTCTAGGTAGATCGACCAGTACGTATAGCTAAAAGACCGTAAAAACCCATGTCCTCGCCCAGTAGGCAAATCGTCAGTACATGTACTTAACGTGCCTCGACGTTGCTCAGCCTAGCCCACTTCTGTGGTTCTGGAAGATCGGCACGAGCCCTTCGAAGGCCAAGTCTGCGATGCAAATGAGCTGCGGGTATGTTAGTAGCGAAGCCTGAGCCCGATTGACTCTCGACATAGGTTTTAAAGATGCGATTCATGGTGCGGGTGTATTCATGACTTTGTGCGTCTCCACTTCGCAACCACGGGCCTCGATGGTCTCGACGACGGTCTTTTCCACATCAGGGTCCACAATTGCTCCACACGCTTGGTTGTCAGCAAAAGCGGGTGATAAACGCCGAGCAACAGCCCAACGCTTAGCAACAAGGGTGTAAAGTGGTAACAGCATGATTGCGAGTTTGTGCTGGAGCCGATTATGATTTCGAGTTTGTGGTGGGGCTAATTGAGAGGCTTCAATTGTCAACCGAAGCGGCATGAAGACCGGAGTCCGCGATAGCTTTTGAACGCGTTGCAGAGAATTTCAGTGACACAAATACCGGCTTCATGTTCGGAAAGACAGTAGCCATCCGATTACTGTGACGTGACGAAGGTTCAGTTGAGCATGGCCATATTCACTCAGCATGTGGTCTACGAACTACGTACTTCGTAAGTAAAACGGATGATTAGTGTGTTGAAAAATACCATCGTTCGCGACTACAAGGTCAGATGTAGCTGTCAATTGAACCTGCTTTCACCGCTTTAAGGATGCAAAACTTAACGTGGCGAGAGAAACGAAAATAGTATCATCTTCAGAAAAATAAAACTTTGAAAAGACTCCGCAATCCATCGCAATCAGTTTCGGCTTAAAGTGCGCTGACCTTCTGAGCCTTTTTAGCGAGTCGAACGTCTTCGCAACGTCATTAGATAGAAGACAGCAGCGATCATGAGTGCAACTCGAAGTTAGCATTCGATTCACCAATGAGTTTGTAAGGTTTATTCGCTCAACTCTGGGCCTCAAAAATGGTTAAACTTATCATTGTACGGTATAAAAATAGCAACCACGCTACCTCGAATCTGCACGAGAAATCGCCCAATTTCATTTTTTACTTCGAGCATCTTGAAAGATGGAGTACAGTCAATCAAAGGTACTACCAGTTGCTTAGAATGTAGTCCTCAGATTTCTGCTTAGCGGCGTGCTTTGCCCAGTACGAAGGCAGTATGGAATTTGGTCGGTATCACGGCAAAGGTGTGCTGAATCTTCCTGACGGCAATCGATACGAAGGAGAGTTCCAAAACGGCGAATTTCATGGTCACGGGACACTGTTCTTTCCGGAAGGAAAGCTAGAAGGAGAATGGGCCTGCGGAAAGGTAAGGACGGAGCCTGCTGGATACACGACACACAGGCTGATGTTTCTGTTTGGCTTTGTAGCAAATTGAAGGCACCTTCACCTTCTCGGATGGGCTGGAATACGCACCAACCGGCTGGACATACTGCACAGACGCCAACCGACAATACTACTCCGAGTCGGTATCTCCTCGAGGCATCTTACCAGCAGGCGAGCTCAACTACTTCGACACTGGCGTCCAGCGCGTGGTGCCGCTCGGATCGTTCGACGCAGGAAACGGCATCTACACGCCTTCAACCGGCCTGGTATCGGCCTATGACGACCCGTCCAAGACACGGGAACCCACTGAAGAAGAAAAGGAGTGGATCATGAAGCGCGCACCGAAGGCGACAACCAAAGACATGTCCATCAATTGAACGGAACGACATACAGGTCGTAAAGCAACACTAAAACTTCCGCTTAAACACTCTTGTTTTTATGGTCTTCCCACTACTTTGGCGATGTCATGCCCAGAAAATTGTCAAATTCTGAAGCGTAGGGTTTAGTACGCGCACCGTCGCCGTCACAACACAGTCCCTATCCATTACATACCATCATTCAGCGTGGTGAGAGTCGAGCGAGCAGAAGTCACTGCTCGAGGGGCTGCAGCTGCAGAGCTCGATACCGTACCTGCTCCGTTCAAACTCAGGTCGCTCACACCTTGCTGCAATCCGGCCGTGTGATTCACACGCGGTGGCGAATCGAACGTCATCATGTCTTGCATCTTAGTCTTGCTACACTCCTCTAGAGTCTTCATTAAAGTATCATTCACCTGTCCGTCACAACAACATTTAAAGGTCTTTTAGCCAGCCATTTCCTTCAGTTAGTTCTCGTTCACTGACGTTGAGACACTCTTCCAACGTGCGTTCGTCGATCTTGCCCATGATTCCTCCTTCAATGAGCGTGTTCATCCTGGGCTGGCATTGCCGTAAGAAATCCAAAACATCTTCCAGCTGCTCACCAGTCTGTCCACGGGTGTGTAGATCTCTCAATTGTTTGATCTTCTCTTGAACCACCTTCAAGTCTGCGTGGAGCTTCTGCAATTGCTGCTCTCGCGTGTGTCGTCCAGGAGCAGCAGAAGTTGTATAGTCCTCCTCCCTAATAGAAGTCGACGATGGTGGTGTGAAGATAGGAGCGTCATTTTCGATCTCAGGAAAGGCGATGCCCTGCATCTTGAGCTGTCTATAGACGTCCTGAAAGGCCTGTAGCTCGGTGCCCTTGAATGCGTCTGCCCATTGGCGGATCAAAAGAAGAGCTTGGTTCTGCACGTCCACGCCCAGACTACCGTCTGCCAGCGCCGCTACTTCGCTGAGAAACACTCTGGAGCCGACTTGGCTGTGGATCGCAGGCGGTCCGTTCTTCACTACAGTCTCCGTCAGCACTAAAGCTAGCAGCGCCACCTTGGGGCTGTTACTCTGTAGCCGACGCTGCAAGAAGCGCACGATGTCGTCGCACACAGCGTCGCTCGCATTAGCACAGTCACATAGCGCTATGTTCAGGGCCCACTCGGGCCCCGCAAGGGACTCGTCTGTCGCGCGCGACACCAGATCCTCCACCTTGCAACATCCTGCGCATACTCGGCCATGCTTCTTCAATTATGAGCCAAAAGTAAAACGTAAAGGCTATGCTGTGTACATCAATATTATGTTTGCCACATCACGTAGTTGAAGCGACATCGTTTACGAGACTGAAGAGCGATGCTGGAGTCGCTGCTGCGCGCGCGGCTGCTGTACGGGGCGGTGGCCATGTCGGCTGGTGTGTTCGTGTTCTCGTTCCTCCAGGAGCGCGAGGAGATGGAGGATCAGGAGATTGAGCTAGCGGAGCGGCCTGTGAGCACGGAGCTCTTCTTCCAAGCCATGGAGAACATGCCGCAGCTATCGCCCCAGCAACGGCTGGAAATGCGGCGCTTCTGGCGCAATTTGACCAATAAAAAACAGCTAAGACGACTAAGTATCGGTAGTAGCGACTCTCTCGATGCTGAGCAGGAGATCAATACGGAGCTGGTGGTCAGGGACGTACAGCTCTTCGCACAGGAATACAAACGTGTTTTCCCGGACATTTTCCCTGAGAAGCAGGTGCTCGACGCTGCGGAGAAAGCTGCAGATGTGGCGGACCAGCACTCCACAGCATGGAGCGATATCGTGGGCAGTACGAGCACGATGATCGTGTCTACAGGCAAGAGATTGAACCATATTGCCAAAGATACGAAAGACGAGGTGCAATCGGTCATGCACCGTACTGTGAGGAAAGTGCTGGAGAGAGCGCTGGATATTGTGGCGGCTAGATTGAAGCAGACACTGAAGGACCCCGATATGCCCAGCTACTTGAAGGTAAACGGATCTAGATTGGGTTTTATGAGGTGGATGAGAGCTAATACAGTGACGCTTTGTTTGATTTAGACGAATATTGACATTGGCATTGAGCAATTTATGCCGGACGTCAAGATGGAGATTTTCCGGAAGACACGAGAGCTATTTGGACAAGATCCAGGGACCAATGAGGTAGAAGACTCTGCTACTAGCAAGAATACTGACGCTGGAAGTGTGCCCTTGAGCGAGGATGGAGGAGCTGGTGTCGTCCCAGTCACGAGCCGAAGATTCGGGCTATTTCGACGTGCTCGTGGCCATATTCTGCACCATTTGTTCCCTCATGACAAGACGATTTGGAGATCATTTAAAGACCCATGGTGGATCCTTTATACGAGTGTGGGTCTTTTGCCCGTGGTGGTCAATTGTGGTGGATCTTCCTGTTCATCATCAAGGACAAGACCAATGAGCATCAATTGTGTCAGTTCATCGTGGGATTCAAAGCCGCGCAGTTCATTACGCTCGGTATCATGCACATGATGCTTGGCGTCTTTATGTACGTGAAATGTGTGACACAAGGCTCCATGCTGGCGTGTCAAAGTGGCGGTGGCCCTGCCTTGAGCGATGGGACGGCTTGTTTCTTCGTGCTCCAGATTGTTCTCGTCTGGGCAGCTTTCTTCCGCTTGCCTTACACAGTTCGTCCGCAAGAAACAGCGTTGTACCGGACAAAGTCCATGGAGATGCGGGAACGTGGAGCGTTTCGCGATGCCTTCGGTAACGAAGTACATCTGGACCGTGGGGGGTATCTCATGAAGTTCTGCGGGTACGAGACGGTATCCTTCATCATTATCATGGCGCTCGCTGGCCTCGTGCTCTGGCTGCCATTGGAGACGTGGCAGCGTCAGGCGTTATTTTACTGGATCCGAACTGCCTACGGACTCTTCTCGTTCCCGTTTCTGGCATTCAAAATCCCTGTATTGGCGAATGTTTTGATGCACACGCGACAAATGGGGTACAATGAACAAGGAGATACCGTCAGATTCGCTGTCAAGAAGCGACTTGAGTGAAAAGAGCTGCACAGCTGAGATAGTATGAACGTAGTCTGGATTAATAAAAGTGTCGTGGCGACGAGGACACAAACGCTGCAAGAAGAAATGTGCCAACGCATTTCAACAGATCTAGAGGGTTTCTACACAAGCTCTTCGGCTTCTGACGATGTTGCTGGGCTTCGGCGTGCATCGAACGAGTCATCTTTAAGTCGATTGTTGCGGAGAAGTGCATGCGCTGCACTAGCCAGTGACCTATGACAGCAGTAACAATGTCAATGACGAGATAGATCCTTAATGACTATTGTGTATACAACGTACGAGACGGAGAGTGCAAAGATGACTGTAGGCAACACGAAGAAGAGCAAGAACACCATTGTCGCTGCGGATAATGCAACAACATCAAAGCTATCAGTGTCAAACTCAGCGGAGCCTACGAACTACCAGCAACAAAACCCACATCCTGTTGCTGCGAGTAGAATGTCTTGTTCACTGAGTCGTCGACCCAAGACCTCGATCTTGCCGGTCGGGATCTCCTTCTTGGTGAGAAACACGTGCCATCCGTAGCCCACAACGAGGCAAATCAACAGCTGAATCGGGTGGAAGAACAGTCTACAGCGACAACGAGTCAGTTTTCCAACATTCAGCCAATTTGCTATTGCAAAACTTACAACAAGAAGGCGAAGACGCCGAGCGTGAATAGCAGATAGTTGGTCAAAAAGTAGTTGGCGTTCGTCTTCATACGCGCTAGCATGCGGCGCTGTGGTGGCAGGCTGAACGGCTCCGTCTCACCGATTCCAGAGCAGTTAATGAGCGAACGAAGCGATGCGATGGTTACGCGCTGCTGCAGCGTGTCGAGAATAACGCGGCCGATGCCGCGTTGGCTCTGGTCGCGACTGTCATCCAGGACGTCGAGCTTGCGCACTCGTGGAGACGATGGCGGCGACATGTGCGCGTGTGCGAAGCTGCTGTTGAGCATTGGAGGCATTGCAATTGACTCGATAGAGATGAGTGAGGAGGGCGATGAGAATGAGCGAGTGATGGAGCGCCAGGAATCGAGCAAGCCAGCAGCTCCATGGCGATTGCTCCCGGTCCGCCATGTAGCGTCTCTGCAAGGAGGTCATGTTGCCTTACTCCGGAGAAGTTGATATTACAACAAATTGAACAGGTTTTGATGTGGATAGACTAATAGATGAAGAGAGAAGGTCTTTTTATTGCGATACAATGCAACGAAAATTTGTTTAATTAGAGCAGCTGTCGCGAGACTTACGCGGAGGATCGGTTCGGACTTGCCTCCTTCGCCCTTTACGCCAAGCAAGTGAGTGAACACTGCTACAGTACCAGGGCATGTAGTGCATGATCTTCAGTCTGGAGTGCAGCGAAGGATAGAGATGAAGATTCCAGCAATTGACTACTCGAAGAAGTAAAGGCGACTGGCAAAACCGTTAAGAAATAACGGCTTTTAGAATGAAAGTGAATTCCAGACGCACGCAATTCGAGATCTAGCCACTTAGTAGAAGCGCATGATTGCCTCGAATGAAAGCCCAGCATCTGTAAAGAGGCTCACTCGACTCGAGGTATGGAGCTCTTGGCGACGCCAAGTTGGCGTAAGCTGGTCACAATGCGGCGAGCAAAATGCACACATTGCGCAACTTCAACTTCGCAAATCCAACGAACGTTGGGGCACGACAACCATCCGAGTGATTCCGCCGCAAACTCGCTAGAAGTCCATATGACACTGACGTTGATCAACCATGCCTATTTCCAGAACCACATTGCGCTGGTTCGCGTATGTTCTCGATCGAAGCGGTACAGTTTTGGTTGCGTCGGGTTGGCCATGCATTTTTGCATCAAACGGCATTAGATCTATGCAGAAATGGGAGGGTCTTATCCGCTACGTTGATATCGACGGAGATTCCTCTTTCGCTCGAGTATGCAAGAGAGTGCATTATTGCATTTGCAGCGCAGCCAAAAGCTCGATAGTCTGTGTGATGGTTGAACGCAGCTCTCGCCACGCTGCCGCTCCGATAGCAGCATCCCTGCTCACAATGAGCCCGTCAGATGTGGGTTGGCAATGCTACCTCAATTCAGTGACCAAGGAAGGTCTCGTAGGCAAGTCCAAGACTCTTCCAAATTGGGAAGACGAGGGAGACGCTAACAACCAGGAAGACGACGAATCGAGTGTTGATGATAACGAATGCCAAACGAATGAAAATACTTTTCTTTCCAAGTGTGAAGCTCTCGAAGAAAAGGACGAGTTACAGCTGCTACGGAGCGAGAACACCACGTTAACGCAACGTTTGACGCAAATGGAGAAAGATCATGCTGTAAAGCTGCAGCAAACAATCGAAACGCACAAACAGATTGAGCAGCGTTTGAGGTCCCAATTGCAAACTGTTCAACACGAACAGCAAGCGGCAGCGGATAATGCCCGCAGAGTCCGCTCCCTTTTGACCCGCGTGTCAAATTGGATGCGCCAAGTGCAACACGCAGCACAGCGCGAGCGCTCGTCCATCCACAAATCCAAACTCGTGGCGCACGATCTGGAACTAAGAGTGACGCCACGCACAGAGTCCCCGTACAGGCTTTGGTCCAGTGGAACAAGACTCGCAACGAACGTCCCGGAGTGCGACGAATCGCCAACATCTTCCAACAAAATCTCACTGAATCAGGGTCCGTTGCAGTGGCCAGATTCGTATGGGATTCTGATCGATAAGAGCGTAAACCCCCTCCCTCCACCCGCTCCTGGACGAAACCGTGCTAAAAGTCTACCGGCTAAAGGTTTTAGCTACGTTGGATACCCCCTACCATCTCCACCCGAGGGCCGCCTACTCAAACCGATAGATGGGGTGGAGTTCGTACTCGACGGATTGCCTTCCGCTGGCTCTTCGCCTCGTAAAGTGCGAAAGCGCAGCACCGGAAGCCTCCTCGCGTACTGTGCTCACGTCGTCACCACGTCTCTGTCTGGTGGACGTTCTCCCCCGTCACCGCAGTCTAAAGTCACACCGGCATGGAAACTCGACCGCTTGTCGTCTGCGAGTGAAGATCACGTTGACGAAGAAGCTGGACAGCGCAATCGATCAGCCAGTAGCAATAAACCGCTCGACGTGGCACTACCGAACCTCTCGATCGGGTTGCTTTAGATGCAACACAATCGTGTTTTCACTCACCACAAAACTACCAAATCTTTATAACTTCAAAGCTGCATACTTGCACGTGTTCTGTTGCATTACATCGCTAAGAAGTGACAAGTTAAGCTCGCAGTGGAGCTGGCTGGGCAACCAGCTTCGCTTCGTTCTGCTTACGTTCGCTCTGAACTTTAGCCAAATCCGCCTTAAGAGCTTCGTTGGAAGGGTCCAGCTCGACACCTGCTGCGAAATCTTGCTCGGCTACAGAGGGTATAGAAATCATTAGTGTACACTGAAAAAAAACCCACAGCTTTCAAGAGCGCACCTTTGTCCAAGTTGTGAAGAGATAAGTAGGCAGCACCACGTCGAACCAGTGTTTTGACGACCCAAGAGCGCCGTTGGGATGATCCAGCAGCAGGACCAAAAGAGAAGAATGCAAGGCCGTGCTCCTGACCCGACATACCCATAGAAGTGGTGTCTTGTTGCAGCAGCTCCAGTGCCTGTGTGCAGTCTTCAGCGCATTCCTTGGCGCGATGTAGCATCAGATAACACGCAGCTCGGTTCGATAAGCAGGCGATGGAGAGCGGATTCAATTGCAAGGAATCCGAGTACATCTGGATAGCTTTATCAAGGTCTCTGCCTTCCCGGAAGATGCTGTCGCCTGCTTCTTTGAGTTCGTGAGCCTTTTCCATTGCGACTAGCTCCATGAAGTCATCACGAAGTTGCGGGTTCTGAGTGTCCATGGAGCATGCAACACCGTAGTCTGCCTTAGCTTGACTGTACTGACCTGTACGACAGTACGCAGTGCCACGTCGTACAAAGAGTTTAAGTTTCAGTCGGTAGTGTTTCATCACGCTTGAGTTTTCGTCCTTGTCACGCGTGTCGGGCAGATACGAAAGTGCTTTGGAGCAGTCATTGATGCATTCCTGTAAGTCACAGAGGCGTAGATCAGGTGGGTCGATCTACTCCTAGTAGACAGCTGAGCAGCCTGCAGACGTACCTCAAACTCGCCAAGTTGAAGCAGACAAGCGGCACGGTTTGATAGACACGTAGCAATCAGGTCGTTGTTGTCGCTGGATGTTGCTGAGATGGCTTCAGCGTATGCGTTTGTGGCGCTGCGGAAGTCTTTTGAATGGAAAAAGTCGTCACCTTTAGCCTTCAGCCACATCGCTGTCCAATAAATAAAAGTAGAGCTATAAGCTCCGAATGCATTCTATGGCATATACGGAGGGACAAGTACGTACGGTCTGTTTCGCTGATGTCGTACTCCGATGTGCGGTTGAGACCTTTGTGTTGGTTGATGTGCTTCCTGTTCTTCAGTAGCCAGTCCTCCTCCTCCGCAGCTTTGGATTCTCGAGAAGGAGTAGGGAAAACGCGAGGTGTGAAGCGGATTTCTGACTGTACGCACTGTCGCGGAGGCCGTAATTCGACCTTCTCTTGCAGCTCGGAAATGTCGTCTTTATCGTCCACTTCGACGGCCTCATCTCGAGTGTTTTCTTGAGCGTTACCTTGATTATCTGTAGCAGCGATCTTCTCGTCAGCGTGAGTTGTAGACTTTGTGGCGCTTGTCACGTCGAAGCTGCCGTCTTCAGTCAACTCGATAATTTCGTCTTTTCGGTTGTCTTTTGAGGCGAGACTCTTTCCTTGTTCGTGCGACGCAGCAAAAGACACTTTCTTCGTTATTTTATTGCTAATGGGCGTCGAGTCTTTCTGCCTCTGAGGGATTTTTGGACCAAATGTATCAGTATCTTTTTGAATACTGCTCTGATCTTGCGTTCTCTGCGTTTCATTTTGCTTTTGGACTTGTAGATTGCGAAATGATTCATACAAACTCCGCTATAAGAAGACACAAGAGCAAACCATTAGCCGTCAAGTCTTCAGGATGATAAACAGCAAGCTTGTACCTCTTCTCGTTCTTTCTCCTCGGCCTTCAGGTCGGTTAGAATCTGACGATTCGTGTCGTCGACCGCCATCTGTGCCCGCAGCGTCTCTTTCTCCTCCTGATGCTTCTTCTCTTTCCTCTTCTCACTCAACGCAGTCTCGCTCGCTCTTTTCCTCTCCATGGACGCGTCACGGCGCTCGCGTAGAACCGTTTTGGAGCCTTGGTACTGCAGCTGCTTCCATAATCGATTCTCCTGCTTTTTCAGTGATATCCGAAGCAGCTTCGACGCTGGGATGCTCTTCACAACAGCAGACGCATCATCCACGGCATCATGAAGATCCAATAGCAGCACGTATGGCGCAGCATTGACCTTTATCACCAGGTCGCTTACTAAAGAAGAGTTCAATAATATTTAATGAGCCCATACACCTTGAAAGACTCACGAGTCAGTCGTACCATAAATGTCAATATTTCGCAGCGCTGTCCCGGGTAAATGCAGCTCCAGCGCAAGGCTGCAGCCGTCTTGCTCCCACGTGTACCGAGGCACAAGCGGCATCTTGCTTTATCTCAACCTGCCGAGCAGGTTTATTGATGCTGTGCACAGCTTGTATCTTGGCTCGTGTCGGTTCAGACGTCGCTTCAAGACCCGGGGTGATTATGCAGAGATAAGCGCTGTCTGGACTTTGTATACCCTGCTATATCTGATCAAAAAGAAGGCAGGTCCTTCTGACAAATCTCCCAATTGTTTCCTACTTATCAAGCAACTTGACAAAATTCGTGGATTTCGCGTCAAAGCCCCATTGGGACTTACGCGTACCCTGACATAAGCTAACTTTCGAGTATTTAATGCCCGCATCTTTGTGACAGATATGAACTGCCTGCACCGTGGCATTCGCATGGCCACGTCGTGCTCTCGTAGACATCGAGGAGAAGATCATCTTCGCTGCTACCACGTATCGGATAAGCTTACTTAAACTGCCGTGTAAGGTCACCTTACCTTACTAAGGCTACCAGTTTCTCGATGAGGACTCCTTATCAAGGAGACACCAATGCAATCGCACCGATTTCTTCAGTTGGTCATTATTGCCGCTATCGGCCACCAGTCTGGTGGCACCAGTAAACTACAAGTACTACGTCGTACACCGCTGTTCTCCCGCCGGCTGACACTGTCAGTGACAGGTATCCAAGCGTCTGGAAAACTGCGCGCCACCTGGTTGCCGCTGAGATGAGATTTGCAGCATACATCACCACGAAAGAGAGCTCATCAGCCACGCTGTATTCCTGCTGATCATAACGCAATTCGCTGCGCTCCACACGAAGTACCTTTGTGTATCATCATGGCGATTTCTTACGGCTTGACACTCTTGCTCTCCTTGTGCGTGCTGCTGGCTACGACGTCCGTTTTCGCCGAACGAGAGGTGGCCGAAGCATATATCGATCCCGACGATGGCCGCACCGTCATGGAGATCATCAAAGCTCGCGGCTACGACGTCGAAGAGCACAAAGTAACAACCTCGGACAACTACATTTTGACCATGTACCGCCTGCCTAAGACGCACACCGAGAGCCAACAAAACGCTATAGCCGCAGCCAACAAACCAGCAGTCTACTTGATCCATGGCCTGCTCGACAGCAGCTTCACCTACGTGTGCAACTTCCGCAACCAGAGCTTGGCTTTCGTCCTCGCAGACGCCGGGTACGACGTCTGGCTCGGCAACAACCGCGGCACAACCTGGTCGAACCAGCACGTGACCTACACGACCGACGACGATGAATACTGGGCGTTCTCGTGGCAGGAAATGGCATTGTACGACATGCCCGCGATGCTCAACTACGTGCTGAGCACGACAGGCCACTCGACGCTCAGCTATGTCGGACACTCGGAAGGAACCATGCAAGCGTTCGCCGGGTTCTCAGTCAACCAGGAACTGGCCAAAAAGGTTTCGTATTTCGGTGCGCTTGCCCCCGTCGCGTACCTGGGCCACACCACTTCACCAATCTTCAAACTCATGGCCGATTCATACCTGGACGTCCTGTTTACAATTCTAGGTGTCGGTCCCTTCTGGGAGACAAATTGGCTGATCCAAGGAATCTTAGCTAAGTACGCTTGTGCATTCATCAACCAGGCCTGTGGCTCAATCATCAACGCGCTCACGGGGCCGTCGGACAATGTGAACACCACACGATTGCAAGTGTATATCTCGCAAACACCTGCGGGAACTTCGGTGAAGAACATGGCTCACTTTGCACAAGGCATTCGTGACAACACGTTCCGATACTACGACTACGGCTGCAAATGTGTGCGAGCATTGGGTCTGGCTTTGTGCTCCAAGCTCATCTGCAAAAATAAAGAGGTGTACGGCGCTTTCGACCCGCCTGCGTTTGATCTCGGGGCCGTGACGTATCCACGAATGGGATTTTACACGGGCACCGACGACTGGCTGGCCACCAGCACCGACATTTCTCAACTTCGCGCTGGACTCAAGAGCGCAACGATTCTCACCGACCAAAGCGTCGAGTACAACCACCTGGACTTCACATGGGGCTTTAATGCCAACGAATTGATCTACCAAGACCTGCTCACTCAGATTGCTAAGCACGTTGATGTCGGGTACTAGTGGGCAGTTAACGTGGACATCAAATCCACTGAAGTATGAGAGTTCAACAGAGTAGTGAAGAACGTAAGTACATTTAGCAGGAGTAATGCAGAATACGCAAAATTTGCCATCGCTGGCGCTGTTTAGTCCGGCATCAGATCATTTTAGGAAGCAATACAGTACTACAGTAGATGGTCAGTCCGAAGTCTACGCGCTGCCCGAAAAGCTGGTCTGTAGGCGCTGGTATCACGCTGTTAGGCGTGAATCGCTCCTTGATCAGCAAGGCTATGGTGCGTCATTTTACCGTGTTGAATATCAATCGATTTTGCCCACTTCAACGTTGCGCGAGTAGCATTTCGACTAAAAAAAACCCATTTTATCAGTCGAGGTGCTACGTCGAAGATCTGATCCGGGAGACACATCCTTCTTAGCTCGAACGAAATTCTAATCACCACCTTGTCGAGCTCCAAATGATTTACTTCTTTCATTCTCCAATTTGCAATCTCCTGTGCAAGAGACACCAGTTCAAGCCCGAAGCAACTATGCCACCGAGCACTGTGTTGTTGATACTCTTCGGAGTATTTGCACTCTTCCAGTCGGGATTGGCCAAGGAGGAAGCCGCCGTTGATCGGGATGCTGGTCTCAACACCGTGCAAATCATTCAAGCTCGAGGATACGCCGTCGAGACGCACAAGGTCACAACTGCAGACCGGTATGTGCTCACGATGCACCGCATCCCCAAAAGCTACACTGAAACCCGAACGGGCTCTCCTGCAGCAGCGAACAAACCGGTTGTCTACATGCAACACGGTCTGCTAGACAGTTTGTATACGTGGGTCTTGAACTTCCGTAACCAGAGCTTAGCGTTCATCCTCGCTGATCTCGGCTACGACGTCTGGCTGGGTAACAACCGAGGTAACACGTGGTCGAAGCAGCATTTGGACTACACTGTTTACAACAAGGAGTTCAGGGAATTCACTTGGGAGGATATGGGTACCTACGATCTACCAGCTATGATCAACTACGCTCTAAGCGTATCGGGACGACCGACACTGAGCTACATTGGCCATTCATTAGGGACTACACAAGCGTTCGTCGGGTTTTCCAAAAACCAGGAGCTCGCCAAGGTAGTGTCCTACTTCGGAGCATTGGCACCCGTCGCGTGGACGGGAGCTGCTACATCTCCAAACCTTGTTACGTTGGCTAAGACGTACGTGGATTCATGGTTTCAAGTCTTCGGCGTGAACGAGTTCAGTCCCAACAACCCTGTTCTTCAAAATGTACTGGACAAATATGCCGGTGCTTGGGCTGGCGTCGTGTGTGACGGCTTCATCGACTTGATCGGTGGGCCCACCAACAATATCAGCGCCTCGCGCGTACATGTGTATGTGACGCAAACGCCTGCGGGTAGCTCTGTAAAGAACATGGCTCACTATGCTCAAGGTATTCGCGACAATACCTTCGCTGCGTTTGACTACGGATGCAGCTGTGTTCGGCTTTTGGGTATTGGTTTGTGCTCGACTCTAATCTGCGCGAACAAAGCCAAATACGGCAGCTTCGACCCGCCCGCATATCCTCTTGAAAAGATGGTGTATCCCCGCACAGGGTTTTACAATGGTGCTCAGGATACTCTGGCTGTAAAGACTGACCTCGACAAGCTGCGTACTCGATTACCCGACGACACTATCGTGTACGATAACACCATCGACTTCGGTCATATCGCTTTTACTACGTGAGAAATAAAGGCAGTGCTCAACTAGACACGAGGATGCTATTCTCGATCTTACAGATGCGCGCGACCTTGAAGGCCACGGCCGTAATCGACTCATGCGTCCGGAGGTGTGCGTCAATCTTCATCTTGGGAATAGGATTCGACCGGCGACCTTCGGCTCTTAGCCGCTCCTCCTCACTACAAGAACTTGTCTGCTCCACTAGACTTGGATCTAGCGTACTCAGCGGTGAACCAGCGTGGGAACTGCCTCGCTCAAGACACTACACCAGTTCAATTATAAAAATGGCCTACACTTGTCGTAGCTTTTTTTTCTTCTTCTTGTTTTTTCTCTTCCTCTTCTTCGACTTGGTAGCTTCGGACAGTAAGACTGAACAGGGGGTACTGATCGAAGCTGGAACGGCCATTGCGTCACTCACGGTGACGTTGTCGTCTTTAGCGATAGGAATTCCGTCACTCATAGTGACATTGTCGGCAAATCGCACTGAGCCTCTCTTCGTCTTTTTTTTGTTCCTCCTCTGCGTCTAAAAACGTGTCGTAGCGGGTCCCCTTAGCCGTAGCCGTAGCCGTAGTCGTAATTGACTCATGCGTCCGGAGGTGTGCGTCAATCTTTATCTTGGGAATAGGATTCGACCGGCGACCTTCGGCTCTTAGCCGCTCCTCCTTACTGCAAAGTATCAGTTTCCGACATACTACGCAGAGCACGTTGATGGCATCTTTCTGCCCCAGCTTGTGGATCCTATGGGGAGCAGAGGTTTTGCATACCAGCCGCAGCGGCCACCATCGTTGGCGAGTGGAGGGATTTTGGCGTTGTGGGCTGTACAGCCTTCCTTCCGAATCCATTGGGATGAGCCAACTCCCATAAGGAACCAATTCCTCGGCGGGTGTGGGCCTTAGTAGCGAGGCGTTAGGAGGCAGCGTTACCGAGTCCGACATCGTGGAAAGATGCCAATTGACTGCATTTCCCCCTCTCGGAGGGTGATGGCGAATGGCGAGGGAGATGGCGAAAGCCGAGGTCTAGTTGAATTCAGCAATATAAATGTTAATACTAAGCATAATACTTAGCAGAGGTTGTCAAACTAATACTAAAATGATATAGAAGTTTTAGTATGGACCGCAACAATTCTGGACGTTTACAACTCCCTGCAAAATACACCGCAAAATAAATGGTATATCAGCAAAAATAATTTATTTCCAGCCCGAGACGACCACAAAAACTGCGGTCCACACATCTTGACAAGAAAGTATCTCTTTGTAAGCGAAGCTAAAAGCAAAGGAATGTTGTCGTTTATTATACTGTTCACTTTATTCTCTCAGAATCGTGGGGGATAGATACCTACTCATTGTATGGTGGAAGCGTGTCACGGGAGCCAAAACTACAGGTACCCGGCTTGTAGCTTCCGGTCCGAGTAGCCATTTGGGCGATCGCGCAGCACGGACAGCAGCACGCTTCACAGTAGTCCCTACAGTAGTTCCCTGGGATCTGAAACCTGTCTCGCGTGACTGAGCGCAAGTGACAGATCCAGAATGGCAAACATGCGGACAAGAAGCAGCCGATGAGGAAGCTCAGGAGCAATCCGAAGCCGTAGGAGGTGACACCCAGTCGCTTGGAAATTTGTGCCAGCGAGATGCAAGGACAGAACGTCACCATACAGCAGTTCGGAATTAGATTGGTGCAGCAGCCACAGAGACCGACTAGCCAGCTTCCTGTCGTCAATGGAGTGTCGTCCGAGAACGGAACGACACTAGCATACTGCTGGGCTCCTTCGTTGCTGGACACTTGTGTAGCGTCCTGTCGTATCCAGCCATTCTCGAGATCGGCAGGTACAGATCCAGGCGGTTCATTTGTTACTTGGCTCGACTTCATCTCGATAGTTTCTGGTTGTGCAAAAGCAGGAGAATGATGATTCCAACTCAAACGTCTAAGTCGGTCTCAAAAACTATAATATTAGCCAGGTAGTTTTACGGATTGTGAACTTCTTCCGAATTTAGCAAACCGATTCTGTTGCATAATTCTGACAAAAATACTCTAATCATGACCGTGGAAAATTATTGCTCCCGAGGAAATGTCCTCAAAACTTTTCTTAAGCTTAGTCTAGTTGGCGGAACGAGAATGAAGTCCTCGACTCAATAATATCATCTATCTCTGATCCAACAGATGCTGAATTCATATCGCTACCTGATCCGGTTGGTTCCGGTATGCCTGTATAACCAACTCCCTGGTACTTGTCCAGCTGTGCGATCAAGTCCTGGTATAGTTTTTCGTTGGCGTTGTAAGCCCATACCATATCCAAGTGGCTGTACTCCTTAACTGCACGTTCGTGCACGATAGTACCCGACGGCAATGCGTCGCGAAGTTGCTCGATATCTGTTGCCGTCGCAAGGGTGTCTGCGGATCCAAGGAAGAAACCTGTCCGAGGGTACACCATCTTTTCAAGGGGGAGCGGCGGTGGATCGAAGCTGCCGTACACTTTCTTGTTCTTACATTTGCTCTCGGAGCATTCGTCAATACCCAAGTCCCGTTTGCACTTGCAGCCGTAGTCATAGCGTGCAAAAGTCTCGTCACGAACATTCTGTGCGTAGTGAGCCATGTTCTTAACTGACGTCCCTGCTGGCGTTTGTGAAATGTAAACTGGTATCCGTGAAGTGTTCGTACTGACGGATGGACCAGCAATTAGAGCGATCGCAGAGTCGCAAAGCTCGTCGACTACAGTGCAAGCAAACCCGGCGATCATTTCTTGAAAAAAAGTGCTTTTCCCAATGAACTCGGAGATGCCAAACGTCTGGAATAGTTTATCGAGGTGCACGTCTGCCATCCCTTTAAAGATTTTTGCTGTCAAGTGGCCAGTCCACGCGACCGGAGCCAGTGCTCCGAAGTAAGAAACTTTTTGCGCGAGTTCCTGGTCGAAGGAGAAACCCACGAACGCTTGTGTCGTTCCCTCCGAATGACCCACAAAACTTAACATGGAGCTCTGTGTTTTATTCAGCGCGTACTCGATTTCTGCCGGGAGGTCGTATTTGCCCATATCTTCCCAGCTGAACTCCCAAAATTCATCATCGTCGTCGGTGTACGTTAAATGCTCTCGAGACCAGGTAGTTCCGCGGTTATTACCAAGCCAAACGTCGTACCCTGCATCCGCTAGAACGAACGCCAAGCTTTGGTTGCGGAAGTTATTGACGAACGTGAAGCTGCTGTCCAGTAAGCCGTGCTGTAGAAGAACGACTGGCTTGGTGGCATCAGGTTTAGCCCCCGCTTGGCTTTCCTTGTACGTCTTGGGCAAGCGATACATGGTTAAAACATAGTCGTCGGCGGTGATCACTTTGTGTGTTTCAATAAAATATCCACGAGCTTGGACGATCTCCACTACGTTCCTTCCCACGTCGTCGTCGATATCGACCTCGGCCACCTCCGTTTTTCCAACGACGCCACCACATCCAACGATATGAAGAAGAACGAAACTCCAACTGAACAATCGGAGGACAGGATACCACGACAATATCATCGTTTGTAGACGAGAAGAGGTACCAAATCGATGCGGAAGTGGTTTGGCCGACCGCTTGTCGGTCTCGAAGAAAAAGCCGAAGTGAGGGCGGCCCAGATCAACGAACAGCGCGAAGCCATCGTAAGAGCGTACCGATACTCAAAGAAAGTGCCCCAACGCTTGAAGACTGGTAAAGAAATGGCCTTAATCAAGGGCAACACATCGGCCAGCTTATCATCCGGTCCGTATGGTTCTCCCGGAGTCAAAGACTGCGACTGGAAAGTCGATGAGTGGTCACTTGTGTAATACTTCGAAGATGACGAGTTTTTTTTATCCTATTGTATCCGGATATGGACTGTACTTGTATACAGTGGGGACAAAAAGCTAGCTTTTAAACTACCTTTTGAGGTTTAAAACCCTCATCTGGTTTAAAACTCCAATCGATGACTTTTTTCGTTTGATTGGATGAAAAGATTGCCACGCTTGCCGCCATACAAACCAAACTTCCGATCATGGTGGATGTCGAGTGGCAACTCATCAGCCAAGGCGCTGAGGCGGTACGGGAGCTACCTTCATCGCTGCTGATTAACGTCGCTAAATTCGTGCACATTATATCGGACAGAAAGTCTTCGAGACGGACTTCGCTGGCCGCGCCTGTGTCGTCAAAGAGCGTGTCAAGAAGAGCTATCGGCTGCCTGTACTGGATAAGAAGCTGTCACATCGTCGCCTAGTGCAGGAGGCTCGCTGTATTCTCAAGTGCCGTCGTGCTGGAGTTCTCACGCCTGTTATCTTCCTGGTGGATGAAGACAACAGCCGCCTCTACCTGGAAAAGGTGGAAGGAGGCAGTCTAAAGGACTATCTGCGACGGGCATATACGCTTGGTACGATGCTCATTAATGCACTACCCCGTATAGAAGGCTACGGGAACTAATGAGAGGTGTATTTGTTGTGCAGACCCGAAGTATGGCGACAAGGCACTGAAGAAAGCTTATCACATCGGTGAAGCCATCGCCAAGATGCATGATGCCGATATTGTGCACGGAGATCTGACGACGTCCAACATGATGCTGAGTAGCGACGAAGCTACGGATGTTGTAAGTGACTTGTAGAGGGGATTTCTCTTTATTGGCGTGGTGTTCAGTGATGCTTTGGGTGCAGTTAGACGATGATCGATTTCGGTCTGGCCAACTCGCAGCCGCTGCCGGAGGACAAGGCCGTCGACCTCTACGTGATGGAGCGCGCGTTTGCCAGCACCCATGTTAACTCGGAACTCCTGGTGAGTTGTGGGAAGGTGTTTAAGCAAGAAAAATGGACTGATGGACACTCTTTTGGTGGCAGGTTGAGGAGGTCTTGCGTGCCTACAGGGCAAAATCTCGCCGCTCCGATGCGATCTTCCAGAAGCTTTCTCAAGTGCGTCTTCGCGGGCGCAAGCGCACCATGGTGGGATAACTGTGGAGTGATTGAGAATGTAGTACTTCACTTGCGGAATGTTATCGTGATAATCTACGTGTAGGTTGCAACACGGCTCTTGCTTTGTTCATTCTTACCACTGAATGGAAACAGCTCAACTATATTTCAGTACTGAAGAACAACAGGCGTAAGAGGCTAATTGTCCGTCTTAGAGATGTAGGGTAAGGCGAGCGTTTTGTGTTGAATGATGATGACGTCCGTTGGCAATGCCCTCGTAGTTTAAAAAGAGCTGCAAGGAAAGTAAAATGTAGGCAGAGAAGCCAACGCTCCTTTCCTCGCCCCAAAGTTCGCTTGCCCAAGCTAAAGCCAACAGTTGACCCACTCACTCTTTTTTACAAGCAACTTCACCAGGACTGGTTACTTCTTTTGCTTCTTGGCTGTAAGCATACAGCAGCAATCAAACAAGATAAGTTCCCCGTTCATCACAACGACACATCAATGACGCGTACCTGGCGGTTCATCTTCTTCTTCCTCGTCCTCTTCGCCGTCTGCTTCCTCATCGTTCTCCTCATCGCCGTCGTCATTGCCATCGTCTTCATCTTCTGCGGCGTCATCGTCGCCATTTTCTTCTCCATCATCATCGTCGTTATCGTCGTCGTCGTCATCCTCTTGGGCTGCGGCATCCACCTTAAAGTCTTCATCGTTCTCATCGTCTTCAAAGTTCGTATATAGATACGACAACCCCACCCCCTCCTGTTGCTCACCGTCTCCCCCTTCTTCGCCATTTTCTTCTTCCTCCCCCTCTTCCTCTCCGTCATTATCCTCGTTAGCTGCATCATCCTGCACCGACTCTTCGTCGTCAGCGCTGGCGCTGTCCTCGTCGTCCGCCGGCTTTGTTTTCGCTGCTTCCTTGGTGCGCGCAGGCTTCTCCGGGGTTTCCGCAGTCTTGGAAGTGGACACCTGTCGAGGAACCAAGGCCACAAGTAGCAGCGAAACAACTTGAAGTTAGTATCCCTCACAACGATTTCAGCTGACTTCTCGAGCCTGTATCTTTATAGCGTTTGAGATAAAAAAGAGATCGTCAATGAACGCACCGTCATCTTGGAAAAGTGGTTATCGTGGCGGGAATAAGCTTTGTCAAGTTATGCGGCGAGAAGTGCTGTACGAGGGTCGGAGTCCAAGGAGCTGGAAAGCGCGAGATTTCTTTCGGTTCGGTTGCGGCCCCTGACACCTGAATCTTGGTTTTTGTGGACCACCCAATCAAATGGTTTTGCAAAATAAAATAATTGCTTTATTATTTTTGTAAAACAAAAATATTACAGTGTAGACTGAGCTACATGTACTTCCAGAGCTTTTTTTTCAAAGTTGCCGCACTCGAGTGCAATTGTAGGCTGTAAAAATGTACTACTAGTAATAAAATTGCGCCACAGAAAAGTAGTGGCGCACACAAAAACTGGGTTGTGTTGCTGTACATTTTGATAAGATTTGGGCACGATTAAAATAATCCCTTGCGACTGCAGGATACTAAGTACTTCGCAGGATGGCAGCGTAAGGCGTCTCGCCTAAGTGAATCGAGGCTCTTGCTATGATACCATGGGCAATATTTGTACCACAACTACGTTCGGTGGCAACGATCGAATGGGATTCCGGATTCCATTTGCTTCGCTGTGTCTATGAGCGTTCCATTGTAGCCAACAACTTGTTGGTACCGCACCGGCCCGGTGACCTGGCGGTGCATGGTCTCAACGCGCAACTCTCAATACTTTAGTCAAGTAGCGTTGCAGTAGCGAAAATCCATCGCTTATTGCACGGATGGACACGGGCTAAGAAGAGACCGATAGCAGAGGCACGCACAGTTGTTACTGGACGATATGCTCAAAAGTGCACAGCCGGAGCGCCCTGCGCTGAAAAAAGACGAGTCCAACGCGATCGGCGATGGTTCTCAGTCGAGGAGATTTCCATGGGGCGCTCGGCTCAAGATATTCCTCACTCCCCAATTTGCTCATAACACGGCAGATTCCCCAATCCCCTTGGCGCTTAAGCACCATGTATTTCGCCAAGGTCTTCGCAGCAGTGACAGCCCTCGCGGCGTCGTCCGTCAGCGCTTACACGAACCCCATCATGATCAAAAATTACAAAATGTTCGACTCGAACACGGGCGACTACTTCGCCGTCAAGGGCGTCGACTACTACCCGCGTCCCAATTCAGGCGAACTCAATGTCAACAACTACGACTTCTTCTCGGACGATAACAGTTCCATCTGGAAAGATGACATCGCTTACCTCGCTGAGGCGGGCGTCAACGCTGTTCGTCTGTACGCCGTGGATCCGTCCAAGTCGCACGACGGCTTCATGTGCGAGCTGCGCAAATATGGCATGTACGCGCTTGTGGATCTTGGTGCCAGTTGCGAGAACTGCTCCATCACCGTGGACGAATACCCAGCATGCTACCCGGGTGCGCTCAAGACTCGTGGGCAGCAGATTATTACCGAGTTTGCTCAGTACGACAACACGTTGGGCTTTAGCGCTGGTAACGAGATCAACAACCTTGTCAAGGATGCCAGCACCAACGCCCCGTGTCAGAAGAAGTTCATTCGCGACATGCGCGCCTTCATCGGTGGCTGCTCGTCCACCATGCGTAGCATCCCCGTGGGTGTCGTGATGGCCGACCCGGACACCACAAACAATAACCGCGAGCTCAACGCCCAGTACTACAACTGCCGCACAGAATCGAGCGATAAATACGAGAACGCCGAATGGTATGGCCTCAACACGGACCAGTACTGCGACGGCGACGTGACGGAGCTCGCCGACGCTGACGGGTTCTCACAGTTGCTGACGGATTTCTCAAACTACAGCATGTCTATTCCAGTAATGCTGACAGAGTACGGCTGTGTGAACCCGAGCTTTCCTACTGTCGGTAAGTACGAGGCGCAGCGCACGTGGCGACAGGCCGGCTGGTTGCTAGGTGAAAAGTTCCGTGAGGTGTTTTCTGGTGGGTTCGTGTTCGAGTTCGCAACGGAGATGGCCAACTCGGACGGCTCGGGTTCGACCACGTCGTCGTATCCATTCACAACCTACGGCGCGCAAACTATGGTCTGGGCTACTACTCGCCCGAGGAATGCGACTGGATTGACACTATGTGCTCGTTTAACCCGAAATTTTTTTTTAAAATGTGCTCGTTTAACCCGATGCCCAACTTCTATAACCTTTCGACCCAGTACAGCGACACAGACTTCTCTTCTGAGTCTTCGTACACTGACTTCACAGCCGATTCAGACCGCATCAATCCACCGGCCTGCCCGTCGGGATTCTCTGCCCTTGCGTTATCTACGTGGGAATCTGACAGTGTCGAAGACACGTCTTGCCCGTCAAAGGTGCTCAATTACGAGTGCTCGGGGCAGAAGTCCAGTGACTGGACGAGCTACCAGGGCACCACATCGAGTGCAGCCAGCGGAGGCACCGCCGAAAGTAGCGGCGACTCTTCGGATGCCTCGGCATTGAGCATGTCAAGCACGTCGCTGCTCCTGGTCGTCTACGCGATTGCTACCCTTCTGTAGTCACAGTTCCATGAGTGGGGATCTACCACACTGATAGATAAACGAGCAGGGCGAGGAATTGCCGAATTGATTGGATTGCGTTGCGTCATGTTGGTGAAGTCTCTATGTATTAATAAGCCCGCAGAATTGGTGAAGTCCTCCGTCTAGTGCCATCGTACCAAAGGTCGTACGGATCAAAATATTGTTGTGGCCAAAAAATTTCCCTTTTGGGATATTACACACCTCTTGAGGATGGGCATGTCACTGTCTTGGGGAAGATTAATCCTTTCAAACATCAACTAATCTGACTTGGTATTTGTAAGTGTCACTAGACATGCCTGTGCTTGTACCGGTACCCAAAATCAGTCGACGCTTCTCTCGACCTCAACACACTTCTCGATTCGCCTCCTACCGCCAACTGCCAAAAGCGAATTTATAATAATTAATAAGTGCACCCACCAGCAATGCTTCGTTTTGCCTCCTTTCGGACTGGCAATTGCCGATCTGTTGCCACTGCCACAGAGTTACACGAACCCCATCAACGGTCGAAGGGTTTACAAAATGTTCGATGCCTAAAACGGGGGAAGCATTCGCCGTTAAAGGCATCGACTACTACCCGCGCCCCAACACGGGAGACCTGGACGCCAACAATCTCGACTTCTTCACAGACGACAACGAAGCCATCTGGGGCCCCGACATCGAATACCTCGCGGCGTCTGGCGCCAACGCCGTCCGCCTGTACGCCGTGGACCCGTCCCAACCACACGATCTCTTCATGTGTGCACTGCGTGCCAAAGGCATATACACGCTAGTAGACCTCGGAGCGAGTTGTGAGAACTGCTCCATCACTTTGGACGAGTATCCGACGTGCTACCCGAGTGCACTGAAGACTCGAGGAGAACAAATCATCTCTGAGTTCGCACAGTACGACAACGTGTTGGCATTCAGTGCCGGCAACGAAGTAAACCACATTGTCGATGATGCGTTCACTAATGCTCCGTGTCAAAAGAAATTCATACGAGACATGAGAGCTTTTCTTGGAGGTTGCTCCAGTTTCCGTGATATCCCAGTGGGGGTGGTTATGGCCGACCCGGACACGACCAATAACAACCGAGAGGTCAATGTCAAGTACTACAACTGCAGAACCGACTCGAGTGATGAGTACGAGAATGCAGAATGGTACGGTCTTAATACGTATCAATACTGTGATGCCGACATTACAGAGTTGGCGTCCTCGGGTGGATTCGAGAAATTATTGACGGACTTTTCGTCTTATGATTTGACAATCCCCGTAATGCTCACGGAGTTCGGTTGTGTGAACCCAAGCTTCCCGACTGTGGACGGATATGAAGCTCAACGCACATGGCTTCAAGCCGGGTGGATGTTCGACTCGACATTCCGTGACGTGTTTGCCGGAGGTTTTGCCTTCGAGTACTCGACGGAAAACGCGAATGCCAAGGATGAATCGCCCTATCCGTTCACGAGCTTCGGTGCACAGAACTACGGATTGGGCTACTTCTCGCCGGAAGACTGCGACTATGAGTCGGTTCCTTGTGTCTACAACCTCATGCCAAACTTTGAGAACTTGGCCAAGCAATACAATGCAACGGATGTGTCGGGTGAGAGCAGCATGACTGACTTTACCCCTGAACGAACCACAATCCCGTCGTGTCCGAATGGCTTTGCTGCTCTCGCCGACGTCACGTGGGAGGCGGATAGTGTCAACAGTTTGACTTGCCCGTCTACTGCGCAACAGTATGAGTGCCCAGACCAAGAGCCGAGTGGAAAATGGGCTAGTGACGCTGGCTCGAGTTCGACCGCATCGTCGACGACTTCGGATAACACAAAGGACAGTGGAGACTCCAACACGGCCAAGTCGGGAGCGGGAACTACTGATGGTGGCAACACCAGTTCCACGTCCTCGACCATGACCCGCTCCGTTGTAATGGCTGCCATCGTTTCAGCCCTTGTTGGAATTCTGATTTAAGGAGATTGATATAAATATATAAGTGCTGAAATTAGCTACTACGTGAAGTATTTGCAGAGAGAAGAGAACGTTGATCTCCAATTTAGAGATCTGATTTGAGAACCCCGAAAATGGCATTCCAGTTGAAAGCCGGCCCACCGAAAAGCAAGAGTAGGCTTCAGCTCTCGTTGTCATTGTTGAACACCGATCATACTACGCAGAAGCAGCCCTCAGATCGTCAAGTATGAAGCTCTCCGTGACTCTTGCAACTCTGCTGGCTGCCCTAGCTACTGTCAACGTCCAAGGCTACACGAACCCCATCACTATCGTGGGCTACCGCATGTTCGACAACAAGACGGGAGACTCGTTCGCTGTGAAAGGCATCGATTACTATCCGCGTCCCAATGCTGGCAAACTCAACGAAAACAATCACGATTTCTTCACAGACGCACACTATGATGTCTGGAAAGATGACATCGACTACCTTGCTTCTACTGGAGCCAACGCTGTGCGGTTGTACGCCGTCGATCCGTCCAAGACCCACGACAAGTTCATGTGTGCGCTGCGGGCAAAGGGCATGTACGCTCTGGTCGACCTTGCTGCCAGCTGCACAAACTGCTCGGTTACTATTAAACAGTATCCAGACTGCTACCCCACTGATCTCCGAGAACGCGGACGAGAAATTATCCTCGCTTTTGCCAAGTATGACAACGTGCTGGTACGTTTGTTATTAGTACCATTTTATGGTAGTGATGATACTTATGTTTTGTGGTTTTAGGCTTTCAGTGCAGGAAATGAGGTTAACAACGAAGTACCGGAGGACGCTGCCATCAACGCGCCATGCCAGAAGAAGTTCGTGCGGGACATGCGCAACTTCATTGGAGAATGCTCAAGTATCCGCAAGATTCCCGTTGGCCTCGTAGTAGCCGATCCGGATACAGCGAAAAATAATCGCGAGCTCAACGCAAAGTACTACAATTGCCGCACTGGTACGGACAAGTACGAGAACGCCGAGTGGTATGGTATCAACGCGTACCAGTACTGCGACAACGAGCAGAAGACTCTTGCGGCGGCGACCGGGTTTAACAAACTCCAGACGGATTTCGCGTCGTACGGAATGACCATCCCCGTAATGTTGACAGAATACGGGTGCCTAAACGTGAACTTCCCGAAAGTTGGAGAGTATGAGGCTCAGCGCACGTGGCTTCAGGCTGGTTGGCTGTTCTCTTCTGACTTCCGCAAGGTTTTCTCCGGAGGTTTTGCCTTCGAGTACTCAACTGAGATCGTGAACGTGAAGGCTCAGTTTCCATTTACAAAATTCGATGCCGGGAATTACGGACTTGGGTACTTTAAGCCTGTGAACTGCAACCACGACGATGTCAAGTGCGAATACGTCCCAATGCCCAACTACTACAACCTCAGTACGCAATACAAAGCTGTTAGTGTCGCCAGCGAGACCAAAATGAGCGCGTACAAGTCGGATCGGACTGTACTACCCACGTGCCCGACTGGTTTCCCGAAGCTTAGCGCCATCACGTGGCCGTCTGACACTGCTGCTAGCAACTTCAACTGCCCCACAGCAGTACAAGCTCACACCTGCCAAGGTCAACAGTCGAGTGGAAACTGGGCTACCGGCTCCGGATCAGGGACGCAAAGCACGACGCCCAGTGGAAGCAGCAGCAAAAGCGACAGCGGCAGCGGATCATCTGAGGCAAACACCACCACGGCCAACGAATCGATGCGTCAAAACTCGCTCATGGCGATTGTATCGGTCACTTTGTTCTGGGCGATCTCGCATGCTCTTTTTTAAAGAACGATCCAGGGGATAGATACTTCACTCTTATGAACTAAAAGTACTATTCTGAATTTATAACTACACATTTTCTCTATTGAGCATGAAGATGAACACATCTGCAGTGCGATGATGTTGCATAGCGTTAAAGTCTGCTGGACGATTGAATCGCATCTCGGAAGCAGCACATCATCTTCTCAATGGCCCAGTCCGGCGTTTCAGGGGTGACAGGAAGGTAGACCAAGCTGTCGTGGCAAGTGTTAGTGGACAAGAAGTCAAGTTTACTTTGCCAGAAATAATTGTACTAACAAACCTGGTCATGATGTGCTTAGCGTGCACAGGGTCATGCTCCTGTCCACGCGGACTACGCACAAGAAAATGAGGTCATACTTTGAGCTGTAGAATGATAGGTTTATTTCTCTCTTCGTACCTCGGCACGTAGGTCAACTGGGTAGCCCCCGACGTGACATCAAAACCCTGTCAAGAATGCTCGCTTAGTCGTGCTAGGAGGTAAAACTAATCGACGGTATTCTCAGCCTTACATGCTTGTTCATGTAACTGACAACATCCTTTGGGGAAGGCACACAAACAGGGAACAACCAGTAGTAATGTTTGTCAGCACGGTGGCCTGGGATCTACAAAGAGCAGAAAGCAGAAAATGTTGATAAACCGAGTAGTTAAGAAAAATTGATAGCAACTTACTGCGACGTTTGGAAGATCTTTGATGGCGTTAGCCAACTGCTCGCTCTTGGATCTGATATTGTCACCGCACATCAAGGTCATCAGTAACTCTATCAGCCCTCGTTTATCATGTTCACTTACTTTCTTAGCAGAACATACTGCTCATCCATGCAGGTGAGTCGACGATGCATCATCCCAAGCAGAGCCATAGACGGGCGATACTGAATTAATGACACCAGCTCTCCACCACTGAAGCCACGAATCACCGAAGTGATCACTTTATCGTGGTCAGCTGGAACACAAGCGATTCTTTTACTAGTCAGATCACCACGCAGTGGACTGTTATGCTGAACTCAACGTACCCCCAACAGCTCGACAGGCATGGAGGAACAGACCGTAGATTGCAGGTGTAGAGATACCATGCAGCACGCCATACTTCACTAATCTCTTGAAAAAGAACACGTTCGTGCGACTCGGATACCTACAAGAACAGAGTCATTTATTCTCACAACTCCATTGTAATACGAGAGCAAACACTCTGCTTACCTCTTTTCACGACGACGCATTTCTTTCAGCACAGCTGAGTTCTTGACGTTGATGATCGCACCACCAAATGACGTTGCCGTCTTGATTGTGCCAAAGCTAAACATGGACACATCGGCACGGTTCTCGCCCGTGTACTGCATGCCCATAAAGGCCTGTGCGCAGTCCTCCACAACCAGCAGATTGTTACTACGAGCGACTTCAAGCGCTTCATCCAATGGGAAACGCGAGCCGAAGATATGCGCGATCAGCAGCATCCTCGTTTTCTACGTTGACCACCCCAATCAGCTCTAAACTTCCATCGAACACTACTCTGAATACCCCCTTACCTCTGTAACAGACTTCTTTAGCAGTTCGGCATTCACCGCCAAAGTCTCGGGGTCCAGATCCACAGGAACCGGTACCAATCCATGATACCGCAGTACGTAGATCATGTCGGGGATCGTGATGGCGCTGCAGAGAACTTCACTCCCAGCTGGCAGCTTGAGTGTCTGCAGGAGCAGATCAAACCCCGTCCTAATCACAAATTGCAGCAGCAATAAGCTTACAATTTTCTTTAATTTTGAAGCAAACTGGAGCAATTTCTGACCGGATGGAGAGCGTGACCATTGCGTGGCCACTAGGGTCCCATAGATTCGTGATCTTCTGCTCGTATTCCTGGCGTTGGTTCTCACGCAGTTGCAGACACGCCGCCAGACCTGTACCGATGTCCCCGTACGTCACGTCCAGCTTCTTGCGAGGGAAGATGGCCCATGGCGCGGACGCTGACAGCGATTCCAATTGGCCTGGCACAACATCCGACACAAGCGATACATGAGTGGATTGCATTAGCGGGTAAAGAGGAGCATATGCAAGCGCACCAAAAGGTTTGAGGCTTGCTGAGGTGGCGCTCATGACGCAGGACAAGGTGCTCAAGCGGCAGGGTTCGTAGTGGTTTTTTTGGGGTAGGGAATAATCCAATTTGCCCATCCACCCACCCATTCATCCTCTGGGGTGGTTATTTTAGGGAAAAACAAAAAATCCCACCCACCCCGCTGAGTTGAAAAACATCTCCCAATTTTGTTGTCCATTTTTTGCCTCACGTAGAAATTTGACGACAACAGCGTCCCCTTTTCATCTCACTCGACTTTCTGACAGCTCTATGGACAGTCCACCAGTGTTGCCGTCTCACCGGTTCTGGTTCCTGCTCCCCCCGGCAGTGACATCTCGTGCCCAAGTCCAGGCTGTCAGTTCAATACTACGAAGATTAACACTCTCCGGCGCCATTGCAAAAATACTCACCAGCTAAGAATTTCTGTCAAGTGCGCTCGTGTCTCGCTAGAAAGCAAAAGAAGCAGGCAGCGCGAGTATAGTGCGCGTTATAGATCAAAGAAAAGAAAAGAAAAAAGAGCGTCAGGTAGTACAGAGGACAGAAGTATTTACTGATATAGACGCAGACATAGAGGGCGTCTTTGGTGCCCCCTTTTGCCCGATCGAATATCGACCGTCATCAATTCCGGGTGCCGGAAATGGAATTTTCGCAACAGTTGATCTAATACCCGGTGATATAGTTACGTGGTACTCAGGAAAGTTTTCCAGTGATGAGCCAGTTAACAAAACGTACGCGGTCGCCGTTCGTGGTGGCTACATCGATGGATTGTCTTCGATTGCAAACTTGGAGGTAAAAGCGAAAGTGAGTGCCAAAGTTAACGAGCACTTCCATAAAACGAGGCAGGCGATGGCATTGGATGGCGGAGCGAGCTGCGTGGCGTGTGATATTTAAATATTGTATACCCATAGTTAAATTAAATGATTTGTAGGGTTAGGACAGGTAACAACCCAATATCCACCCACCCCGTGCAGCGCTTATATCCACCCCTGCATTCTATAAAACCTGGGTATTCCAGAACCCTGTCAAGCGGTCGTTCGAATGTGCGAACTGACGTGTTTTCACGAATCGTACTTAAATGGAGACAATTTTTCAATGTTGAAGAGCATTACGCGGCATAATTTGTGCCTTTTGCGGTTACCCTTTTAAGTTAAAGAGAGTGGCTACTGCGCCCGTCTGAGGAGGTCTCTTCTTTGTCATGCCCTATTCCTCGTGTGTCATGCTCTGCGCACGCTATACGAACGACGGCGTATACAGTATACTGCAAGGACAGAACGAGTGGCTCCCCCTCATTTGGACAAAAAGAGCAAAGCGGCAAGTATGGAGCGCCGGCCGCGTCCAGCACAAAAGCGCCGACAGTACGCTGCTCCGAGTGAAGATGATAGCGACGCCGAGTGTGCACTGCCATCCAGGGACTCGAGTGTACAGTCGTCGCAAACCTCGAGCCAGTTCGAGACACAGAGCGCCCAAGAGGAGGCCTCCAGTGGAGAGACATCTTGTGCCTTAGCCCCCCAGCTACTTCAGATGCAGTTTGACTCGTGGGAGTCATTCCATGCTTACCTCGACGAGTATATGGCGCAGACATACCAGGTTCGCATCGCTAAGAAATTGTTTAGTTGACAACTAGCCTAATTACTACTGTATGTGTACCAGAGCTTTCGAATTCGTACTAACAACAAGGTCCAGGAGCGCAACCGCAAGATCCAGAAGCAAAATACTTTAGCTCCTCTAATCCCAGAGGAGTGGATCTGGTACAACAAGACCCTTGTTTGCACCCACGCGGGCAAGTACAAACCGCGGGGTAAAGGCAAGCGGCCACGTCGGGAAATACGATCGACTGAGTGCGGTGCACAGGTATGTAGTCATTTATATTTGGGCACAGTTGGTCTAAATACTATCGAGTTGGGCACAGATGGGTGAATTCCCATCGAGTCGGGCTCAGATGGGACACCTGCAACTGGATGTGTGCAAGGATTCGAAGGGTGTCGCGTCCAAAGCTATGGGAGCCATCTCGGAGTCCAAACATGTAACTACAATTGTGGTATCTATGTTCTAGTCGCCTGCGAGATGTTTGCAGGTGCACAGTCGCCGGGACTAATCGACAAGAAGACGCTGCAGTATCTGCGCTACAGATACCTTAGCTTGTGCATTTAAATACATTACATTTTTGACCAAACCAGTAGTAAAATGCGAATGAAAATGCGCTTGTGAGATGTTTCACCCGTAGCTTGCTGTCAGTCCAAGACAGACATAGACGTATAAGAGTCCGGTTAATCCCGTATAGGAGTCCGGTTAATCGCAGCAAACCCGTATAGTTGCGTGACACGCATCAAAATATTACATTACTGGCTCTTTCGGTAGTTGGGATCAGATGGGCACAAATGGTCGTATGTGGGAGTCGGATGGTGTCGGATGGTGTCGGATGGGAGCCAATGCCTCGTCACATTTTGCCCCAGATGGGCACAGTGACACGTGCCTAAGTTAAAAGGGTTGCGCATCGCCGCCCCCAACCATGGTTTTGACACACACACATACAGCAAAACAAGGCGCGAGTAGCGTGCTTATCCTGTCAGTAAAATACGCGAGCCTTGGCTATTGACACTCCCATTGCTCAACAGCCCCATGAACCGCAACTTCAGATTTTTTAACTGCCATGCCTGTCCGCAAATGTAGTCTAGCTAACATCGTCAAAAGAATCATGAGAGTGTGTCCTGCGCCCAACGGGGTTGTCGTGTTGAGGCCAGACTTTTACCCCTAGCCCCTCGACGGCATCCGACAGGCTGTATAGCGTGCGTATACACGCGCCGTCAGCCACTGATTTTAGGGGGAGGTCCAAATCGAAAATCTGCAGCCGGAGAAATGGACTTGCGAGTGATGCCGCCAAGGCCTACCGTCTGCGCATCGTGAAGCAGCTCCGGCAGTGAGAGATCGGCTTCAGGGAAGGGTGGTCTGAGTGATGAGGAGTGGGTGGAGTCTGATTCGAGTCCAATGAGTACAAGGAGCAGCATTGCATCTATGACCGGAACGTCTGAACGGTACGAAAGCTCCAGATCCAGCAGCATGACGTCGTCGCGCCAAGCGTTCGAACGGTCCGACAGCTCCAGATCCGGGCAGGACGATGACAGCGACATCAACAGCAGTTTTGTAGCTGTCCCTCTCCAGCGTACACAGTTTGATTCGTGGGAAGATTTTCACAGTTATCTGAGGGAGTATGAAACTCAAACCTACCAGGTATGTATCGCTTTTCATTTGAGTATCAGACATCGTTGCAATGCTGTCATTCTCCCGTTACGTTCTTGTAGAGCTTCCGTGTCCGCACAAATAACACGGTTACCCGTCGGAACAGCAAAATTAAGGCGGCGGGCAGCTCGGCTCCGTTGATCCCAGAAAGTTGGGTACACTACAGCAAGACGATAGTGTGTACCCACGCAGGCAAGTACAAATCGCGAGGCCAAGGAAAAATAAAACGCCAGGAGTCGAGGGCACTTGACTGTGAAGTGATTGGGTTGAGCTGGTACTCAGATGGGATTTATTAGCGTGAGTTGGTACTCAAATGGGATTTATTAGCGTTAATTTGGGCAATCATTTGGGCACCGAAATCCAACTAGTGACTGGGTTGGGCACAGAGACCCGCGTGGACAACGAGGTGGGCACAGAGACCCAACTAGTGACTGAGTTGGGCACAGAGACCCGCGTGGGCACGCAAAGGAGGCCGGATCTTGGGTTACCAAGCGCTGCTGGATCTGATCATCTAAGTATACGTACCGGATCACCAGTTATTGGTGGACACCAACGCCCCATCGACATCGATGATGATAACGTCGAGCTCGAGCTTCAAAGTTCGCCAAAGTCAAAGGGGCGCCCCAAGCAAAAACCGAAAGCTGTCAAGGCCAAACGGAAGCTAATAACGACGCTGGTACAAGAAGACATGGAGATGACCAGTAAAAAGATGAATCTCGGTACACTTGATGAAATCCTTGTCGGAGATGCGAGCTACGTGTCTACTGCTGACAAAGTCATGCAGCTCAAGCTCTTCACATTTTACCAAGGTAAAGCCCCCTATTGCTCACGAGATTTCTCAGCTACCTGCCAGCAAGCCCCTGATAAGGCCGAATGAAATGGTGCGAATCTTTTATCTTTGAATTTTTTTATCTTTGAAGCCTACATCTACGATAGCAGCGCATCAATCTTTTTACCTTTGAAGCCTACATCTACGATAGCAGCGCATCGTCGTATCTTGTTAGCGTTCGATCCGTGGCTCAGAAGATAATAGCGCTTCTTCCGGGGACTGTTGGACATGGCATTCGTGTGCGCAATTTCGAATCGGGACTAGGAGTCCAGACAGACAGCTACAACTGCGGTATTTACGTTCTTATTGCGTTCGAAAACTTTTGTGGTGCCGATCAAGTCAGGCTTCTCGACAAGAAGACGTTGCAGTGCATGAGATACCGCTCCCTGCGCTTATGTTTCTAGTTGTAGCGAGATCTACCGGATTCGAAGATGTAGCGAACAATCTCAATGTAGTTCTTCTTTATATGCTCGCCAGCTCTGTGTTGCTACGTCTGGAAGATAGCGATTTTCTTGCTATTTTTTGTTGTGGTTGGACATGCTAGCTAAATACAGTACAACAACGACATGACAGTCTTGCGCTGGGTCCTCCGCAGAAACTGCCTCGGCGCGCATCTCAAGTGGTCTGGCTCTCTTACTTAAAAACTCTATATCCGGAGATGTGTATACAACGCGAGGCTAGCTCTTTTAGTTGGTTACCATTCGTGTCGAATTTGGGTGCGAGATGGTCATCTCATGGTTGCAATAAGGTCGGTTGGGCATCGTTTGGTAGCAAATGTCTCGTCTCATATTTTCCAGTTGGGTGCAGCAACGAGTGCCAAGAATCATCGCTACAGCCACCTTCAACATGTGTCTATCGAAAGATACTTTACGGGACACGAAGAGGTGCGTCGGTTTAATTAATGTGTAGATGGATCTGCCACTTTTCCACAGCTGCATCCGATCAGTTCCATGGCGAAGCGTGTGGCAGCGAAGCCTGGCGTTGCCACACCCGACGAGGCCTTAAGTGAGTCCGAGTCGACATGTTACGTGTCTCTAAGCGATCACATCAAGCGCACACGCACCACAAGCCAAGACGAAGGTTTACTGCTGTCCAGTCTGCTGCCAGAGCAATACTCTGGGTCTATCTGGAGTCTAGAGTCTTTGGCAATCCCCATTACGTACATCAGCACGGGCTTAATGTACTCTTTTCCTCAAGCCACTATCGAGTTTTTTCCGAGATCCTTAGGCGCCACCGACGCTCAGCTCAGCACGGTAACGGTGGTGCGTGCACTTCCATGGACGTTCAAAGTGCTCTTTGGTCTGTTACCGGATGTGTTCCCGATCCACGGCCAGCGATTCACGCCGTATTTGTTCCTTGGGTGTGTGACAGCGTCGCTATTCCACTTACTACTGTCGATTTACAGCGCCTCGGACTCTTTAACAGTTGCGTCCTTCGCATTGCTGCTTTTCGGGGCTACAGTTGGTGTGGTTATGGCAGACGTTATGGCAGATGCACTGGTAGCTCATCGAGTGTTGCTCTTGCAACAGAAGTCACCGAGAAAGAAGTCGAAGGAGTCGAAACTACAGCAAGAAGAATCCATGGTAGCGATGCAATCCGATGGAGCCCATTTGCAGACTACGGTGTATCTTTGTCGCTTTGCTAGCGAAATGGTGGGCTACTGGCTGGGTGCAGCATTGAGTAACAAAGCACAATGGGGTTATGGGGCTTCAATGGGTCAACAGTTCGTTTTCCTTGCGATCGTACCGATGGTTTCGGTGCTTCCCGCGTTAAAGTATCTCTACGAACCGGAGGAGATTGGACCAATGCCACTGCGGGATCAAGCTGCCGGGATCTGGCACATGCTACAGCGACGTGCCACGTGGCAACCGGTGTGCTTCTTGGTGCTGGCGAACGCCTTCTTTGTGCAGAACGCTGCGTGGGGGAATTACCTGAAAGTGGCGTACAATTTCGACGCCTTCCAGTACGGAGCGCTGAGTGGCATCGGAGCTTGCGTCACGTTCGCTTCAATTGTTGTGTATAGGACGTATATTATGCCGCACTTTGAAGCTCCTTGGCACGACGTGTACTTCGTAACTGGCCTTGTAGTTGCGTTCTTTTCGCTGTTGAACGTTCTGCTTGTGTTGCATGTGAACGAAGCCTTTGGCATTCCTCCCTTTTGGTTTGCGATGGGAGACGCTGCTGGCGAATCCTTTGCACGAGGCTTCCAGTATCTTCCCGTTGCTCAGATGTTCGTGGCTGTGTGTCCAGAGCATCAAGAAGGCGTCGCATTTGCACTGCTTACAAGTGTCACGAATCTGGCACAAGCTTTTTCCAGTACGATTTCCAATATGCTGCTGCATATTTGGCCGGTAGAGCTGACAGATCTGCAGAAAGTGCCTCATGACTTTAGCGGCGTCTGGAAACTTTCGATACTAACGAGCATCATCCCGTTGATTCCAGTTGTGCTCGCGACGACTCGGTTGTTGCCAAAGGGACCTCGCCAATTGGAAGAAATGAAGCACCAACTCTCGCCAACTGGGGCTAGAGTTGTCATCGGTGTGTATGGTTGCGGATTCATTTGGGTAATGGTGTTAAGTTTGTTAGCAATATTTGCGCCATGTCATGAGATTGTCGGTGGCCATGGCTGCAGCTGATTCAATAGACGTAACCTGACGGCGTCCAACACTCTGCTCGTGCACGTTTCACTCTTGTTTGATGATTTTCTCTGCGTTGAGAATTCTTAAACGTAATTGCATCTTCGTGATCAAGTCTCGAACACCAGCACGAACTTTGCTGGGATTTCCTGCTCCAGCTCTTCGGACCCTTTGTTGCCAAGTTTAAAACATCAAATATTATTAAGCACAAACTTCCGCATCTATAAGTGCCACAGCTTCATGCAAATCGTAGGAAAATTCGCTGTCACTGTAGCTCGCGTACTTAAGGCTTAGCTTGTGGGGTAAGGTCACCCCCAGAACGCGCTTCTCGGCCTCCCACACTCCCTCTTCCTTTGCGACTTGTTTGTACTTGATGCGACGATCTAGGTTTTGTAGCCAGGGGGCTCAGGAATTCCCAGCGTTGCTCCAAATGTGCTTCGGAAATGGGATTTGGCGCCATTTGTGAAAAGCATTTTAGCCAATAAGACCTGGGATAAAAATTGAATGAGCCAATCATGATGAATATCCAAGTTGAAGTGTAGAACCAACTGAAAGTACCTTCCGAAGCCGGCAACAAACTTGTCCAACTTCCCATACTGTGATGAAAGTTGCTAATGCAGCGGCAACAAACGGAAAGTTGCGTTTTGCCACGATAAGGAGGTTGCTGACAAGCTTAACTTGCTACTTGATTTTCGTCCGAATTATACATGAAATAAATCCGCACCATCGCAATGGTCATAAGTGGTTGATTCTTCAGCTTAATCGCTTGTTGCGAGGGACGTCTTGACTAGCCCAATGAGTTTTTCTAGTTGCTGTTTGTGTCGTGTGGATGGTGCGACGTCTTCGTGGCTGTTTGACTCATCACAATCCGTGTCAGACTCGTCGCTTTGTGGTGACTGAACATCATCTGAAGACGCAGATTCTGCAATAAGTTCCAGGAAATGCTGTCTTGATTCTGCAGTCGCGAGCTCCAGAAACGCGCTCAATCGAGGACGTCGTGGCTTAGCTCTAGCAATATTTATATCTGAAAGATTCAGCTGCACACCATACAATTTAGTGAGTGCCTCACAGACTTTTTCATTTGTCCCGGGCCACGCTTCAAACGATGCCGCCTCTTTTCGTGAAAATTCCAGTGTTTCGATGTCTTGCAACCACAAACAACCTCGGAGCTCGCTTGCGATTGGTCGTTTTAGCGGATCTACGGCTAATATCGACTGAAGCAAAGCACGAGCTGCAACAGAGAGTGTTGGTGGTAGCACCAGTTGCTGCGCGCCACTACGAAGTTTCTGAAAAAGTTGGTGAAAATTTGCACCTTGAAAGGGAAATTTACCACATAGCATCAAGTACAGCAAGACACCCAAACTCCATATGTCCACCGGTCTTCCATCGTAATGTTCACTTGTGACCACCTCAGGTGCCATGTAAACAGGAGTGCCACAAAAGTTTTTCTTCTTCTTCGGTTGTTTCTTTCGATTTTCGGTGTCTAGTGAAGCAAGGGAGAGAGGATCGACAGGCTCTTCAAAGTCACTGAACCCGAAGTCAATGATAGTAACGTGTCCCGATTCCTCATTGAGAAGAACATTTTCAAGCTTCAGATCGCGGTGAATCACGCACTGCGAATGAAGAGCTTCCACTGCTGCAACAAGCTGCTGGAATACTCGTTTCGCTCGCGTTTCGGATAGTCGTTGGCCTGAAGCTCGTTGTAGCACTTCACACAAACTGGTTCCCCTCAAGAGCTCAGTCACGACGTGTATTCGTGTTGACGTTTCAAAGACCTCGACGAACCGCAAGATGTTCGGATGTGCTCGTAACTTCGATAGTATTCTCACTTCTTGTCGGACTTGACGCCACTCAAGCGCATCTTCACCAAAGTCTTTTGCAGCCCGGCCTTCAACTGGTAAGCACGACCTCGCACCATGTAAACAACTATAACTTTTGATAGCTACGGACGTGCCGCTAAGTCGATGGGTGGCTGCACGCACTCGCCCAAATGTGCCGCGTCCAATTTCATTTCCCATGGAATACCAGCAGACTAAGCCATCCACTTGGTTACCGGCTTCACCGTTGATTAAGGCTCGTGTTATAGCGGCCTTCGTTTGTTCATCTAAAGAATCGGCTGTTTGACGCATTTTGTCAATGAAATATTGTACTGCTTGCTCTGCTGACTGGAGGTGTGTCATGGAAAGGGTGGGGGTTCGAGCTGGTAGCTCCGGCAATGCGTTGTTGCGTGCAACCCGGTCGTAGACACTCTGAAGCTGATCTTTTGCCGTTAGAGATTTTACAGAACAGAACGCGGAGACCCTCGCATCTTGTAAGGCGCAGTCCAAGCGATTTACTCTTCGTGTTCTAGTTTTTATAAATAATCCATTAGTTGGCCTTCCTCCGATGCACTTTACAGGAGCTGATGAGCTCTTAGCAGCGAGTTGTCGTGCTGTTGCCACCCTCTCCTTTAGGTCTAGCATGACTCTACTGTTTTGAGTATTTCCGGACGCCTTACAAAATGTGAAACCAATTAATCGCCACGACAATTTCTCAATCTCATGCTCAACGTTTTTGGAACGGAAACATCTCACACATCGACATCATAGTTCGTCCACCCGGTCACTTCACGACTTGGCGGCAACATGGCAGATCAATTATCACCAGCTAGAGCCGCTGCTGCAGTCACTCAGGCATTGGGAGAGATTGGACTTCCGCCGACAAGAAAACCACCCAACTCTTCTCTATTATCAACAGGACGCACACGTCCGCAAGTATTAATCAGTGCACGAAGGGCTCCATTCACTCCAGGTTCATACGGTCGACCTTGGAAATCAGCGCTTGGGAACCAACTCCAACATGCCAAGAATGACAAGCGAGTTGCGGAGAAGAAGGCTGAGACCGGCGCAACTCAGCCATACACTGTTATTGCAATACACGAAGAAGCAGCACTTCAAGGCTCGATCAAAACAGATAAGCTTTCTAGCAGGGGTGTATTTCGTCTTCGCACAAACCAAGTTATCCAGAATCAAATCAGCCAACTTGAGCAGAGCCGTCAGCATCGCAAAGAAGGTGATGCAGAAGTCGTTGTTGACTCCGGTACACAACCGGTGATCGACCCGGCGAGTATTCCAACAAACAACTCGGAAGTAAAGGAGACAAACGCTCAAGCGCCCGTGCCAATATCAAAGCCGCCAGACCCCCCAGTCGTGCCACTTCTTCGTCGAAAGCAAGCACACCATCGACATCAGTCTCAATCTCCACCTTTACATCAGCGCACGTCCGGAATGGCTGCAATTTTGACTCCTCCCAAGCAGTCGAAAACACTATTCTTCCAAACAGCAGAGGAAGATCACCTGGAAGACTGTGGTGCTACTGAGCCTTCAACAATCTCCACCTCGTTTGAAACAGACCCAGAGGCTGACAACTCAACCGACGAGAACCCCACAGAGAATCGCAGCTCGCCAACTCGCAAGGCTGCGCTTGAGCGGAGACCCAGTGACGAACAAGGCGAAGATGATAGCTTCAGGAGCACAGCAACCCCTGAGCGTATTGGCAAACTTTCACGACAGGAGGATGAATTCGACTTTGCCATTTTACTGAAGCCATCCAAGTATGAAGAGAACGTTGATCTTCCAGAGACGCTCAAGCCAAGTGCAAAAGGTGACCTCACAAGCGACCGCGCAGTGATCGTCAGTCGGATACGACGTACAGGACTGCACGTCAAACGTTTGCTCTCTCTGGATGGGAAGCAGTCGTTGCTTAAAGTTCGAGCTCCTCAACGCGTCTTGGAGCTTGGAGCAGAACGACTTCGGCTTCGAAAGCAACGACGTTTTGATAAAGTTTGGATGGTTTTCTCTTGCGAATTACGTTCAAGCTTTGCGGACTTTGACCCCGTTCGTAGATGTGTCAACTTCCTCGATAGTGAGAAGCAGAGTATAGTACACGCATTGTTGACTGCTTCAGAGAGCGATGGCGGCGCTGGGCTTAATGAATCGTGCCCCGTTGCTGCTAGATACGTAGTGCAGATGTATCCTCTTCACAAACAAGACTTAGCGCTGCTAAAGACTCGCTGGGTGACGTTCTGGAAGGATTCGTTGCTGTCAAGCAAGCACCATCATGACCAAAGTCTACAGTCAAAGTCAAGATGTGTGGTCCTACGAAGTGTACTGCAACAACCTTTGGACGATGTGGCGCAGTATTTCGGTGAACGAGTTGCCTTTTACTTTGCGTGGATGGAAATGTACACTCGCTGGCTCGTGGTTCCAAGTGTGGCAGGCGTCATTCTATTCGGGTTGCAAGTTCACTCGCACCATCTCGACCATCCAGCAGCTCCAGTTTACGCTCTCTTCATGGCACTGTGGACATCAGCTTTCATCATTGCATGGAGACGTCGTGCAGCAGCTTTAGCGTATCATTGGGGTACGTGGGGATACGAAGACGAGGAAGTTACTCGGCCAGAGTTCTACGGTGATCACAGTAAACCACAAGATGACAAGGATGGCGAGGAAGAGAAACCAGTTGAAAGACACTATTCGTATTGGAAGAGATTGCTCAAGTACAGCGTGACGCTCCCGTGTGTGGCTGGGAGTATAGTGGCAGTGGTGACACTTGCCTATCTTGCCTTCTCCACCCGTGATCGACTTGAAGCGGAGTCGCTGGAAACCAAACGTGAAGCTGCGGTGATTGCCGAAAAGGTCAAAGCAACGGGTACAATAACGTTGGAAGAGCTTCGAGCGTTGGCACAGCTCGGTGTGCGTTGGGATTTCTGGATCTACCTCCTTCTCACCCCCATTCTCTATGGACTACTGATCCCTGTACTTGATGCTGCTTTCACCCGTGCAGCGCGGTGTCTCAATAGTTGGGAGAACCACCGCACCGAGTCCAGATACCAGAGTCACCTCATTCTTAAGGTCTTTTCTTTCCGCTTCGTACACGTCTTCGCTTCACTGTATTATTACGCGTTTGCCCCACACGCACAGACGTCAAAAGACGGAGAAACACAAGCTGCTAAGTCCGACGGGATGGTACGTGTTGCTATCCAACTGGCTTCGTTCATGGTAACGGGACAGCTTTGGAAGAACGTCATGGAGACACTGTACCCATTCGTTCGTCGCCGTCTTGATGCTCGCGCCAAGAAACGTGCAAGCAACGACCAATTCAACCAGTCCACGGTATTCAACGGCATCAATGCAGCTGCTGGTCCTCGAGGTCCCAATCGTCAGGGAACGACGTCCGCCAAGCTAGCGACAGAGGCGATGATGAGCAGTAATGCGGTTATTCATGAGCAATGCGTTCGACTAGAGCAAGCCTCGGATCGAGCGTGGGAAGAAGCTGGATTGAAGCACTACGACACGTTCGAAGACTACACGGAGATGCTGGTGCAGTTCGGTTATGTGTCGTTCTTCTCGCTGGCATTCCCATTGGCTCCTCTACTTGCTCTACTCAATAATGTACTTGAGCTGCGCACTGATGCGTTCAAAATCTGCCACACAAGACAGCGTCCACTCGCTCGCAAGGCCAGCGGCATTGGAGTCTGGTTACATGTGTTGCAGATCATGAGTGTGTTGGCTGTGCTGACCAACTGCTTCCACTTGGCTTACTCTACTTCGTTATTGGAAAGAGCATTTCCTTCGGTCACAGCAACGCAGAAAGTGTGGATTGTATTTGGCATTGAACATTTGCTTTTGGTTATCAAGGTTTGGCTGGCGTGTGTCGTGCCCTTCGTGCCCCGAGACGTTTCTGAGAGTCTACGAAGGGAACGCGAGCTTGCCAAACATGATAGCGCGCGAGCAATGGCGGCTCGAATGCTCGTGGAGGTTGGAGCGAGTGATAGCGCCGACGTGAAGCAAGCATCTATTCGACATAGGAAAGTGGCGAATTGAGTGACTTCAAGTAGAAACCCGTAGAAAATGACAAAAGGTTTCTGTATCGGTTGCTAAGGGGGATTGAATGCCAGATAGTGGGGTGAGGCAAAACGATAGGCTGCTGTTCAGCCAGTCATTCTTTGCACTGCAATCACCACGTTGTTTGTCATTTGCCAAACGTATCCGGTAGAGCACAAGGACTAGGTCTCTATGCTGCCAAAGTGTTGAGGAACGTTCCTTTGATGATAGTGGTGGGCCTGGCCCCTAATGCTATCTCGCAGTCCTATTTGCGACAGACTCGGCGTTGCCTCCCCATGCAGCCAGGTCTTACAAGCGACTGCAAAAGCAACCGTTTATACCAGCGACCCGTCCCGTTGAGTTTGCGGCCTTGTTTCCCCCCAAGAGGCCGCGCAATTACGGATGAAACATCTTTTATTTTCAAAACCAAAACCAATAATTGATACCGCAGCAGTATCAGCTGCTGTATTACTGCAGCTTCATCAATAAAGCTGTGCCCTTAGAACTAAAAGTCACCGCAACAACTCGGAAGAAGAATGCTTAAAAAATAAACGTGCGAGATATTTCATTTCGGCTTCAAAACTCAAAAACATGTCGAGAGTAAGCTGCAAACTCCTCCCTCCTCGTTCTTCTTCCACCGATGCTCGCTACCAAGCGCACGCCGCAGAGCCAGCGAAGACGTCTTGTTTCCTGCATGTTCGCTGGTCACTGGAAACGGGAATCGTAAAACGTACACGTCCGCTCTGCTGGCCAGAGCTCTCCGTTGGGGTGGTGTTCATGGACTCTTTAAAGCTTACGCCTCCTCGCACCACTTGTTCTCCTCTCGGATCTGCGCCTCCTCCTCGGGGGTAAAGTCGTTGACAATGTTGAACGTCTCGCGGATCTCCTGGGGGGTCTTCCCCTTGATCATACTAGCTACCTTTGCGCAGGCCAGGTCCAGCAGACTCTTGATGTCCATGTAGTTGGCAGCCAAGATGAGCTCGAACAGAATCTCCTGCTCAATGTCCACGAAGTTGGCGTCCCAGTCCGACACCACATCGTGCATGTCAGCGCTCTTGAGGGGCTGCAATTAATAAAAGAGTATACACATATTAGATTCCAAGTATACTCGCAGCACATATGCAGTCTTGTTCTCAACCCACCTTCTCGATCTCGCGCATGGGGTTGTTGTGGTGATGGCTGCAGAACTCAATCACCTTGGACAGCACGGGGCTCTTGACGTTCGGCAAAGGAATCTCCTGCACTTCGTCGTCATCGGCATCATCTTTTGTCAAAGCAAGTATACACATTTGCCAGTTAGATTGCCACCATTGGCCAATTATTGCCAATAGGTTGAGAAAAACGCACCGGAAATGAGCGTCTTGACCAGCTCGCTCATGGCTGCAACACCTCGTGACACCTCGAAGCTGTCGCCGTCCATGGACACAAGGTTCACCTTGCGCGAGTCCTCCTCCTGTCTGGGCGTGTCCTGTGCGGGGGCGGCGGCGTCCGACATGATTAGTTTCCTCGGGGTTTTCGAATCCTTCAACTCGATGTGTGGGAAATGAAAGCTGAGCACCCCAGATCGCGCCAAAGTCTTGCAAATGTCCATGGATTGGTGTAAAATAAAAAGAACGGATCCGATTGGCTGAAGGTGACTTTTGGCAACTCCCATCAAAATTTGATATTTGAGTCAAATACCCTCTAAACGAAACAGCAAAACCTCAGTCGAGTTGCCTTTTGCCGTTTTAACATGGAAAAGCTTGGTGTCAATCGTCTCTCGCTTTACTATATCAAGCCATATATTTCTTCTGTGTCTCTCTCACCGCATCTGGGTGAAGCTGGTGCTGTTGAATGCAGCTGGTTGGCCGAAGCCTCCTGTAGTCGCACCACCTCCAAAACCAGACCCAAAGCCTCCACTGTTTGCAGGAGCGCCAAATCCACCAGACTGCTGTGTGGCGCCACCAAACGACGGCGTCTGAGTGCCGAAGGCGCTGAATCCTGCGCCGGCGGCAGCACCACTGGGAGCGGCCGGAGCAGCCGAGCCGAACCCTCCGCCCATGCGCGACGCCATCCCAAAGCCTGAGCCTGCAGCTCCTCCAAATGCTGGCTGTGCGGCACCTCCCAAACCCGAAGCTGAGCCGAACGCAGGAGCTGCGCTCCCTCCAGGGGCCGAGGGCGCACCAAAGCCACTACCTCCACCGAATGTCGTGGTACTGGGAACACCGAAGCCTCCAGTTGCAGGCGCTGTCGGGGTCTTCTTCACATACTTCTGCTCCAGCATCGCAAACAGATGATCTTCACGGCCCTTGTACTTCTCCAATGTCGCGTCTACAGAGCTCAGCTTCGCAGGATTGTGCTGTTGATAGAAAGCTGTAAGTTTCTCACGGTAGTTGACGCCACCGGCAGCTCCAAAGCCGGTTGTCGCAGTGCCGAATGGAGAAGGTGTACCGAACGCTAGGGCTGTACCCGTAGTCGACTGGAAACCTCCGAATCCACTTCCACCTGTAGACCCAAAGGCAGTGGAGGCTGGAGACGTTGAAGCACCAAACGGAGACGAAGCAGGGGCCGCTGCACCAAATGGAGACGCACTGGGGGCAGGATTTGCTGCGCCGAAACCAGCTGAGCTAGTGGAGCCGAAGGTCGTTCCAGAGGTGCTAGGGGTCGAGAATGCTCCAGGTTTGCCGAATGGACTTGCCGTAGCAGTAGAGTTCGTAGACTGCACGGCTGGACTAGCGTTCACCTTGTACTTGGTGGCCAAATTCTGGAAGAGCTTCTCTTCGTTACCCTTGTACTTCTGCAGCGTGGCGTCCACACTACTGAGTTTGCTCGGGTTGTGTTTCTGGTAGAACTCCACCAACTTCTGACGATAATCCACTGCAGGCTGACCGAAGGGAGAGGGCGTCGTGGTTGCCGTCGTTGCTGTGGATCCAAACGCTCCAAAACCGGACGACGTGTTGGCAGCTGGGCCGAGACTGAACGCTGACGGAGACGCTCCAAACGGATTGGGCTTGGCTGCGCTATTCGGAGTCGAAGTGGAGGCTCCAAACCCACCGAACGGACTCTTAGCTGCTGCACTGGCAGGCGCAGGAGACTTGGAGGCTGCCACAGACGCAGACTTTGGAGGAACTGGCCCTCCACCTAAATACTTGTAGACATCATCAGGCGTCGAATCCTGGACGTACATAGTAAAGAGTCGAGTGAACAGATCTTCCTCTCTGCCCTTATACGTTGCCAGAGCCTTCTCAATCACACTCCCAGTCTTTGACGGGTTATGCACCTTGTAAAAAGCTTCCAAAAGCGCCTTGTAGGTCCTCGTAGAAGATGTCGAAGTCGACTGTGCAAAAGTCTTATCCTTGGATCCAAAACTGAAAGCAGAAGGCGTTGCAGCTTCCTTTCCTCCTAGCGAGAAAGCAGGCGCCGGAGCCGACTCAGCTTTTCGCTTGACTGCCGGTGAGCTGACTCCAAACCCGCCAAACGATGGCGTCAAGGGTGTCTTCTTCGCTTCCTCTTTAGTCGCTGTCGTTCCAAACCCACTACTACCTTCCTTTGGCTTCGGGAAGCTAAAGGCATTCGGCTTTGCTGCACTCGTCGTCGTGGGCTTGGTCTCTGTAGCTGGGGCGCCTAGACTTGGTCGCTGGGGGGCCTTGCCCACACTCACACTCGGTTTTGCTGGCTGAGGCGTCTGAACGAGCTTGGTAGGCTCCTCCTTCGGTGTCATTGCCTCCGCCAGCGAGAACAACTTCGACCCAGACTTCACGGCGGTCTCCTGGAACGAGACGGACCGCGAGGACTGCTTCGCTGAGCTCAAGGGAGAAGCAACACTCAGCTGCGTCTTTGGCATCAACTTGCTGCACGCTTTGACTTGCAGTGGCGAGTTCGAGGACTTGGACGGCGTGGGAGGTACCAGCTTTCGTCGTGGCGTCGAGAAGACATCACGAGGAGTAACAACGTTGTTACATAGAGTCAAGAAGTTGCGACGCACATCTTGACTGCGCTGTTCGGTCTCCACGATCATCTGAACCATCTCCGCCTTGGTAACTGTAGAATGAGCTTCAGCTTCGCCGGAAATCGCACTTACGCCATTCGATTGACGCATGTCGCCACGCAAACTCAGCTTCTCCAGTTGCTCCGCCAGCTTGCACGCCTTGTTGTACTGCATCTTGGAATTATCGTAAGTCTGCTTCAACACACGGAACAAGTGCGTCGAAGACACAGCGCCGGATCCATCAGTACCGATCTTGGAAGACGACAGGTGGCTATCGAGATCAGCACAGCAATTTTTTACTTCACTCATCTTGTTCTTCAACGAGTCCCACGTTTCCTTCGATCGCTGGTCCAGTGGCTGCTCCTCCAGCGTCCTCTTGAGAGCCTCGTCATTAAAGCTATCCAAGGTTTCACGCCCATATTCCAGCTGCTCGTGCACATCGCCATCACTTCCGATAACAAACAAGACATCCTTCTCCACGTGATCCCGTGACTCATCCAAAGTGTTAATCTCGTCACAGAGACGCGAAATCTGCGCGCGTAGCTGGTCCGTTTGAGACAAAAGCTTCTTCGAAAAGTCAGCATCCTTAGACGGGATATTCTTCGAGCTTTCGTTCACTCGTTGCAGCGACTTATCAAAGTCCACAATCAACTTCCACAGCTGCCCCTCCATTCGCGAAGACGGGATATCCTTGGTGGTCTTGGCAGGGGCTGTAGTCAGCTTTGCTTTAGTCGTCGTGGCTGGAGTTGTGGCCTCAGCACCAAACGCGCTGGTATCTCCGAACTTCAGTGTACGCTTGGTAGGAGGCTGACCTTCAGAGCTGTCACGATCCTCTGTCTTATCCAGTGGTGGGGACACACTGTCGAAGGAGAAACTTGGTCTTGCTGAACTGGGTTTCGAGTCGCTAGCACTCGCCAATCCAAATGAGAACGCGCTCGTTGAATTCGCCTTCGGGACAGCGCCAAATGGAGACGATGATGTGTCTGGTGCCTTTCCTGTGGCCCCAGCGCTTCCAAACAAAGACTTTGGCTTCGTTGGAGTAACGGTGCTAGCTGAAGTGCTCGTTTGCGCAGAAAAATCTGTCGATTGTGAAGATTCCGGCTTTGAGCCGAATAGACTCTTACCGAACGAACCGAAACCAAACGAAGAGGATGATGGGGTTGTGTTCGACGTAGTTGACTGGCCGAACGCTGGAGGCTTCGGCTTAGACGTCGTGTCCGGAGGGTATCCACCACCACTGCTGGCAGCACCAAAGACTGGAGGCTTCGGCTTCGAAGTCGTGTCCGGAGGGTATCCACCACTGCTGGTAGCACCAAAGGCTGGAGGCTTCGGTTTCGAAGTCGTGTCCGGAGGGTACCCACCACTGCTGGCAGCACCAAAGGTAGGAGGCTTCGGTTTCGAAGTCGTATCGGGCGGGTAGCCGCTTCCACTTGCACCAAAAGCAGGGGGCTTCAGCTTTGACGTCGTATCAGGCGGATATCCACTGCCACTTGCAGCACCGAAAGTAGGGGGCTTTGGTTTCGACGTCGTGTCTGGAGGATAGCCACTTGAGCTTGCGGTGCCAAAAGAAGGAGGCTTGGGCTTAGAAGTCATGTCAGGCGGATATCCACCACTGCTAACAGCTCCAAAGGCAGGAGGCTTCGGCTTTGATGTTGTGTCAGGAGGATAGCCACCACTACTGGCAGCACTGAACGCAGGCGGCTTCGGTTTTGATGTCGTGTCAGGCGGGTAGCCGCTTCCACTTGCGCCGAAAGTTGGAGGCTTTGGCTTCGACGTCGTGTCTGGAGGGTATCCACTTGCATGTACAGCACCAAACGCAGGAGGCTTGGGCTTGGAAGTCGTGTCGGGAGGATACCCACCACTGCTGGCAGCACCGAACGTAGGCGGCTTCGGCGTTGACGTCGTGTCCGGGGGGTATCCACTGCCGCTTGAAGAAGCTGCGGCGGCCGTCAAAGTCGCAGGTTTCGTGCTAGTCGAAAAGCTAAAACCTGTGTTCGCGGTGCTTGGGAAGCTGAATCCTGTGCTAGAAGCAGCAGCACCAAACGAAAATCCGGTAGACTTGCTTGCACCAGTAGTACCAGAACCAGCGGCCGGAGTAACACCGAACATAAAGGACGACGGCTTCGAGTCACTGCCCGTAGATACCGGGAAAGAGAATCCACCAGAGCCAATTGAGCCCGCAGATGTCGCACTCGCCGCTTTTACTGGAGCTATTGTCTTTGGTGCTGCAGGGTTCGGAGTCTCACACGCACTGCACTTCATTGCGTCGGGGCCATTGCTCACCATGCACACCGCACACTTCCACCTTCCCTCCTTGGCCGTAAACTTCGAAAAAGCCGCTGCGATCTCCTCCTTCGACTTCATTCCAGCGGGCTTCGCTGATGACGCAGGTGCATCGTCGTCTTCATCTGAATCTGAGGCTTCGTCACCGAAGATCCAGTTCACGTACCACGTAACGAAGTCATTCTCGTTGATCTTGCCATCCTTTTCGAGATCTTTCACTGTGTTGGTGTGCTCTTCCTCGTCATATGTAGCGCCCATTGCCTTAATCAGCTTCGGGAACTGCTCCGAAACGATATAGTCAGCTCCATCCGCCGCAATTGTGCGGAACGTAACTCTAGCGGTATCTGCTTCTTCTTTGCGCTCCTCTTCCTCGTCACTCGACTCGTCGCAATCGGCAAATTCGTTCTCATCATTCTGGCCGTACTCATGCGATATTGTCTTCTGAGACGCTACTTGCGGAGTATCCTCGTCATCGGAATCAGAGTCTACGTCACCGAAAATCCAATTCACATACCACGTAACGAAGTCATTTTCGTAGATTTTGCCATCCTTTTCGAGATCCGTCATCGTGTTGGTGTGTTCTTCCCCGTCATACGTAGCCCCCATGGCTTTAAACAGCTTTGGAAACAGCTCCGAAGCAATATAATCAGCTCCATCGGCCGCAATCGAACGGAACGTCGTTCTGGCCTTTTCCTCTTCTTCCTTACGCTCCTCTTCCTCGTCACTCGACTCACCATCCGACTCAGCAAACTCGTTTTCGTCGTTCTGGCCATATTCATGAGAGATCGCCTTCTTCGGAGAAGCAGGTTCGGTGTCTTTCACTAATGAATCAACCGCAGCAGCAGTTTTACTGGTACTTGTTGCATCGGTTGAGCCACTCGTGTCTCCACCGAAGCTAACACTAGATGTCGCTGTTGAAGCAGTCGAAGAGGTAGCAGCTTTAAATTTAAAGCCTGTTCCGGACGGCGCCGTGTTACTTGAAAAGCTGAATCCTGTGCTTGTAGAAGCAGCACCAAACGAAAATCCGGTAGACTTGGTGGCATCAGCCGCACTGAAGCCAGCCGCTGGAGTCACGCCGAACGAAAAGGACGACGGCTTCGAGTCACTGCCCGTAGATACCGCGAAAGAGAATCCACCAGAGCCAATTGAGCCTGCAGAGTTCGCACTCGCCGTCGTTACTGGAGCTATTGTCTTTGGCGCTGCAGGGTTCGGAGTCTCACACGCACTGCACTTCATCGCGTCGGGGCCATTGCTCACCATGCACACCGCACACTTCCAGCTTCCCTCCTTGGCCGTAAACTTCGAAAAAGCCGCTGCGATCTCCTCCTTCGACTTCATTTCCGCCGGTTTCGACTCCACAGCAGACACATCTACTTCTTCGTCCGATTCGGATTCATCATCACCGAAGATCCAGTTCACGTACCACGTAACGAAGTCATTCTCGTAGATCTTGCCATCCTTCTCCAGACTCTCTATAGTCCTCGTGTGTTCTTCCTCGTCATACGTAGCCCCCATTGCCTTAAACAGCTTCGGGAACACTTCCCGAGTGATATGATCGGCTCCATCAGACGTCATCGAGCGGAACGTAGTTCTAGCCTTTTCTTCTTCTTCCTTACGCTCTTCTTCCTCGTCACTTGACTCTCCATCGGACTCGGCGAACTCATTCTCATCGTTCTGGCCGTACGTGTGCGAAATCTGCTTCTTCGGAGATACAGACACCTCAGTCTTCACCTCTGAAGTTCCACTAGAAATCACCGCAGCTGCACGCGTTGCCTTCTTGTCAAACGGCGACGGGCTTTTTACAAAATCGACTTCACTCACAGTCGTATCCACAAAAGCAAAATTGACCAAAAGTCCCTCTGTGTTGGTACAAGAAACAATAGGAACGGGAGGGAATGAATCCTCATCGACTGGAACAGGCGTCGTCGAGTTCAAATTGATAGCAAAGCCCATTGGAAAAGACTCCTCGTCTTCAGCGTTCATGGGAAGCCGTGCTTGGTACTTCTCCAGCGGCTTCCACAGTTGCCATTCGCCGCCTTCGGGATCTGAAACGAGCAACTCGATATCTGCACTCAGCGAGCAGGTAATGAAGAACATGCGCCAGTCCGGTAAGAAAACGGAGAAATACTGGTGTCGTCGCTCCTCCACGTCGAAGAATCCCACAACTTCGTCCAGCTCGACGCATTCTCCATTGTCGAAAATGCAGGCCTGGGCGATTGTTTCCTCATTCTCTTCGTCGTATTTGTGGTATCCGGCCAGGACCAACTCCTCCTCCGCCCAGTTGACGTGGTGCGTCTCTAATTCTTGATCCGCACAGGATTCCGGCTGAGAAAAGGAGCGAACGAACTCGAAAGAGTCTCGCGCGTAGATGCCAATGCTGCCATCTGCTAGGCCGACTGCAATCTGCTCTCCTGACGGCGACCAGGCAATGGACGACGCGTCTGTCTCTGTATTAATGACGTCTCTTGCTCCGTCCAGCGAGCACACGGCCACCTGCTTCTCGAGCGTCAAGACTGCAAAACGTTCGCTAGAAGGATCTCTACACCACGCGATCTCCTGCGCTTGCATCTTGGAAAACGTGTAAAAAGGTGCGGGAGATACCTAAAAAGAACCAACCAACCAGGTGATTAATATGTACAAGATGCATAGAGATATGAAGTCGTACCTCCTCCACGATGTGAGCGACTTCAAAGAGCGCGACCGAGTCTCCGTAGGCCACAGCGAGCATAATCTCGTCTGGGGAGAGTGCGATGTAGTAGGCAATGGACGGCAGCAGGACTTCCTTGGCCACCGGCAGCTCGTGGATCTCCTCTAGTGCAAGTTTCTGTCCGTGGTCCACGGCTTCCTGTCGCCGCTTAGTGTAGTCGGTGCACGACACTTCCAGCTCATCGTTTTTGGTCATCACGAAGCCTTCACAAGATCTATTAGTTATCATATAGCGAAACGGGTTGAGTTTATTCGATTCCGCATTACCTTTCTCGGTCGCCACGAAACTCAGGCCGAAGGTGTTGCCGTGCTGCAGTAGCTGTGTCCTCTTGGAGACCACCGAGGCGAAGCTGCTAGACGTTAGCAGCGGTGAGTACGCCACGCGCTGTCTGCCGGCGTCCAGCATGCGCACGTGCTCCGTGTCCAGCTCCGCCATTGTCGCGCCAAGTCGTTTTTGCTTTGGCTTCTGGTGGATCACGATGCATTATGTGCCGCACACCAAGCTGTGCTTTTTGAGCAGATCATTTTAAGGCAATCCATATGTTCTAAATAAATTTTCAGAATCTAAACTTTAAAATCTATTGGAATTGCTTTCTTGAAGCAATCTTCTTGTTGCAATTTTGTCATTAAAAAAAGTTTACTCAAAAGATTTTCTCCTTCTTAAAAAGCAGTCTAACGAAGAGGTTACTGCTTTTCATCTTCACCGGTATTGTCTCCGGTTCAATTGCGACCTTTCATCATCCAAAATGGCTGCGACCGCAGAGGTGCCTGATGACAGTCTCGGCGAGCCCGATGTGAAGGTATGTAGCTTCCATGGACATTTGTTGTGCTGTGACTGATAATACTTCGCCCATCTCATGACAGGTCATTCTGCTCGGTGACTCGGCCGTCGGCAAGTCCAAGCTGGTCGAGCGCTTCATGATGAACGAGTACCAACCACGCCAGGTGCGTGTGTACACACACAAGGACTTGCTGCTTCTGACATGTCCTTGCCCTGCAGCTGTCAACGTTTGCATTGACGCTATTTCGGAAGGAGGTGGAGCTAGACGGCGAGAATGGGAAGCGCACAGTGAAAGTTGGTGTGTCCTGTCTTGATGCTGTTCGAATGGAGCTTGTACTGATGTGTGTGTTGTTAGACTTCTGGGACACAGCAGGACAAGAACGGTTCTCCAGTATGCATCCGTCGTATTACTACGGAGCGACAGCGTGCATTCTCGTGCGTTCCTTTGATCTTTCGTGCTCGATATCGTCTCTGAGAGCATCTTGGTTGACACGCAACGTAGGTCTTCGATGTCACGCGAAAGGTGACGTACCAGAATCTAGCTAATTGGTACAAGGAGCTCCGTGAGTACTGTGAGAACATCCCTTGCTTCCTGGTTGCCAACAAGATCGACGTCGATATGGACGTAAGTGGATGCCTACTGCACGATGAATTGGTGAGAGCAGAAGAACTCACTGCTGGTATAACGCCACTGTTTGTTGCTACACCAGGTGACCAGCAAAAAATTCAAATTTGCCGAGACGCACAACCTCGAGTTCAGCTTCGTCTCTGCTGCGGACGGTACGAATGTGGTCAAACTATTCAAAGAAGCTGTCGAAGCCGCCTGCAAGTTCAAGCAGGAAGGCGGCGATTTCATGTCGGACGTTCTAGATCTACTCGGAGAGCAATCAAGTGAGTTGGATATCGTGGCTCAGGAATCAATGTGGAAGATACTTTGTTTCTAACGTGTGTCTTGTCGACCAGAGTGACCCGGCCAAACCATAGCCTTCAATGAAAGATCTTAATTTCCTGCAAGTGTCGATAGAATATCGCTGAGCTCCAAGCATCTGCCAAAGCAAATGTGTGTTCAAAAAGTCTCTCGGCGAAGACAATCTCTCCGCACCCGTGTTCGGTATCCACTCTGTGATACGTGGGGTGCCATCAGTATTTCTCATCTTCATGCCTGAAGTGCGTAGCACAATCAGAAATTTGTCGTCACCAATAAATTTCTGCATGCATCTTAAATCTTCATGTACTTATCACGTACAAGGTCATTTTACTTACACGATTCAGCAGCTTGCCTTTCAAAGCGAGATAAAAAGGTGGTCGTGTGATGTTTCGAAGGCGACGAAACACAGAAGTTGATATGTACTGTATCCTTGTTGAAAATACTTCAGTCCTTGCTATTCCACTAATGTCTAACACACCATACGCTTCATCGATGCACCTGTACCAAAACAAGGATCACGACATAAAGCTTCGTCACCAGCAACACTTCGAAGCAAAAACCAGCTCCGCAGGCTGTAAAAGACATCGCCAGCTTCGAGGTAATATCCAACAAGATCAATCCTCCATCGGTGTAAACGCCGCGTCTGCGATCAAATAAGGCTGCTGGGCAACTAGTGCTGCAGTTGCGTGACGACTTGGGGGGTCCACACCACATCCACTTGCTGTAGCTTCTTGCAGCATGGCTTCGGCCAGATTTCTCGAGATCAAGCTTTCAATGCGTTCTTTCAAGTACTTGTTCGATCCCAGTTCGTAAAACTCTTGACGGTCGAAGGAACGGTCCAGTTGCTGCAGGTACGCCATAAGGGAGTACAAGTGTCGCGACCCAAAGACAGTCGGAGATTCCTTGAGAAGGCGCTCCGTCTGTTGCAGCACTTGTAAGCGCAGCAGCTTGGGAGCTTCTGTCGAGCTGAATAACCAGTCCAATCTCTTAGCAGCCTCCACAGACACGAACCGAACCTTACTTTCAAGGGCTGTGCGTTTCTCCTTGTTGTTCTGAAGCTCATCCGTCTTTAACTGTTGTCGCAAAGACTCGAGATCGTCCAATACCAGTTGAAACTCGCGGTATTTCACTAGCCACGCCAACTTCTGAGGACGCGCCAATTTCGGGTGAGACTCCATAAACTGCACCGCTTCGTGTAACGGAGTCAGCGAGTTTGTGTCGTTGCATTCCTGCAAAATGTCATCGCACAGCGCATCCACGTCGTCCAAATGATTGCCGCGCAGCATCCAGTGCAGAGCCGAAGCGTACGACCTGTTTGCCTGGCAATCCTGTGCTCTCTGGAGTGTGATAAGGTTCTGCGTTTGAAGCAGGAACGTCTTGCCATGACAATACGACAGAAGACGGTCCGCCTTGTAATCTGTTGGCAAAGGCTCACGTGCCAACGCAGATCGAATCGCAATCGCACCGTACTTAGGACAGTACTCGTAGTACCGCACAGCAAACTGCCACATGCCACTACTGGCACCGATCTCCATCGCATATTGGAGCAAGAAACGCTCTCGTAGCGTGCAATCCCCCTCAGGCAGCAGCTCATCGGCCACAATCACGTTACTTCGCTGCAACAGATCAGTCAGATGCGCAGCCATCCACGAAAAGCCTAGCGCAATGATATCCTGCAGTGCACTCTGGATGTCATACTGCAAAATAGCCAGGATGATGCAGTCAAAGTTGCCCATACTCTTCTCGTTGCTGTTGTAGGCACAGAAGCAGTTGGCCATCAGGAACTCGAAGCGATGTGCGATCGCTTTAGGTTCGTCCAGAAACAGTCTGGCCATCATCAGCTCGTACCAAGTGCTAGCACTGTTCTTCAGCACGTCTTCCTTGGCTGCCATAGTCTCAAGAAGTGTCGTAAACCCTGTGTTTGACCTGATGTATCCGTCTGTGTTGAGCAAATATTGACACGCGTCGTTCCAGTTCTTCCACTCTGCTGCTCCGTCCTGTTCCAAGCTTCTATCCGAGTTTCCAGCTCTTCCAGGCATCGTTAGTAGCAGATTCTGCACTGCTTGAAACGCCGCTTTGGTCGACGCTCCAGTCAGCGACATGGAATCGCGAGAAAACAGCGACTTGTAGCTCGAATGTGAAGCCAGTAGACTCCACGCACTGGAGCCATTGCCCGTCAATACCAGGGACTGGACTGTGCTCCAGAACGCTGAGTCTTGCTCGGGCTTCTGCTGCTTCCTGAGTCTTTCGCTCTCAGCCTCTGTCTTCTCCAGCAGCGTGCTGCAATAGTGCTCCTGTAGCCATAGTGCCAGCTCATACGCCAGGGTTCTGTCCGCTCCTCTGGCTCCGCCACGAAGCAGCAGCAGTTCGCACAGGTGCCATATGGCTAGTGACACCTTTAAAAGATCTAGGAATTCTCCTTCCTCTTCAGTATTGATATCCGAGTCCTTGTTCGCGTCCAGACGGTCCTCCAGAGCGAAGATGCATGTTTTCAGAGCCTCACGGTACTCGCGACTGGCACGTGCGACACCGAACGCGCCCAGCTGAGATGTCTGCTGTGTGCGTGTAAACACGTCGAAGGAGGCAGCCACTAAAGTGCGTAGCTCACGAGGCATGGCGTCGCCAAACTCGCGGGAGGACGTCGAAACAGCCACCCACTTGCGTGAACTTTTTCCCCATGCGGCACCCGCCGTGGATCTCGCAGCTGCTGCATCTGTCGAGCGCTTGCCGAATACCAACTCCCTTTCTACAACCGGTAGATGACGCGTCGAGCGCAGGATCTCGAAGGCACTGGAAGTCGTTGCCATTTCCGTCTCTGGTTGGCAGGCCTAACTAATACAGTGCCCCAGGTATTGCATAATTGCATACCTCGAGGTTGATCTGAAGGTATTCACTTCGATAGGTCCGTTTTTTTTCTTTTGCCAGAAAATTAACCTGGGTCTTTAAACAAACGGGTCTTATTTGGAAAAGCCCATAGTGGGACTAACTTTGATGATCAATATCATTGCATGAGCTTGGTGAGGCTGGTGGTGCTCCGGAACGGCGCGGCTGGGGCCGAAAAGCAGGCACTGGCGCTGGCTGCGAGACTGCGTACGAAACTGCTAGACGAGATTGTTCCGCAGAGGCTGGGTGTGGTGTGCTCGCCAGTGGAGTGTGTGGATGTGACACTGGGAAGATCACACGTGATTCCGCCGGTGCTGCAGGTTTTCGGTGCTAAACTCACTCGCAATCCGCTATTTGGCTACAAGGAGCAAGGCACATGTCAAGTTTTCTCTGTGCAGAAAAAAACGGGAGAACTAAACGTCGTTATCGGCTGTGGGAGGAGCACCGTGGCTCTATGTGCGGTGGTGAAGCAGCTAGAGCCCAAAAGGACGTTCAATGTGCAGATCCAGCATCCACGAGTGCCGCTCACATGGTTTGACGCTATAGTTGCACCCAGACACGACTTTTCAAGAGGCAAAAGCGGTGCAAACAACCTGTTCCTAACGTCTGGTACTGTGCACAACATAACGCCGGAGTTGCTGCATCAACACGGCAGTGAATGGAGCGAAGAGCTCGATGAAAAGCTTCAAAAGAGACGAAAACGCGTCGTGTGGCTGCTAGGAGGACCATGTCGTGGCTTTGCGTTCACCGAGCAGGATACTGAGAAGATGGTGGACGAGTTTATCCGAGCGCTTCCAGGCGATGATGACGTAGCAGTGTTGGTGACGTTTTCGCGAAGGACGCCTCAGAACGTGCGGAGGATAATTGGTCGCTGTCTAGATGTAAGGTTTCCAGCGCCTGGACAGCTGCTAGTATTTGAAGGCACCGAACGTCGGAATCCGTACTATGCACTACTGTCCACGGCGTCCTGTATCGTAACCACGCCGGACTCGATTTCTATGACAACGGAGGCCGTCGCGTCGGGCAAACCGGTATTCACTATTGGCGTGAAAAACTGCAAGGTAAGTCCTCCTAGTTCTGGTTGACTATTCTTCTTCATCTTTCGTTGATATCGTTTGGTTTGTATACTTCTAGGGCAAATTCCTGCGCTTCCACCAGGATCTATTTGAAACTAAGGCCACAGCTCCGTTCACCGCTGATGCTGTAGCAGCAAGCCTTCGTGGTATCGCTGAAGACGATGTGTCGTCGAGTGCTACCAACTTAGAGGAAGAGATCTCCGCTATCGTAAATAGCATTGTCAGTGCCATCCACACAGTGCAGAAGCAAATACTATGTAGTACTACTACTTCAGTAGTAGAAACTACAGGAGCTCACGATAAACACAGGTAGAGTCAAACTCGTACGTAGAGTAAGGTGTGTCTATGTTGAGGTCGATAACAACGAGAACAACAGAACCTCAACAGCAATAGAATGGATTCAAGGCAGACTTCCTTCATTATTCTCGATAACTTTTTGCAGTCTGCTTCGTGTTGAAATGCACTGAATGATCGAACACCTTCTGGGTGATGCAACTCGTTGGTTGCTTCCCGCTTTCCAAAGGGTGTCGATCTGGAAAAGATTGAATATGCAAGCGTCGGGTTGGTAACTTGATCAGTACAGAAATGCAGTTCAGTTCCAACAACGTGGAGCCAGATTACTCGTCGTCGCTGTCGTCCTCGCTCTCTTCTTCGGCGTTCTCCAGCCACTCAATGAACGGTTGCAGTAGGGCCTTCAGCTTAGCAGCAAGCTCATCCGTGACGGCCCAGTGGGCGTACTCCTTGCGAACACCGTTGTTAGCCCAGGCAACCAGACACTCCTCCTCCAGCAAGTCCTCATCGTACAACAACTTGAGAAGGATCGGGTAAGAGCTCAACAGCTCCGGGTGCTCCACAGCACAGAAGTGCTCGGCCAAAGCAAGCAGCTGGTACTGCGAGTGCTGGCCGTCGATGATCTTCTCAAGCACAGGAGCGTACTTAGCCACTTGGTTGCTAGCTAGCACCTGGTTGGTAAAGGCAGAGCGGAAGAAGATCACAAGACGGTCCGTGACAGGCAACGCCGAGTATGTCTGCTGGCGACAGAGTTCCTCAAAGATCTCAGACTCCGCGTGGCTCTCAGTCAAGAAGCGCTGCAAGTTGGACACGGCAGAGTCCAGAGCGTTCTCGTCGTCCACCTGAAGGTTGTCCAGCGTAGCCACGACCTCCTCGGCCGCCGCACTCTGCATGGCAGCGGCAGCAGCAGCCTCAATGGCTTCAGCCTCAGCAGCACGAGCAGCCACAGCCTCAGCAGACAAGTCCGTGTGCCACACCACTTCGTCATCTTCAGCGTCAGACGCGTCCTTGTCAGAGTGTTTGTCCTTGTGGTGTTTCTTCTTCTTGTCCTTCTTGTCCTTCTTGTCTTTCTTGTCCTTTTTTTCCTTCTTCTCCTTCTTTTTAGTGGCCGACTCGTCCTCAGGTTCGTCGTGCGAGGCCTTCTTGTCCTTCTTTTCCTTCTTCTCCTTCTTCTCTTTCTTCTTCTTGTCGTCCTTACTGCTACGCTTAGCAGCAGTGTGCTCCTTGAAAATGAAGGTCGTGAGCTTGTGGTTCATATCCACCGGCTCCACGGCACCACAGGCATAGCATTTGTGGAAGATCAGCTGACCCTTGAACTTGTACTTGGTCTCTGGAAGGCGGCAGCCGGGACACAGCACGAAGCCCTCGATGTACTTAATCAGATGCTGCTGCATCATACCAGCTTCAAAAGCTCCGTTCACAATGGCACGGTCTGTTTTCTCGTCGTACTTGGACTGAGCTCCTAGCTCACAGCCGAAGAACTTGCACACCTCGGCGGTAGAGCGGTGGAGCGACGTTGCAATATCCGCGCAGTTGACGACCAGAGTCTTAATACCGTTGCCACGGCCTTCAATCTTGGCTTGAAGACGCGGCATCTTGTAGCGATACTCGGGGTCGTCGACCGACTGGGTTCCTGCAATGTTCATGAGCGACATCTTGGTATTTAAGTCTTAAATTCGAGGGGGGGTCGGATTAGCTGAAGAAGAGCGTTTGGTCCTGTATCGTGAGCGAGATCACGTGCTCGAGCGACGATGAAGGAAAGGAATGGTGGCGGAGGGGATGATCCGGGGGATGACGCACAGCTTCCTGTCTCTTTCGTTTCCAGGTCGACGTACTACTCGAATCAATATGGTCGCACGGGATTTGCAAACGCATGCACTGAAGCCAAGTCGTGAGGGTCGCCGGGCGTGAAAGGTGGGCAGACTTCGAGCTGTCGGGGTGGACGGTCGAGGCAGGTGGGGAGGACGCGCGTGAAGGGCGGTCTTCTGGGTTTGAGACGTCGACGCTTGCGAGCCAACGATGTCGAAATGGGAACTGACGCGGAAAACCAACGGCTCGGCCTCTCCCGAAGAAACCAACGGTAACGGCACACTAGTGGCTGAAATTAAACCTACTGAAAGCAAGCGTACTCGCTATCTCGTCTACTGATTCGTGGAAAATTGCTGGCTTCAATTGGTGTTTCAAACACAAATGATGTGCTCAGATCACAAAATTGTTGATGATCAAAGTATTGACAAAGTTGAAGTAGGTCGGTCAGACATCGCTGCCACCGTTGCAAAAAAACAAAAATATACTAACGTTACATGTACGTAGTACATGTAGTATATTGGAACATGGTTGTCACTCACCTGTCTGTGACCGTAACGAGTCGTTACTAACGACATTCTATGACCTAGCCGGCGTGCGTCTCAACCCACCACCAAGCCACGTTGCAAATGCATGTACTGTACTTCCAGCAAAATTGACGCTCGATGTTTATATCTTTACGCTACCACGTCAAAACGGATGGGTGTCTATATCTACCAGCTTAAGGCATGGAGTCGTCGGGGCGCTTGATAATCACGGTCTTGTTCTCAAGGTAGTTGCGCAAGCCCAGCTCGCCCTGCTCGCGACCAATGCCCGAGTTCTTGAAGCCTCCGAAGGGCGTGTTGGCCTCGATCACCGTGTAGCAGTTCACGTACACGGTACCGGCACGCACACTATTGGAGATCTTGATGGCATTGTCCAGGTTGGACGTAAAAACACCGGCACCCAGGCCAAACTCTGAGTTGTTAGCGCGCTCAATGACCTCGTCGATAGTCTTAAACTTGATGATCGACATGACGGGGCCAAAGATCTCCTCGCGAGCGATAGCCATGTCCTCGGTCACATCGGCAAACACGGTCGGCTCAATGTAGAAACCCTTGTCGCCCCAGCGCTTGCCACCGCACACCAAACGGGCGCGGTCCTTCTTACCAGACTCAACGTATCTCAAAATCTTCTTGAACTGGTTGCCGTCAATCTGGGGGCCGTGCATGACGGACAAGTCGAACGGATCGCCAATCTTCATGGACGACGCGGCTTCAGCCGAGCGACGCACAAACTCGTCGTAAATACCCTCCTGCACAAACACGCGGCTACCGGAGATGCACACCTGGCCGGCGTTGAAGAACAGCCCAATCTGCGACTGCTGGATGGCCGCATCGATGTCTGCATCGTCAAGAATGATGTTGGCGGACTTGCCACCGAGCTCAAGAGTGATACGCTTAAGGTTGTCCACGTGCGACGAACGCATGATGTTCATACCCGTCTGGGTGGATCCGGTGAAGGCAATTTTGTCCACCTTCGGGTGCTGCGCGAGGTGGGCGCCAACGGAAGCACCACCCCCCGTCACAACGTTCACGACGCCCTCAGGGAAGCCAGCCTCGACGATGAGCTCACAGACACGCAGAGCCGTTAGCGACGTCTGTTCGGCCGGCTTGAGCACGACGGTGTTACCGGTAGTAAGGGCGGGGCCAAGCTTCCATGACATCATAATTAAGGGGAAGTTCCACGGGATGATCTGACCGCACACTCCAACAGGCTCTTGCTTCGTGTAGCACAAGTATTTACCCGGAATGGGGATGGTGCTGCCGTGCACCTTGTCGGCCCAGCCGGCGTAGTAGCGAAGAACGTTGATGCATTGCTGGACGTCCAGGACGCGCGTGAAGAAGCGTGGTTTGCCAGCGTCCAGAGCCTCCAGTTGAGCCAGCTCCTCGCCGTTCTGCTCAATGAGGTCTGCAAGACGGTACAGCAGACGACCACGGTCAACGGCATCCATGGTGCGCCACGGACCGTTAAAGGCGGCACGAGCAGCCTCCACAGCAGCATCAACATCGGCAGCTGTGGCCTCGGCCACAGACGCAATCTTTTCCTCCGTTGCAGGGTTGATGGTGTCGAATGTTGCACCGGACGAAGACGGCGTGAACTTGTTGTTAATGAACAAGTTGGTCTGCTTCACATCCACGGAGAAGTTGCGAGACAGCAGCGACGCCTTGGCGGTTGTGGAAGCAGCAGCGCTGCGAGCAATGGAGCGGGGCAGGCGACGCAGGATGTGGCGTTGCATGGCTGTCTTGCGGAGTCCGAGGTGATCTGGGGCGAGCAAAAAGCAGAATGGCAAGGCCGAGACCTGATCAGGCTGACGCTGTTCAACCTATCCAGTTGCCTGCCGGCTGTGCCAGAGACATGGCAGTGCATGTGACGTTGCCAGGCAACTTGCCTGGACGGAGTGGACCCCTTTGGCTGGACAGGGCCAGCCAGTCACCGGCGGGACTTCGCCGGGAGCCATGTCATCGAGCGAAGCTTTAAGTGATGATCCCATCGGAGCTCCTTTTCTCTGCGCGCCAGCAGGATCCTTGTCGCCGCACACATCAAGCGAATCGCTTGAAGCGATACCTGTACTGGTAATAGTAATAGACCCCGCGGCTCCCTCGCGGTGCGTCGACGGAGGTTTCTATAGGATAGCGTTACGGTAATCACTCCGATTTTCCGGTAGTACTGACCAAAATGCTGCATGTTGACGTAACTTGGCATGGGCGTGTGCTAGGTTCGAGGATCAACGGGGGGCAATACCAGCCCCATTGCGGTCTCCACATGGCTGGTTTTATATCAGAGAAAATACCTTCTGCTTTCTGCTCCGCGCCTTGATCTTCAAGCGGATGGAAAGCAGTTCCCGGAACTGTTCCGGGGGGGGGGGTCGACGAATGCTTGGCTTTGGACACAAATGCATGTAGTTTACAAAATTAAAAACAATTACTGGGTTCGGGGTATCTCTCTCGTGTCCGACTCGCGTTAAACAAAACTGAACTATTCTCACCAGGGGTTAATAGTACCGCCAAAAAGGCGGTAGCACTATTACCGGTAATGCTAGGCCATTTTTTTCCCGGTAATACTAATAATAGTATTGAAATCTTATCACGGTATTTATATTAGTATTATTAGTATTAATAGTCAAAGTACTATTCTACCGCTTTCGAGGAGTCACGCGACTTGCGCGCGTCTTGCTTCATCATCACAATCTCGTTCCTGTTGTGCCGCAGTAGTAGCTGCTTCTCCGATCGCCTGCTATCTGTTCTGGTACGAAGCGGCCCCATAATTATTCCCCCCGTAGAAAACACTCGCTCTTGAAACGCCGACGATGAGATCTTGCCGAGATGAATACGTGCAAGCAGCGCGATTGAAGGGTATTGGCTCTCGCCTTCGTCGCGAAACCATTGCAGGACGTCTACGTGTTGGTACAACCCCAGCAGCGACCAGCACATACCCGTCCGACTGTCCGTTGTCATTGCAGAGGACAGATCTTCCTTCTTGGTCTCAGGGTTTTGGCGCTGTGCAATCTCGAGCCACTCAGGCTCCATCTCGAGCCACTCGTTCATGATACTGTCCGCTCTTGCATTTAACTCCGACTCCTTGACCTCCTCCCTGGTCTTACTTGTACGAATAGGTGCCCCGAGCAAGAGCTCGTCTTCGTCGTCCCAGCCTGTCGATGATGGAGAAGAGAGCGGGGAATTCAAGTCCTGGCTGAGTAGGCTGCTCTGCGATGAAGTCTGCGATAATGGCATCTTGCCCACCTTCGCCCTCTGCGCAAACACTTTTCGATGCTCGTCTCGAAGAAATTCCAGACCATTTTTGTAAGTGGCTTTCTCCTCTTTGCGGGAGACGTTGCCAACCGCAGCAATTTTCTTGGCGCTGGACTTAGTACGAGGGTCCAGTAATATACACACCATAGCCTCCCTCGTCACTTTTGGGAACCGTGACTGCAGTTGTAGAAGAGTCCTTCGCAGGCACGTTTTCCCAGCTTCTGTGAACTGGTCAAGCTTTCTCACTACCCGTCGATGACTTGCCTCGTTCCCATCCTTTGCTCGAGGGGCTTCAAAAACCATATTGTCAAACTTGAACGATTTCAGCTTCTTCTCGGCAAGTCTTCGGAATACTACCATGTATGAAGATACTAGATTCTCGCTTTGCACCTCAACCAATGCCAAGTTGGCGATAAAGTGCGTTACCGCTTCCATCTCGGTTGCCAGTACCCAGTCGTCTGCAGACAAAGCTGACCACACGCTAGTCGACTCCTTCGTCGACTGGAAATAAGCTTCAAAAGCCGCATGGTTAACCACAGACCGCCTTATCAGCTTGCACGTGTACGCGACTCTAACATCTTTGTCGGTCATGGGGTCTAGCTCAGGGTACGAGAGAGCTTCTTGAATTTTCTTCAACGCGTTGCGCTGCTTCGGCGACCGGAAGTGGTTGTTCAGATTGCGTAGTTTCTGAATGACTTCACCACCCTTCTCCAGAGATCCACCCGGTGTAACTATCGTAACTACTTTATCCCATGAATGGCAGGCAGCATTCCACACACTGTTGGTTTGTATGTTGTCCTTCAATCCGATCCCATATCCGATACACAGGTTCAGCAGATGCATCGAGCAATCTTCTTGCTCGCTGTCAATATGGTCAGCTACATTGCGCGCTGAGGGCGTCGTGTCGGACATGGTGAAGCGAGTCATTGCACGGATGTCGATGTCGTACTTCGCCTTAAAACCACTTTCGATCACTTTAGCCACAAGCGGAGCGTTGTGTCCGTCGTTCTTGACAGTAGCTAGCATTGCGATGAACCGAAATCTCCACGATGTATCAATAAATGCCACGGACGCACCAACGATACTGTCTTTTCCACAGCTAGTCCAGATGTCATGTATCAGATTCAGGTACTAAAGATGACACGCCTTTTCGAATTCAGAAGTGAGGAGGTCTCCGACAAGATCGCAAAATAGTTGGAACTGTCCTTGAAGCAAACGGTCGTGCCTGTCACGACTGAGCATAGGGAATGTTGGATTGCCTGTTGCCGCACGCATCATCTCCTCGAAGGGGCCTGACCTGCATGCCGGAAAAGGAATTCCTTGCGTAATTAGCCACTTCGAAATCAGCACGTGTAGCGTCTTCTCATCCGCCTTGAAGAAACGTTTCGCCAAAGACTTATTCCCCGCAGACGAACCAGTAGTAATAGGCGCAGAAGTAGTAGCATCATTCTCACCACCACAAGTCAAGTCTAAAACGACTCGGGTGTCATCTTCCGCACTCATGACATCGTCTTTCGCCTTTTGAGCTGTTGTCTGTTCTGCTAAAATCGCCAAAGGATGGTCCGCATGTCTCGACTTGATATGCTCCTTGGCGTTGCTCGTATTCTTCGTGCTGCGTAAGGCATCCTCCCAGCTGTAGGGCGTGGTATTCTTCCGTGCCTTTATCTCCTCACAGCACAGCAGACAAATGTTGCGGTACACTTGGGTGGAAGGCTTCCACGGATTTCGCTTTCTGTAGGGTTTATCCAATACATGAATTAGGTCCCAGACAGAATCAGTAGTACCAACCTTCCTTGAGTGTGTCAATGAAAGCGGGACCCCTAAGTCAGAAACAGGAGAGGCCGGGGGAGGAGGGGGCACACTACGTAGGTTACCATCCAGAGGAGGTTTAATGGCCTTCACCTTGGCCACTTTCCCTTTCGCCGCAACCTTCCGACGCTTCACTGGACGCACAACCGCAGTATCCGATGCCACGGCGACTTCAGGAGACGGCACGAAATCGGAGTCGGATCCAGCCCAGATATTCCTCGACGCAGAAGAAGATGTAGCGGCGGGGACCGTCGAAGAGGTCGTCACGGCTGGTGTAGAGTCCTTAGCGGTCGGGTAAATCTTCTCTACACATGGTTGACTGCAGAATCTGCGTATCAACAGAGAAGAGGGTTAGACGTGGAAATAAGACACAACAATGAGCAAATTACCTTTCATTCAACGACGACGTGTCTCCTTCAAATACCCCGATTGCACACAGGTGGTGAGTGGGCTTTCTGCATACGGTGCAAGGGTCTGTCTTGAGCTCAGGACCTTCCACACAGCCATGAACTGCACAAGGCATCTTCAGCCGTCGAATCCTGGTCGATCGCGATGGCGGTATCCAGTACTTTTCTGAAATGGCAAACGACGCAGGACAGCCACAGGTTCGATGAGTGCTCAATGAGGGGCAGTTGCTTGTTCACTGGCTTTCTGGTAAAATAGTACTGTTCAGAGTACTATAGTATCGCCTCACCTGAGTAATACTAATACTAATAGTGAATACCACACTACCGGTATACGGTAGTAATAGTACTAATACTCAAATAGCATTAGTAATACTATTACTCTAGATTACTAGTTTGTCAAATACCCTTAGCCCCTGATTCTCACTGGCAAGGTTAACCCTTCAGAATCGTATTGTGCTCTCTCTCATTTTTTTTTAAAGTGTCGATACCAAAACTTTCAAGTTTGACGCACTGCGCCCGCGGGGCCTGTGACCTGGACGATTTGTCCCGAACGAATCGATTGCTGGCGCAAGTGGGCTACGAAGCGGTACCGTTTGAAGGGATACCGTGCATAGGAACCGACATCGGCAAGGGATCAGGATGTTCAACACGAGTTGTACGAAGTACATGTAGTTCACATCTGACAAACTGTCAGTGGCAAATTGCCACGCCACTGGTTGCCATTGAAAAACTGTTCTGCGTCTACAGTACTGTAGAGACGTAGGACAGCACGATAACCCGCGATTCTGTGAACTTCCTCACTCCTTTGCTAGTGCCGACCACAAATTCAGTTTCAAGGATTCGTCTTCAAATCCAGTGACCTAGCCTGATAAAGCTCGGTCACAATTGCCTCACATAAAAAACGCCATCAACATTCCTCAACGACGCGATGAGATCTTGATAAACTTGGGTATTACCAATGGGGCAATTGAAAGGGGACCTCGGTTGGTCTAGGTTACACACGTAGCCACTGCGTCAGTAGGTCTTATCGCTACATGTAGAGCCCACTAAAGAACAACATTTGTCTTGAGGGAAGCTTGCACAATGTAAAGCATTCAAGAGACGCGTCATCTCCTCTACTGGCTCCTCTTCGACGAGCGTCGGTCCCGCTTTGTTTTTTTTTCTAACATTGTATCCGCTGTCGCTTTTGCCAGACCCGAGTCTTTACAGCAAGTGTAAATGCAAATACTAAGCTCAGTTAGTACATACATGTACAACAGAGTCATACACGTACCCGTTCACTGCGTGGTTGGACATGTACTTGTGTTTTTGGCATTTGTAAGTCAACATAGAGTTTCCTCACTTCAACTTCGACAATCGCATTTCGAATCCAACTTTTACCAATGAAATCACGATAAATGCAATTAATTACGCCTATTCGCCAAAACACAGTAATTCTTAGAAGGCGGTGTTGCAAAACGTCATGACGGATGCGAGCGACATATACCGGCGCTTCGTGGAGGCCCCGCTACGTCTCAAGACGCGCACGCCGTCTCCCTCACCTCCTTCGACGCCCCCTGCCTCCTCACAACAGAATGACGCCTCGGATCGGAGTCCGTGGGGTGATTCGCCAGCTTTTTCCACACGATCTAAAGAAATCCAGAAACTGCGGCGGCGCGTAGGTAAAATCAAGCTTTTCGGGATTCCTAGAGATTTAGACGATGATTTAAAAGCAGCGACAGCTTCGGACACGGAAAGCAGCGCTGGAACGAGCTCATTTGACGCAGCAGCCTCGAAAATATGGCCAAACGAGGCTGGGACAGCCTCGAAGACGGTTTTGAAGAAGAAAAAGCGCGTCACACGTTCAGTCAGCATGAACAATGAGAACACAGGAGAGGATTTTATGGACACACCAACCAGATGCTCGAAGCCGCCAAAACGATTACGAAAATACAGTCGAGACTTAAGCAGCAGGAAAGAAAGTGGAAGCAACGTTCCTCCTTTCAGTCTGGATGGTGCTGCCGACGCGAGTAAAATGAAGAAGAGTGCTTTAGATCCGAGTACGAAGTCTTTCTCGAAGAGAAGAACCTCGGTGACGATCACATTGCCATTACGTCGAAGTCGACGACTACAGTATGCTATAGCGGAGCCACCAATTGTTACAACAGCGGTGCCATCCTTGCAGCGGGCGGAAGAGACATCGGATATGACACATTCTGCTGCAACGTTATCTACAGAAGAAGCTGTGGCAGATAAGACGAGGATGTCGGATGAAACTGATGCAGTTTCTCTGCCGGAGGAGGACCCTGCTGCTCGGGAACTGGCAGAATTGATCTCGACATATTGTGACGCATTACTGGCGACAAACACCATCTCCGGGTGCTTTTTTGCATTGTCATGGAATGCTCTTCGTGGTGAGCAGGCTGTGATTATGTCAAAATCGACGTTAATTGACTCGAAGCCGCTCCAGAGCGTGTTTAGTATTTGTCATGGCATCGCGAAGTGCGAGAAACTAGCCCAACACTCGTTCCATTCGAAGTCACCAAAAACGAAATCACCAAAGTTAAAGTCAGATATGCCAAGACGACGCTCTTCTGGGAAGATAACGCTGAAGTCTAAGAAAACGAAGAAGAGCGTGCATTTCCGAAGTTTCGACCTTTCCTGTCTCAATCTACAGTACGTTGAGGACGAGCAAGTAGCTGTCATGGTTGACAAAATTCTGAGCCTTTATGGGACCATCATGGCGCAGCTGGAAACGATAGTATCTTACTTTGATACAGACAGCGATTCTCCGGTTCAAGCAGTGCTGCGTGAGCTCTCGTGCGTGATGGCAAGTCCGTCTAGAATATACAGCAGTATCGAAACTACAGATGCGTCCAAAAAGACTTATCGACGTGCTTTCGGTGGACGAGATCTTTACAGCCAGCACGAAATTCGGATTTCTGGCGAGTATTTTGCCCGTCAATTCGCCAACCTGTTGCACTCGTCATCATCCCCACCGCAGTTTCTTCAAGGCGTTTTCTCGTCGCTAGCCTCTTCTTCCGTACGATTCAAATTGCGAGTTCTATTCATTGAGAGTGAAGATTTCGGCGACGGGATCAGTAGCGAGCTCGAAAGTCGTGTGTTGCTAGACGACGACGGCAAACCTTTCCCAGCTATGGCGCCGTATGAGCATCAGGATCTTGGAGCGGCCATTCACTGGGCATTACAGGAATCTGTTCTGTACTGGCCGCTCGTGCAGCCTCTGAATGAAACACTGAAGCGTGAGGGAGACAGTTCATGTAGCGACCGTCTTGAAGAAGACTCACCCGTGAAGACTTTCCTGGATGAAAGTGCAGCCGAAGACCTCGATCACATGGAGAAATACGTTCTTGCTCGTCGATTTCTGAGATTTCATCTCACAAAGTCGTGGCGTCAGCGCTTGAAGGATAATGATATTGCTGAAACATGGACATCGATTGAGAAGGTGTGCGCACTGGCGAAAAGGTATGTGGCAGAAATCACTTGTTCATCAAGACGCTAATGCTGCTGTTTGGTACTAACGCTCCGTGTAGATTTCATTTTGAAGACGAAGCTCATCTCTTCCCTCTAGCTTCTGTCGAACAGTTCGTCAGTATATTGGCAAGCGAAGAACCCACACTACGGCGAATGGAAAAGGTGTTGCAATCCTTTTACGAGCAGAAATACGGTAAGCGGCGGTGCAGGAACTTTGTCAGAGCGACATAATACTAAGTGCGCTATACACAGGGACGAGCTCGTTGCAGCCAGAGCCGTGTATGGAATGCCATCACCTCATTACGAGAGAGGAGATCTCGCTCTCCATCAGATGCACTACGTGCGCACGTCGATTCCACCTGGCCTGTCTGCATCTGCCCGAGTCCTTCACTCAGTATGCCGAGCACTACACGTGTCCTGCGTGCTTCCTTGGTCGAGGAGGGTACTGAGGTTATTCAAGTTGGTAAGTTTAAGAATATTTTTTTGCGGGGATAGACAGTTAGAATACGTGCATAGCTTGCATTGCAATAGATCCCCTTCGTACACGGCTATAGGCCCACTTGTTCAACAGCTCGCTTTCTCTTCGGTCGCGGGCCGGGCTTTCGTCTTCCGGTGCCATCTTCAGAGAGGTAGAAGTCCAGAGGCGTCTTCAACGAAGTGTCAGGTACAATGGGAGACGCATCCACTGGCCAAGGCGTGAAAGAAGTGGAATAACACGCCAGATAATTCTCAATCGAGTTCTGCTTGATGTCGTACAGCGAGTCGATACGACGCTGCTCTAACTCGGACGCGTGGATCGCGTGCAAACACGGGAACTGCTGGTCCTGCCAGTCCTGACATGTGCACTCCCAGTCCATGAGGTTCACGTGACGCCAGCTATCAGGGATTTTTAACCGTGTCGGGCCAAGATAGCGCACCATGTACAGTCCGTTCGCACAAGGAATCGACTACCGAGCATTAAAATATCAGTTAAAAAAACAATACAAGTAATCAACAAAAGCTAACGTACCTCACACCGTTGACTGCCTTGCAGAATCTGTTGCAGCTGAGCATCTCGAAGCGGAACGAGCTCGTATCCTGGACGCAACTTGACAGATTGACGGCGATGGTGGAAATTCTCGGCGATCTTCATAAAGAACTGGTTGAAGGCGTAAAGTGGGTGAGAACTGCCGATCGAATCTTCGCCGAACCACTTGATATGACTAGCGCTTGCGTGTTGAGACAGCAACTCGTCACTACCCAACGCCATGGAGAGGTCCGACGTGAGTTCATTAAACGTCGGACGTCGGAATCTTTCCAGAAACGCGTATTTCACCCAGTTGGCGCGGTCCAATTTGTCCAGATACGTAACTGCCGCCTCATTTGAGCCAACTAGAGCTTTACGAAGCGCATCGTACTCAGTTTCGCTGTCACTGCGGGCCAAGTCGAAGATGCTTTGCTTCTTTTCAGGCGTCATGGGGATCTTCTTGACCATCATAAGCTCGTCTTCGACCACACGGCGCATACAGAAGTGGTGACTCGCCAGTGGCCAGACTCTGTGGATAGCAGTCTGCAGTCCACGTGTACGTCCAGCGATCACAGTGTATTGGTTCCAATCCGCCACATGGGTACTCTGTAACGCAGTCAAAAACCACTCCCAATTGGCTTGGCTCTCCTCCGTAACCAGCGCAAGAGCGAACGTCACAACTTCGTCATTAAAGTCCTTCGTAGCGGCCTTCAAAAACACTCCACAGATGGCGTCGTCGCTCCCCTCGTCCTCGAATTTCCCTACTGCAGTCTCCGTCACTTCCTCGCAGTGTGTGATGTGATCCAGCGACACAATCTTACGGCAATGCTTAACAGTATTCAGCGTCGCATTCGGGGCGAATAGAGCGCGAGAAAACGCGCCGTCTTCTCTCGTTTCAACCCGGAACAGTGAGCCTGGGTTTTTCTCCGCCATGATCCCCAGATACCCACCCAATTTCTGGAATGACCCACGTACTTTAGCGATTCTCTCTTCCTGGAGTTGGCGTTTAATCCGTGACGCCATCATGTGGTTAATTGTATGCCCCTGTCCAAGGAGGATGCGACGAATTGTCTTGCCGTCAAGTTTGGCCATTGCCACGTTCGGTGGGTGTTTACTCACTTCATCCGTCACCATGCGACATAGCGACTTCATGGACATCGTCGTGTTCCTCTGAGCCTTCGCTCGTGGCGGCGGTGTAATCGTGGCTGTCTCTGCAGGAGCAGGCAGCTCAGAAGACCCAATATCAAGTGGCACCGTCTCCGCTGGTGGTGCAGGGGCTAATAGAGGCTGCGTACTAGTGCTTGGCAACACATTAGGCAGGTTTCCATTGGCTACAGCGGTCGCAGCAGCTACTGCGAGTGGATGAGTCGTCGTTGGCGGTGCAGCTCGCCAGCCGATGAACTTGTAGTGGTTGTGTAGGAAGCAGGCCCGCGTGATCTTCCAGTGTTCATCTTTACCGTAGCCGTTAATGTAAAACGGACACTGTAGTTTACTAGCGGGTGTGTCTGGATCGAAGAACTGCTGCCCGTTGAGTTTCTTGCAGCGATATTTGACGTTCCCGCCCCCATTGGGACGTGTACTGCTACCGGATACGAATAGCTGGAAGCCTCGTTGCATGGCGAACTGCTTGCATCGCTCTTGTAGAGTCTTTTGGCTGCTAAACACACCGGCAGCGCATCCTGAGACTTTGCTGCCTCCTTTCTTCTCGTACGCGACGCCAAACTCAGGCGCACTCGAGTCCAAACTCACCGGCAGGTCTTCCAGCAGGATACCCAGTTTCTTCGCCTCCTTCAGGTCCGTTTCATCCAGACGGTTATACTGTGACGCTGCTGCTAGAACTGAAGCAAGCACCAATGGCTTCGGGGCCGACGGCTTCGGTGGTGGCGGCTTCGGAGCCGACGGTTCTGCTGCTAGAACTGCCGGCCTCGGTGCTGGCGGCGTTGGGGCCGACGGGTCTGCTTTTAGAGCTGTAGTAGGCACTGACGGCTTCGCTGCTGGCAGCTTTGGGGCCGACGAGTCTGCTGCTAGGGCTGACAGCTTCGGGGCCGGAGCTGTGGTGACTTCCTCGGAGCTCACCATTTGTCTCAGTACTTTAGCTTCGGTCGGAGATTGGGGGGCACTGATGAGATTCAGTACACCTGGAACTGCTCTTGTAGAGAGGTTTGAAACAATAATAGAACATGGATACACTTTACTCCCAGCCCTTCACTTCCAGATGTATCGTCGAGTGCAGCGTCTCGGTGGTCGCGTGCGTGGGCGGCGATGGAGCAGCAGCTCAAAACCCTCGTCCTCCAGTAGCACTGGCGATGTCTCTAAGCAGACTGTGAGCGCGTCGATCCGCTCCACGACGATTGGAACTGTGCGTGTAACCAAAGGTTACGGCGCTGACAAGCATGAGGCGGAGCTGGACTCGACGGTTGCGCGTATCATTGGTTCAGATTGGGGAGACCGCTCTCACCAGCCTGTATCTATGCCTATGCGTATATACTGGGTCGTTTTTGCTGTAGTACTGGGCAACGGACTGTACACGTACTTTGCCGGCAAGGACGAGTCATACCTGGTGGAGAAGCTAAAGAAGAAAGCGGATGAGAAGCTGGGCGTCGAGGAGGAGGAGAACGAGTTTGAGCAGATGGCTGAGCGACAGGAAATAACTCCTATTGCTGTGGAGAAGGCTGAACAGAAGCAGACAGTGACAACTGCTGCAGCTGCGACGTCAACTTTGGGTTCGGGCGTTGTGTCGTCTCCTGGGTTGCCGTTCATTGCACCGGGAATGTCCCCACAGGCGAAGGCGCGTCGACCCAAGTCGAAAACAGAGTTGGAACATCAACTCGCGCAGCTGCGAGAGAAGCAGAAACGACTGGAGGATCAGATTCGTAGGGGTGAAGGAGTTGCCAAGGACGAGCTGGAACACCAAGTGCGCATGATTGACATTCAGAAGGAACAGGTCAAGCGTATGATCAAACACTTGTAAGTAGATGAGGATAGAACGCTGCAACCGATGGAATAGACGCAGGTTTTACCAAGGTGACCGAGGCCTGTCTACTGACCTCAACTGTTCGTGACAGCAATGGAAACTGCGCCCCCAGCTGCGATACTGATGACCTTTTGGTTGTTGTTGATAAAAAACTCAACCTTCTCCAACGAAGCACGGTTGGTCTTGTCGCCATGTCCTGCAACAACCATGTTAGAATGCTCAGATATTTGTGGATGTAGCACCGTCAAACGTACCAAGATTGCCATGTTCTCCCCAGCCACACGTGTACAGGTCTCCGCTAGTCGTCACCACCATGGAATGTTCACTACCGCATGCAACGTGTCGAGCAGTGTGCGGAAATGGGACGACTTGGGGCTCGTACGCGTTGTCAAACCCTCCGAGACCCAGTTGTCCATGACTGCCTTTGCCCCAAGTCACGAGCTTTCCAGTGTCTGTGAGGCACAGCACAAAGTGCCATCCACAGCTGACCTGAGCTGTACGGAGACTTATGTTGCTGTTACTTGGGTCTACCACTTGAATGGGCAGCGCATTCACCTGCTTCCTCCTTTCACTTGACCTTTCTGAAGCTGCCGAGCCAGAAATTCGTACGCCCAATTGCCCATGTCGGTTGTTCCCGCAGGTGTATATATCGCCATCGGAAGAGCGAAAGACAGAGTGCTCCCATCCGCAAAAGACGTTAATGATAGCCGTGCCTTTCAAGGTCTCAATCCGCTTGGGAGCTTCAGACTTCAAGGCTTCGGCTCCCAGTCCCAGTTGGCCATGTCGTCCACTCCCCCATGAGTAAACGTCACCTTCAGCAGTGGCGAGAAGCGAATGCTTCCAGCCACAAGCAATACTTGCAACCTGCAAGCGTGGAGGCAGGTGCACAATCTGTGCTGACGCTTTACCTCCAGTAACTTTAGAACTTTGGTCGCGACCTAATTGATGATGATCGTTTGAGCCCCAGGAGAAGACACGATCCTCTTGGCTGCCACCACAATGCGACGACATGACTGCCAACGTGCTCCACCACCCGCAAGCTACTAGTTTCGCTTTCTGTTATTGCAACATTCAAACAGAATAAATTAGTATCGTACGAAAGAGAACTGGCCAGCTACTCACACTTTCACGTGGAACACAGACTGCAGATTCGGTAGGAGCACTTATGAACTTGTGCTCAGTGGTGTTTCCAAGTTGGCCTCGATCATTAGATCCCCATAGAAAGAGCCGGCCGATGCTATTGATTCCTGTCATTTATCCAGACGAAGAATAAAAATTCATCTGATATTGTTGCCACGGTCTCGTTGCTTTGACTAACCTGCGCTATGGCAACCGCCAGATACAACGGATTCTAGTTGCACCTGCAACGCAAGAGTAGACAAAACTCGTTTGCCATGTCAGCTTTTAGACATTATTCCACTGTTTTATTACTTTTACCCGGTCATTCTCCCAGAGTTGAGGAATAGCGTAGTCATCCTCCGTCCCCAATCCGAGCTGCCCAGTCCCACCTGCATATTGCAAGTCAGTACATTGTGTATTATAGTGGCGAGTTTTCGCAGCAGGAATGGATGTACCTGACCCCCACACGTACAAGCGCTTCTCCATGTCGGTTGATGAAAATGAAGTACTTCGAGTAATGACCAATCAGCGACGCGTTAAAACGAAGAGGAATGCCATCAAGCTCGTGTTTTCTCACTTCGATCATATCTCATTCACTTGGCTACATTCCTCTTTTTAAATTCGTTTTTGCTCTGTGCTGGGTGCCTACTTCAACTTGACCGACAGCCTCACTTCCGGTGGTGAAGACGACGGGCCTCGTTGACCATGAGTCCGTAGAAGTGCTTGTAGTCCATGCAGGCCAACAAGTGGTCGACGAACCAGGCATACGAATGCTCCTCGAAGAGAGCCGTGTATTGACCGTCATGGATCTCCCTGCATTCCTTGAAAAACTCCTCAATTGTCGCTCCTTCGGATTCCACGAACTCTGCACACAGCGATACGCATATGAGCACAAGCTGAAATTATTACGACAATTACCAATGGAAACAGCCCTCTCACCCGACAGTTCTTCTTCAAACAGCTTGAGATACTGGTCGTGTAGCTCCTTATATCTGTCAAAACGACCACCAGTGCACAATCATGAGCCTATAAAAACAACATCCCTTTATTCCTCGAGCAACGACATACTCGTGCTTATGCTCGACGTCTCCATCTTTGGCCTCTGTCGCGTCAATAAACGCATCCGCATGGTCCCTAAATCAGATGCGTGTCACGTCACACTTCCGTCGTCACATGGCCCGCTTCAATCTGCGCCAGGCGAACAGCACCCACCTGGCGAAGTTGTCAAACACTCGCTCAAACTTGGGTGACGAGCAGAACTCAGCGGCGCGCGTGATTATAGTCATGGCCTTGCGCGCAATAGGGAGGTGACAGCGCAGCGTTAGGCAGTTATGCTGGTGCAACAGTCGCGACCTTTCGCGAGGAATGGCTACATTTCTTGTGGCTGCTGTCACAAGATCGGCAAACTCGTACAGCCCAGCAGCCGGATCAGACTTACCGTCAGTTTCAGCCAATCGCGAGAATGTCGCACAACGAAAATCGGGATGACTGGTGGCGGAAGCTCGTGTGGACCACAATAGAAGAGCCATTTTCCTTCAACTGCGCTTCGAGAACACACAAGGTGCTTTTACACGACATGATTGGTCAGAGTGAAAACTCAATATTAATATTTTATCAATTAGCCAATCAAAACCCTTGAAGCTGCCGGCTATTAAGCCATCATTCTCTTGCTACTTCGACACTCAGGGAATTTTGCGCCGCGCTCCACCAATGATGCCAGTCTCTTTCTCTCTCTTTCAATAAAAAAAGAAAAAAAAAGGTTACCCCCTCCGTTAACGACAGGTATGTTGCTTGCCTCCTTGGCGACACTTGCACCGGGTGCTATTGCAATCTACGCCGCCAGGATGTCGGTTGTGGTGCATTCTTTGCTGGCCTTCCGCTATAGCGCGAGCAATCGCTGACTGTGTCTTCGTTTTGCAGCAGCAATGGCCAACTCCGCGACTTCCCCGACCAACAGCCCGGCCCCCGCCGCCAGTGCCGCTCCGGCCGCAGCTACGTCGACGGCCTCGACCTCTGCCGCCTCGTCGGCTACAGGCGCTGCGCAGCCGTTCCACACGGCGTCGCTTTACGTGGGGGATATCCACCCGGACGTGACGGAGGCGTTGCTGTTCGAGATCTTCAACGCCGTCGGCCCGGTTGCCAGCATCCGCGTGTGCCGCGACGCTGTGACTCGCCGCTCGCTGGGCTACGCGTACGTGAATTTCCACAACGTGGCCGACGCTGAGCGCGCCCTGGACACGATGAACTTCACGAGCATCAAGGGCGTTCCGTGCCGCATCATGTGGTCGCAGCGCGACCCGTCCCTGCGTAAGTCAGGCGTAGGCAACATCTTCGTCAAGAACCTGGACACGTCTATCGACAACAAGGCGCTGTACGACACGTTTTCGCTGTTTGGCAACATTCTTAGCTGCAAGGTGGCTATTGAACACACGACGGGCAACAGCAAGGGTTACGGATACGTGCACTATGAGACGGCCGAGGCGGCCACGGAGGCCATTGCCAAGATTAACGGCATGCTAATTGCTGGCACGGAGGTCTTTGTTGGCCAATTCCAGAAGCGTCAGGACCGCCCGGACGCCGACGACTGGACCAACTGCTACGTTAAGAACATCCCTACTCAGTGGACGGACGCGGATCTGCTGAAGGAGTTCGAGCCTTTTGGAAAGGTGCTCAGCGCTGTCGTCATGAAGGACAACGCCAACCCGGACCACAACCGTGGCTTCGGCTTCGTGAACTATGAGGAGTCAGACGCCGCCCACAAGGCCGTGGACGCTCTGAACGGCAAGTCGTACCCTGCTGGTGAGGGCTTGGACACCGAGATGTATGTCGGTAAGGCCCAGAAGCGCTCGGAGCGTGAGCGTGAGCTGCGCAACAAGTTCGAGCAGCTCAAGATGGAGCGTATTAACAAGTACCAGGGCGTCAACCTGTACGTCAAGAACTTGGACGACCAGCTGTCCGACGATGAGCTCCGTGAGGCTTTCGCTGAGTGCGGCACTATTACCTCGTCGCGTGTGATGCGTGACCCCAATGGAAACTCGCGTGGCTTCGGCTTCGTGTGCTTCTCGACCCCCGAGGAGGCCAACAAGGCTGTGGCCGAGATGAACGGCAAGTTGATCTCTGGAAAGCCTGTGTACGTGGCTCTTGCCCAGCGCAAGGAGGTGCGTCGTGCTCAGCTTGAGGCTCAGCACGCCCAGCAGCGCGCTGGTATGGTTGTGGGCCGTGGTATGCCTATGGGCCAGCCGCCCATGTACGGTGCTGCCCCCATGTTCTACGGCCAGCCAGGCCAGCTCCCGCCTCAGGCTCGTCAGGGGTTCATGTACCCGCAGCAGATGATGCCGCGTGGTGTCCAGCGTGGCCCCATGCCATACGGTGCTCGTGTGCCTGGCGCTCCGGCTCCGGGTGGCTACCCGATGCCTGGCTACGGCATGCCCATGCAGCAGCAGCGTGGCCAGCCGCGTCGTGGCCGTCAGGGCCCCGGCCCGCAGGGTCCTCAGGGCGCTCCGGCCAACCGCCGCAACTTCAAGTACACGGCTAACGCCCGCAACCACCCGGCCCGCGATGTGCCGCCTCAGGGCGTGATGCCGCCGGCCGCGCCCGTGCAGAACGCTGGCCCGGAGCCGCTGACGTCGGCCGCCCTGGCTGCCGCCTCGCCTGAGATTCAGAAGAACATGATCGGTGAGCGTCTGTACCCGTTGATCCACCGCCAGCAGCCTGAGCTGGCCGGCAAGATCACGGGTATGCTGCTGGAGATGGACAACGGTGAGCTGCTGCACTTGCTGGAGAGCCCGGAGGCTCTGGAGGCCAAGATCCAGGAGGCTATGACCGTGCTGGAGGCCCACCAGGGCTAAGTCTTTCGGTTTTTCGCGGGCGTCTTGTGGTGTTCGTGTGTTTGGCCATGCATGAATATGGTGAGGCGGCAGCGGGCTTCCTGAGCTGCGGCTGGGAAGTAGAGAAGGAGAAGTTCGGGGAGCTGCGGCTCCTGCTTTTTGTGTCGTTGGTGTTGGGTCGTCCTTTGCTTTGATTGGTTTGGTGGAGAGGAATACACAAAGAAAAAATGCTCAAGATCACGGGGAAGACACAATTGGTGGGGGTCGTAGCTAATCGAAAACATGAGAAGAGATGATCACAACGCCTCGGCCTGCCTGCCTCTTGCCTCCGCCTGCAGCCTGCAGACCATTTTTTATTTTGTCGCTCGCGACAGTCTTAGATAGTTTTAGTTTTGCATTTCGCTTTAAGCCTTTTCCTTGTGTTCTGCATTCTTCTTGCATCACATCGAACAACACAGCGCACACATCGGAACATGGATACAGCCGCACGAAGGAAAGTTGAAGTCGGACTTCAACAAATTGGGTACGTGATCAACTCACACGTCATTAACCTTATCTATGCCAGAGCCTGCAGTTTGTCAAATTGCTGACATTGCAGTGTTGCCTCAAGCGTAAAATCAGCAAGTTTACGTTGCGAGCTCTCCGCACCAAACGTCTGACTTGCGCTACTGCCACCCTTTGAGGTTGGAAACACAGTAGCTAGACCACCGCAATAGCCAGCAAGCAAGCCCCACCGAGCGCCCAGCGTCCCCCAAGCCTGCTCGAAGGTTGAGGACGAATGTTTAGCACTTTTCTCCAGAAGCCGTTGCACATCTGCGTCGCTTGAAGCAGCAGTTCGCAGTTCCTGATGCTGAGTCTCGACAGCAGCAAGCTTCGTATCAGAGTAAGTCTCGCTCATGCGTGGACGATACACACGCATCATTTCCTGGAAATCCACAGCGTTCAGCAGCGCAATTTGGTGAGGTAGAACCGGCGGAAAAGCGCTCAGACTTGCGTTGCTACCACCACGTTCCTCCAGTTCTTCAGCGAGACGATGGAGCCCCTGGACAAGGTCAAGCATCCTATCAGCCGTGTTGACGATAATTTGTTGTCGTTCTTCTGTGTCAAGTCCATCAAACAACTCGGCACACCAGCTGCCCATTCCTCGTATAAACGCGACAATCGAGTGCGGCTTAACTGCAAACATTCCATCACTTGAGCCGATCATTTCTCCCAAGCTACTTTGATCACGTAGAGCAGCTCGTTGATACGCAGGCAGAGGTCCTTCCACACCAACGTCCCCCGCCAAAGCAAGACGAAGCATAGATATCCGCTGGGGCTGTTGCGACATCAAGGTCGCGTATCCTCCTTGAAGACTAGCTCGTGTTTTAATCGCTATAGTCCCCACCACGAGCGCAATTTTGAGATTAAGCCACCAAGACGGAGATGGAGCAACCGAAGCATTCCTTCGAGCCAGCAGACGTTGGATAGACACTCGTGCATTATCAAACCACCGCATGACTTTCGTCATCTTGCACCATATTGTGTCTCCAACATGAGGACACGTCGTCACTGATGCTGCGCTGAGTTCGTCTGCGTTTCCTGTAGCCATTTGACGCTCGAGATACGCTGCCAGACTTGTGAGTTGCGAGTACCATTCGGCATTATCAGCGAACAAAACGGAGTCGAAGAATGGCTGCATCAATGAGTCCATAGGAGGCCGTGCACTTGATACACGGACAAAACCTGGAAGTGCTTGCTGCTCTATCCTTCTCACAAGACTAAAAGCAACGACGCTGACGTCTGAGCTCGTCGCTTCAGTGCTGCATCCAATGATTTTCTGCAGCCAGCGCTTGTGTATCGCCTCAAGAAAAGTCGTCAATGTGTCGAACATCATTTCGCTCGTACGACTTGGATCTCCCCCTGTTCTCACTGGTAACGCTAGTAAATGGAATGCTTCCATCTTTCCAGCACAGTAAACCCGCACACGCACATCGAGGAACATGCGACGTTCCTTTCCTCCTGGTCGTGAGCGGTCCACACTCTGCAGACTCAATGAAAACGCCCAGCTTTGCTGTAGTATCCGACTGAATGTTTGGAGGTTGGCACCAACAACAGCACGCGCCATTTGTGGCACGAACGTGTTGTCACTGATTCTTGTGCTCATCTGTGTCTGACATATCGTCGCGGTTTGGTCAAAACTCAGTCCCATAGCTACTAACTCCACCACGCGATGGAAAAGCTTCACGGATCGAACAACCACTCGAACTTCCGCTGTGCCGTCCGATTTCTGCTGATCCAATGTGTCGCGTTTATCCAGTGTGCTTTCAAACACCGCTAAGCTCTTACCCACCCCTGGATTAACATCTTCTGCCCGAAACAACACGTCGCCTAAGGCCACATCTACTATGTCTCGATCTAATAGAAACGTCAGCACTTCACCAGTATTCAACTCCAGTGGAGATACAAGAGCCTGATCCTCTGATGTAACTGCAATAGGAGCAGGAGTTGGAGACGCAGGAGCTGATTTTGTTGTCTCATTATTTGCATCCGCAAGTTCAGTTGGTGTAGCTATTGGCGGTCGTATCGGCGTTGGACTTTGCGCTGCCGAAATATTTACTGGGGCCTGTACGCTGTCCATCGACCTGCGTGGCTTCTCCTGCTTCTTGGGGATCGCTGGGATACTATCAAAGTACCGTTGCTTCTGCTCTGGTGGCAGATTCTGGTACTGATCCCACCTATTCGGGTGCTGTTTCGACAGGTGTGACTTGTAATTGTCCGTGCGGAACGTGGGGCCGCTCCAATACTTGGGCCTTTGCGTCTGGGCGCGCTTTCGTTCGGTCTCACGCGGAGCATCCTCCCGCCCAAAGGCGGCGCAGAACATGCAAAGCACAGAGGTGACCTCACGTGTGTCTGGGTTGCGCTCCACCACGCGCACACCATACATATACTCATGCGCCTCGAGGAAAGGCACGATGCGCTTGACCCGTTTCCTCTCGGGCTCGGATGACATGCTAGATCAGGATTGCTCAAATTGACTTGATTAAAGTAAGGAAGTTGCTGTTACTTAAGTAAAATAATTTAACTGCCAATCAAACAATCAAGTACATGTATTACACTCGTGCGGCCCACACACGACGATGGCGAGTGCAGTGAGAGCGAACGTGATGCGCGTGGCCGCGCGCCAGCTCAGGCGCCAGACGCCACAGTCGGTGGCTGCGTTGCGCGCTAACTCTTACCCCCAGTCGGTGGCGCAGACGCAGCTGCGTTCCATGAGCGTATTCTCCAACATCAAGAAGACGGTGTCTGGCAAGCTGGAGGAGCGCAACCAGCACAAACAGGGTATGAATGGACGTCGATTCACATGCGTATGCAGAGATTAAGTAGTGGATACAGAGAGGCTGACAATGCGTGCGCTGCTGCTGCAGAGGAGGCGTACAAGCAGCAGATGATCGAGCTCTCGCAGAAGGACAAATTCGACCTGAACGGATTCTACGACCACCTGAAGGTGAGCACAGCGCAGGAGGCTTTAAGAAGCATCGTCACTTGTTTGTGGATGCAGAGTCTGATGGTGCTTGCTGTGTTTTCCGATGATGTTCTTGGTGACGTGGTAGAAAAACGCTGAGGCGAGCGGCGCAAGCGGCTGGCGATCCATGATCCCCGGTGTGTCATCCATGGTAAGGCGTTTTGCTGCTGGTTAAGCTGACGTGATGTGGTGCTGACTGCTGCTGCTGGATGATAGACTGCAGTGCAGCAGATGAAGACGTTCATGGACATCTTGGAGTCGATGGAGGTACGATACTTTGGTACACTATTGAGTGAGAGTTGTTGCTAACGTGACAGACTTGTGATCTCACTGCAGCCCGAGTACCGTGAGAGCCCTCGCCTTATTAACGGCAAGATCAAGAGGAAGATCTCGGAAAAGGCTGGCCACGTACGTCTTGCTCTCCTGCTGATATCCCTTCCGTGTTGATTCATTAACACAACTAATACGCATTACAGTCTCCTGAGGACATCAACAACATGCTGCGCAATTACGAGCAGCTGTCTGCTCTCCACGTTTGGCTGGTGAAGCGTGTGGAACGCGGTCTCAGCATCCCCGAGACTCTGGACGAGACGACGGAGCTGGTACGTCAGGACCCCACCGGTTTTCCGGCCAGAAAGTTCAGGTACGCATTATGCATTCAATCTTACTCCTAGACCATTATACTAACCGTGTTTACTAACGCCATACTAGGATGAAGCAGCGTCGCTACTAATCAGCGCGATAGCATTAGAAAGCATCAGAGACAACGGTCAATAGCTCGAGTGCCCTGCTCACGCCAATATTGACCTATTTCACCCAATCACGCGTTTTTAAAATGTCGATCACTTTTTCCAATCTCTAAATATCCCAATTTTTGCAACCACAAAACACGAGTTATCGCCATGCAGAGCTCGCACAACGTCGTGTTCGGAGACCCCCTGAAGCCTGTGAAGCTTGACGACTTCCGCAATGTCCTTATCCGGTATGCACCACTTTCCATTGATCCATTTGATGGCGATGCACTCTAATTTGTGACCATGAAAACCCAGCCAAGAGGAGACGCTCATCTTCGCGTTGATCGAGCGCTCTCAATTCCCGCGCAACCCGGAGGTCTATGTGAGCATGAAGGAGAGGTACGTTATTAAATCCAGTTAAATATCTTCCAATGGACACTTAAAGACTGATGTAACCTTGACGAGCAGCAAGAGTGCTGCCTTCGGAGGCTTGAAGGGCAAGTACACGACGTTCGACGGCAGTCCGCTGGACTTTATGCTGCTGGAGACGGAGAAGCTACACGCACTAACGCGTCGATACACGTCTCCGGACGAGAACGCCTTCTTTCCGCACCTCCTGCCGGAGCCGATCCTGCCGATCCTCGACTATCCGCGTGTGCTCAATCCGAACCGGATCAACATCAACAACCAGATCATGAGTGTGTATCAGAAGAAGATCTTGCCAGGTCTGACAACGTCTGCTAGTGACGACACGGCGGTATGAAAAAAATACCGATTTATTTGATATATTTAAGACTCGCTAACTTATCGGATTTTTTTTGGATAAAAGTATGGCTCTACGGCGACGGCGGATATCGCTGTGTTGCAGGCGCTGAGTAAGCGTATTCACTTCGGCAAGTTCATCGCTGAAGCCAAGTTCCAGGCCGAGACCGAGCGCTACACGAAGCTCATTCTTGCGAACGATGCTGACGGAATCATGGAGGCTCTTACCAACCTCGCAGTTGAGCAGGTTCGTTAAGCAGAGCTTGAACTTATTGCTTCAAGTGCTGATCTGGTACTCTCATGTGTCTATTAGAAAGTGCTTGAGCGTGTCAAGTTGAAAGCGTCGACGTATGGTCAGGACCCGAACGCTCCTGCGTCGTCGGATGACAAGGAGATGAAGGTGAACCCGCAGCTTATCTCGGGTTTGTACCGCGACTTCGTCATGCCTCTTACGAAGGAGGTACAGGTGCAGTATTTACTGCAGCGTGTCGCTCATCCTTCGATCGCTGTGGCTGGAGCGGAAGGCTCGTTCTGCTGGCTGGCGGCTCAAGCTCACTTCGGAGGCGAAACGTTGGCCAAGGACCAGTTACTGCAGGCTGAATCCATCAGCAAGGTCTTCTACGATGTCAACGCGAATCGTACAGCCTACGGTGTCGTCCCCATCGAGGATTCTCATCTGGGTATGATCAAGGAGACGCAAGCTCAACTGCTGCGTAGCTCGCTTAAGGTGTCTGCAGAAATTGTACTCACACGCTCGTTCATCTTCGCGGCTAAGGACAAGCAACTGGGCAAGAATACGGACGTGACGAAGGTCTTCTGTCCTACTGACACTGATGCTCGGCTGCTCGCACAGGCGGAACAATGCTGGCCAAGCGCTCAGGTGGTCTCTGTCGCTAATGTATCGGAGGCTGCAAGCCGTGCCTTTGATGAAGCGTCCACGGTCGCGGTGACCACGGCTGGAGCTGCGGAGTCTCGTGGCTTGGAGCAGGTTGACACAAGCCACGCACTGGCGTCTGAGGCTGGCGCTGTGGAGAGCAAGTCGTTCATTCGCTTCGTCATTGTGTCCAAGGGCTACCCTGCTGCCACGGGCAAGGATAAATCGTGTCTGAGTATGGAGATTAAGCACGAAGTGGGGTCCTTGCTCAGTGCTCTGGATGTATGGAAGAAGCACGATATCAACCTTTCGTGTCTCGAGTCCATCTATCGCCAGGAGGAAGGTGGCTACGACTTCTTCGTGGAGATCGTGGGTCACTTTGACGACGAGAATGTGCGACAGGCGGTTAATGGACTGCAGTCGGTGTGCACAGTCAAACACCATGGCTCGTTTCCCATCGCCAAGCGCCCCATCCAGAGCTAAAGACTTGCAGTTAACACAGGAGATGTACCACTTCCCTAGAGACGAAATACAGCAATCATGAGCATTGCAATAGGCCGAAATCTTGTTTACGTGGGTTCAGTTCAGTGTCTGCTTCTGGTTTGTTGGTTCACCATCGAGATCGGCTGTCGTTGTCCAGGTCGACGTACTCAGCATCAATGACGGTCTTCCGTCGGCCGCCCACCGATGAGTCACGCAGCAGGTCGATCACATCTCCGGTTTGGCTGTTGCGATCTTTAATATAAACAAGATTATTAGTACTACGCCTCGTACAGCTAATACAGTCACAGTTATCTAACATACATTTGAGTTCCGTGAAGTTCAGCTTTCCTCCTTGGCCGACCGAAGCCTCCATCGTCACGCGCGCAGATCCGTACGCTCCATTGACCGGAAACACGGCTTCAACGCGTCCAGTACCATTCACAGCTGCATGTACCCAGCGATAGCAGTGAGTTAGAAGCAGAAAGTTGGCTAAACAGAAGCACCTGCTCACGCACTCGACTCTATCCACTGCTCCGGTCCGCCAACGCTGACATCCTCTCCCATCTGTTCACGCACGCGCTTGTTCGCCTGCAAACACTCATTTGTACGTCGCCGCAGTTCTCCCGCCCTCTCCATCGAGCTCTGCATCGCCTTGCCCACAAACGAAAACATTGTCTTCACTAGCCCTCGCACAACCAGCGGCATGCCCTGGACCAGTGAATCCAGATCATCCTGCACCGCCGACTTGGTGCGTCGTCGACTACGTGTAAACATATCATTCAGAGCATCGACGTTGGAGCTGACGCTGCTAAACGGATTGCTCGACGACCGAAAGTGCGACCGGTACGGGCCCATGAACCGTTGATACAGAGTGTACATTCCGAATCCCGCAGCCCCCGCAATGACCAATCCAAACGCCACTACGCAGCAGAGAATCAGTATTTGTCTAGGCTATAATGAGTAGTAGATAAATGCAACATACGCGATGTGGAGGCGATAAGCGCCCCCGTGCCCAGCAGCACGAGACCTCCAGTCTTCACTGTGGACTTCCAGTCACTGCCATTCTGCCACGGGTTCCTCCCGGGCGAGTAAAAGCGTTTCAGCTGGATTGCCAGCACAGGCGACATCGAGCCGTTCAGTAAAACTCTGTTTACAGGCGAAGTAAGCGGTCGAGGCAGCAAAGGCGATGAAGAAGTCGACATGAGAGGAGAAATCAATTGCGCCGGGAAACGAGTGCGAGGAGCGCAGTTCAATGCACATTGAGTGCTCAATGGGGAGGAGAAGACACTCAGAGAAGCGTTCGAAGCTGCACACGCGCGAACACGCGCCACTGCCAGCGGAGTCACGCACCGACGAAGCAACCAGGAGCTCATCTTCAGTGGATACGTTTTCTTTAGAATGATGGTAAATATGAAGTGATACACGTTGAGTAGTACATTTAGCACGAAATTTAATATTACAAGGACATTGGAAGCGAGTACTACATGTATTGCATAAACGTACAGCAATGTGCTAAAGGAGTGATGGTAATCTCCGTCATCTAATTTTAGCAAGTGAATGTGTCAGTTCTCTTAATGGCTCAGCTTTGGCCAACGGAAGTGTACTTGTCCCCGCCTGCCGATACGCTGGCAGCGCCCGAGGCGGATGTGCAGCGGCTGGTATGGGCCGTTGCAGGCGTGTTTGTGGCCGCGTCCGTTGTGTCGTCTGCGTTACTGATCCGTGGCCACCTCAACCACTTCACGCAGCCAATCGTGCAGAGCAAGGTGCGAACTTGAATCCGCATGCTAATAGCTCCAGATGAAATACTGACTGGTTTATCAAACAATCTCACTGTAGATCGTAGGGATACTGTGGATGGTGCCGATCTACGCGACGGACTCGTGGCTGAGTCTGCGCTTCAAGGATGCCGCGCTGTATCTGGATCTGATGCGTGACTCGTATGAAGGCTACGTTATCTATCTCTTCCTGGCACTCATGATCGCTTACCTGGGCGGAGGCAGCAACGAAAGAGTCCTTACAACAATGAGAGGGCTACCAGATCTAGAACATCCGTGGCCATTTAACAGGTGGTTTAAACCCATTCAGATGGGACCCAGCTTCTTACGAGACTGCAAGATGGCAACGATGCAGTTCGTGGTGGTCAAACCCATGATGGCCTTTGTGGCCATTGTGCTCAGACTCAACGGTATGTACGATCAGGGCAATTTCAGCGCCAAAACAGGGTATCTGTACACGAGTCTGGTGGTCAACGCCTCCATCACGTACGCGTTCTACTATCTGGTACTGTTCTACCTGGCGCTAAGCACACAACTCGGGCCATACAACCCGGTCCCCAAATTCCTATGTATCAAGGCAGTGCTGTTCCTGTCGTTCTGGCAGAGTGTGGTTCTCGCTTTCCTGTCTCGTTTCCAGCTGATCCACGAATTGGGGTCTTGGAGTGTCGAGAATGTCACCACGGGCATTCAAAATCTGCTCATCTGCTTCGAAATGTTCTTTGTGGCTCTAGCACACCATCGAGCGTTCCCTTATAAGCCGTACGTTCACGGTAATCGGGCGCTGCGAACAAATATCCTGGCTGACCACCTCGCGTTCGAAGACGCCATGCGGGACTTCAACGAGGTTATGCCTGTCGTGCTGCCCACGCCTTTCAAACCTGGTGCAGCCACACTTAAGGCCAAAAAGAAGTACGATTTGGTTCATCCAAAAGATGTCTTCGTCTCAGAGACGGTAGGTCTACTAAGTGACGATGGAGCCACATCCGAGGCTGAGAGCGAATCATCTCTGGGCTCGAGAGCCTCCAGAAGCTCCAAAAACTCAATCGCAGTATCACGCGGCTGGAAGTTGTAAGACGCGATCCTCTTTTTATCTATTCGAACATTACACAACCGATATACACTCAAAACCGATTTTTTTCCCGCCATATTCTGACGCTTACAGGTCTTGCTACTGTTTCTTGTTGCTACGTACTCTGCATTGAACATCTCCAAACATGATCATGCCTTCTCTTTACGTATCTGGAAGTTACGAAGATCGTCTTGGCCTTTCAGCTCGAGACCCTTCTCGTTTGCCAGATGCAACACGCAAATGAAGTAAAAGGACACTGTCACATTCGAGGGCACCTAAAAGCCAAGTCACACAAAACAGGGTTAGAAACCCTAAAACAACTCAGAAAACCCTAAGAACAACAACATACCTTTCCGGCCACGTTCTCAACTACGCTCTTAAACGTTGTCTCATCAGCCTCCGGTTCGCGTGGACGTTTACCACTCTCATTTAAGGCATTTTCAGCATCGCCAGCCTCTTCAACGACTTCATCCTTACTAACCTTCTTCTCCAAGTGGTCCCAGATACTGCCCTTCAACTTCTTCACATCCACACGCTTGGCAAAGCGTTCATAGTGCACGCCAATCTTCTCCACGACACGATCGGCCTGAACCAGACCTTCCATTGAGTACAACGTTACTGGGGCAGGGTCGTCCACCCCGCTGGCGCCTTCATCTTCATCGTAATCCGGTTCAAACCCAGCGCTGTCCTCGTTATACGTGAACGGCTGTTCCCTATCGTGATCATCAGCAGCATCGACACTACTGTCTCCGAACTCAAAATCATTCGTCGAAACACCTTCCCGATGGCCACTGTCCAAGCCACCGCGCTTCCTAAAGAACCGCGTCCTCTCCTTCAAAAAGTGCCTAAAGAACAGACTCAGCTCAATGTGCGTGTCCACTGGCAGTACAAGATCGGACGCGTTCTCCGTCTGCTTCTTCAAGTTGCCCTTCGAGATTTCCAGACTCGAGGCAGACTTCGGCGCCTTAAGCCTCAACAAATCAGGCTCGTCACCAAAGAAGTCCACTGTAATCGCCTTCTTATCCACTCCAGCAGTACTTCCCTTGCGAGTACGTTCAGTAGCGGCTTCAATCGGCTCCGCCTTGATAGCAACGCCATCTATATCGACCTCTCCGTCCAGTCCGTCCTTGTCGACATCTTCCTGATTGCGCTGCTTCATCTTACGCACTGCAGGGAACTTCCAGTGGCCCGGACCAGCCCAATTCCGGAGCATCTTGACGTCAAAGTACGAGTAATCATTCTTGCCGTCTACGTCATCACCACCTTGTTCGTCGTCCACATTGGCAGACCGCACCAGAGCAGACTCAATCATCTGCGAGAAGAGATTGTTCTCGTAATTCTCTGGCAAATTCTCGTTCACTTTGGCTCGGAAAAAGTCTGCAGCACTGGACTTCAGCGACGATTCCTTGTCAAGCGTCTGAGCGCCTCGTTCAGTGCCATCCAAAGTGAGATCGTCTTGCACGCTGTCTTCGTCGTCACTTGCAGCCAAATCGATGACATTATTCTCCTTTTCCATGTCCGCATCGTCAGTAGCTTCGGCTTCGGCGACTTCCTCGGCGCCATCAACAGTGTCAGCGCCGTCCTCGTCAGCATCGTACGCTGCGTTGTCATCGCCAAAGTCCACTGACGTGTCCTGTGGAGCCTCTTCTCCGTCCGATTCGTCCTCACTGGCACCTTCCATGATGCCAGCTAGATTCATTGTGATGATATCCTGCTTGTCCAGCGTCTTCCGCCGTCCCTTGACAGGAGTCTTGAGCAAAAAATCGTTCTTGATACCCAGTTTGTGACGAGCTTCGTCTCCGTAAAACTCGTCCAGTTGATCGTACATGCGGTACAGCGGAGGACACACCTCGAGATTCTGGACGTCCTGACTGATGCAAGGCAAAGACCCGAAGATCGACAAGCTGATGCGCTCTTTGGTAGCTGGAGGCTTGTCTGCTTCCTTTGTCACTTCGTCGGGACTCTCATTGTCCTTAGCTTTCGTATCATCCACACCTTCTCCCTCATCATTTCCTTTACTCTGCTCTTCCTCAGTAGTAGTGGCATCTTCCGACGAGTCTCCTTTCTCCTTCTCGTCACCCTCACCTCCACCGACTTCCTTTTCCTCGTCTTGATCCTCCATAGCGACGTCTTCTTTCTCACCATCTTCACCCCCCTCCGTCTCTGTCTCTTCTTCCTTCTCTTCTTCCTCGCCTTTATTCTTGTCAGAGACGTTATCCTTTGACATGGCATCGTCAGTGTTCTCCTCCTTCTCGTTTTCCTCTGCTTTTTCCTTAAATTTAGCTGCAACCTCATGGATCGGTTTCCGCGTCACGACGCTCACATCCGACGAGTTCAACAAGATCTTGCAGCCATCATACACACTCAAATTGGCCAATAGCATTCCCTTGGCGCCTCCTTCATCGAAAGACTGCGACATCTTGTGGAACAGCGGATCTGCCTCACACTCGGTATCATACGCCTTCAGGTTGATGTTGTTCAGGTTCTTCTCGATCGTGCGTGCATGAGTCTTCCTCGTCTTACGAGACTTGGCTGTAGTAGCTCCGTCCTCACCGCCATCGTCCACGCCATGTTTCTGCTCTGTACGTGACAAGTTCTCTAGAATTTTATACGACGAATTCCACGTATCGTCCACTCGGTACGAGTAGATCTTGATACTCGCGTCCAGTGTACAGCTGGCCTTCTGGAAATTATACGTATCGTCGTCTGCATCTCCGTCCGCAGCGATTCTCTTTGACGAGTCCAGAATGTCCTCCATGTGGTCGATTAAATGCAGCGACCACGAGTTCTTAACGTTGATTTTCTGTTGTCATAACACCACAAAAATGTTAGTACTGTAGAAAGTATTTATCTTTCTCCACAATATTTTTTTCTTACGTTTTCCGAGGACATCTTGATAATGGTCGAGTACATGTCACTAATGTACTGTTTGCTGTGTGTCGGAGCGGCGTTGGATCCTCCTGCGCCAGCTCTCTTCTCGCTGGGCGTTAGAGACCGTCGACGCTGCTGGAAGGCTAGAGAACGGCGCTTACGGCGGCGACGGGCGATCTCTTCCTCGTCATTTTGAGACAGTGAGCGCTTCCGCTTGCCTGCAGTGCGCTTCGCCGAGTCCGACGGCTGCTGCGTCTTCTCCTCTTGCTCTTCCTCGTCCTCTGTGAGCTCGTACTGCTCCACGTCGCTCTCAGCGTCGCTCTTGGACTCGCCGCCTGTCGTCCCCATAGTGACGCTGTAGTGATTTGGCGCCGATTATTTCTGTGTGAGGGTTGACTTGAATTTAGTAAAGGGATTTTTTTAAAAAATAGGTGTAGGGTACAGAAATTAAATTCGGTGTTGCAATTTTGGTAGTGTAGCCACTTTTGTATTTGTTGCCTTTTTCGGTGTCAACATCGATGAAGCGATGGAGCATTTCCGACACAAGATCGAGGAGAACCCGATGGACGCCAATGCACATCATCATTTGGCAGTCTTGGCAAGAGCTGGAGGCGATGAAGAGACCCATGCGCGACATTCGCGCATTGCATGGCTCACTCGACAGGAAGGACCGGAGATCTTGAACGAGTTGGCACTCGCGCGAATGCAAGAGGAGAAACACGAGAATCTTCTCCGCCAGACCATCGCAAATTGGCCTACGTTTCCCTACGCATACTGCAATTTGTCGGTCCTTCTGGCTAAACGGGGTAAGTACACTGAGGCACTGACTCACAGTTCGACAGCGCTACAATTGTCCCCAAAAGAACCAAGGCTCCACCGGAACATTGCTCGGGTGTACGAACAGCTAGGCCGGTCGTCTGAAGCACTGGCACATTATCAACGAGCGTTAAGCTTAGCACCAGGCGATGCGGCAGTAGCTAAACGGATATCAATGCTCACGCTCGGACGAGGACGCACTGAAGTGGCTACTGAGCACTACAGCAAATACCGAAGCCTCACCGGACAGCACTACGACCTCAAGCTCTGATACGTTGCGGCTACAGATGATGAGAAGTTGAGGTGCTGCACTGTTCGCGTTCGTTGCGTAGGGATCTCTGCTCCGTTGGGTTCAGAAACCAACTCATTTTCGCTGACCAGAATTTACACTATCTTTCGTGTCTTTTAAATAAAACTGGACTGGATTCATGCGTATGGAAACTTTGATAGCATGCACGAACTAGATCAGCTACATGTTGCCCGAGTTGCACCTGACGTCACTTGACGTAGCCACGTCTTCCTCTCTTCGGCCAACGAAATCGGGAAGGAGGTGATACCTTCATAAAGTGAAATCTCATGCTAAATAAATCGATCGTAGTTGTTCGATGTGATATTTTCGGCGAAGAAGTACAGGTCTTTGTTTCCAGATGGCTACTAAATTTGAATAGTGCAGGTCAAGTAGGTCTGATGGGTGCCTCGAGCCTTACCGAGGCATCTCCAAAATGGTGAGAGATGACATCTGCCAAATCCTCCCCTGTTTTCTGTGTGTTCTATTGCTGGCAGGGTAGGCCTCGTACAAGAGCTGAGTTACTAAGGCCCGGCCCAGCTTCAGAGGCTCACAATACAAGTAGCTCTGACCTGACCCTATTCAGAAGTACAAAGTCGACAGGCCTTCCATCTTACCGCTCTCACTCTTCGCTCTCTCTCGCCTCACGAACCTCTACATCTGGCTGGCTGGCTTCCGGTGTAACACAAGCCCGAACAACAAGCTCTTCCCAGTCGCCATGAAGCGCTCGTTCCAGCAAGTGTCACCAGTCAAGTCCGACGTCGATGAAAACGCATCGACCATGGGAAGCGAGCCTGTTGCCAGCACTGCGGTAGCCCCCAGTCACGGCACCAACCTCTTCGGACGTGCACGGAAGCGCAGGGTACTGTGTCGTACCAAACCATCGACTCTCGAGATGAGTCCGACACTAAACAGTGGAAACCATCTCGCGTATTCATGGACGTCACCGCTTGCTGCTCCTCGGAGATGTGGCGACTTGGAGGCCAATTTAAAGGAGGAGGCGTTGCTGCGACTGGTGCTCTCGCTCCTTAACGTACGTGAGCACCAGATTATTCGGCAAACCAACCAGTCATGGCGACGACGTGTGCAGACTCTGGACGTGGATCGTCTCGACTTGTCAGCTAGAACATCACCGGTGTGCACTCGTACACTTAATCGTGCGTGCCGAGGAGTACTGCAGAACTACAGTCGCGTTCGTCGCATTGATCTATCGGGTCAACGTTCCATTACCGACCGCGACCTGCTCGTATTGACATCGAGCTTTTGGGCACACCTGGAAGAGATCGTTGCGGATGACTGTCTGGAGATTTCAGATTTTGGTTTGCTCGCAGTACTCAATGCACAGTCGCTTCGGTTGCGCTCGGTATCCGTGCGTCGATGCAAACGAGTGACCGGTGAACTGTTCGCAGCTCAATCCTCGCCATTGCAGCAGCTCACAGGAGCACACCCATCTCTGATCAATCTTAATCTGGACGACACAAGTGTGAGTCGAGCTTTCATTTCACGCATTGAGGCTCAGTTCCCAACGCTCCAAAGTTTGAGTGCTTTGCACACTCCAGCCCACCGATCGTTTTTCCAGCAAAACTCGACGTTGAACGCGCTGTTGCACGAACTGCAGTTGTTGGTGAGCAATGAACTCGTTGACTTGCCGTTGCTACCTGCTCTTCTCGATGAATTCAACCGGTGGTGCTGTGGCCGACGTGGACGTGAAGCTGGAGTCTTTGAACGAACTTTGGTTGCCAGTGGGTCTCGTGCGCTGTTAGACGTACCATTGCTCCTGTCTGGTAGCATCGATTCCACTATTGAAAGCCCCAATGAAGCGGAAGGCGACATGGTGCTGATGTCACCTCTGCTATACGCTTGTGCTAGCGGAAGAACGCGTCTCCTACCAGTTATTCTGGCAGCAGGACGCAACGGCACGGCGTTCGATTTGGAGAATACAGACGTCGACGGGCACTCGCCCTTGAGTCTTGCAGTCGCAAACGGTTTTACCGATGCCACACGACTGCTATTGCGAGCTGGATGCGACGTCAACACTCGTTCAGTGGGGTTAGCGTCTCCCCTCTACCTGACGAGTGAACAAGGCTGGGATGTTCTGGTGGACATGCTTCTTGACGCAAATGCGCAACGAGACTGTGCTGTTACCGGTGGCGCGACGGCTTTGTGTGCTGCTGCCAAGAACGGCCACCGGTCGACTGTACTGAGGCTTCTTGCAGCTGAGAGACAGGCTGAGGATGAAGGACAAGTTCGAGGGCGTACGAATAAGCAGCAGCAAGCTCAGGCTTTGTTCCTGGCCTGCGAAGGCGGCCACTTGTTCGTGGTGTCTGATCTCCTGCTGCTCACTGAATTGGACGCCAACGTTCTCATGGATGAGAACGTATCACCGCTCTACTTGGCGTGTCAAATGGGGTACGAAGCCATCGTCTCGCTACTACTAGAGCGTGGAGCGGACCCCTGTTTCCGTCGTCCGCAAGGTGGAGTGTCATGCTTGTACATCGCAGCTCAGGAGGGACATGACCAGATTGTGCGGCTGCTACTTCACGCAGGAGCTGACGCTCACGCCAAGATGGAAGACATGTCCACGGCACTGCACATTGCTGCTCGCATGGGACGCAAGGCTGTTTCCCGGACGCTGCTTCGCTGCGGGGCTCGTCTAGATGATCAGACCCGCTCCGGACTAACAGCGCTGTACATTGCAAGCGAGGAAGGCCACGTGAAGCTCGTCGAGTTTCTACTAGAGGTCGGTGCGGCACGAGACCTCCAGACAGCTAGTGGAGCGACGGCACTTGTCGCTGCAGCTCACCGAGGTCATTTTGCCGTGGTGGAGGCTTTGCTACTCGGCCGTGCAAGTGCCACAGTGACCAAGCACAACGGTATGAGTCCAATCGATGCTGCAGCACTAATAGGAGACGTCAAGATGACGCAGCTACTTCTAAACTTCGGCGCACGCGTGGGAGGCTTATCTCTGCACCTTGCAGAGCGCCGAAGGGATCGCAGTGATCTTCAGAATCTGCTGCGTACTCGCTACTACACTCAACACCTCCTCCCGCCTGTGGTAACTGCACCGACCACAGCAGCGGAAGAGACCACATCAGTCCGATAGAGGGATGAAAAGCGACGTAAATTATCTAGATAGCAATAGAGGTTCAGACTTCAACTTGTAACTTTTGTAAAAAAAAAATATTCATCAGATCACTACTGTAGATCCAAGATTTTATGCACTGTGAGAAGATACCGCGTGTTGCTCAACCTCCGCCTTCGGACTTGTCCCCTTCTTGCCAAATTTACTATCGATCTTATCAGCCATGTGATGCACAGCCTCCTTAGCACGAGCGGCGATCGAGGGTCTCTCGATGATACCAAGAGCAACCTGCACTTCAATGATCTGGCGCTGCAGAGGTGCAAATCCACTGAACTTGGCATCGCGAGTCGTGCTCACGAGCCACTCGACCTTGTCGGAGATCGTTGGTTTCTTGTCGCTGTGTTTGTTGGGAGTTGGGTGTTCTGTATCGTACGCATTGGCTACCTTGTGCAGGTCTGCCAGTGCATTGAATGTCTGCTCCATGGCTCTTCGAGCAGCGTTGACTTCGTTCACGCCAGCATCCTTATGGATATGGTCCGCCGAGTGTTTGAGATCCTTTACAACGTCCCTGGCGTGGTCGAGGCCATCGTAGAAGAACGATGCAGCCGAGCTCGACGTGTGCAGATGGTGCTTGTGATCAAACTCGGTGAGGTTATGCTTGAGAGCCTCCAGATAGGTCCAAGTGTCGTGTGCACTTTGGTGCAGTTGCGCCTGCAGTTTGGTGAGCTCCTGTTCTGCGAGAGTGTTGGTGATGGCGGTCTTCCCCATGGTCGACTTAAGCGCTTTCTGGAAATGAAAATGAGGAGGAATAATGAACCCACGCAGAATGATATCTCAACTGTCTCACTGCGACGAGCTCCTATTTTTACAAGAATAAAAACACTTTGTAGACGTAAAAATCAATCAAAATCAACTTCATTTTTTAAAATTACAGATATTTTACCTTATTTATTAAAAAAAAAATTAAAAATTATAAATAATTTTAATTTTAATAAAAAACATTTAAAAATTAATATTAATTTTTTAGATTCATTAATTAAAAATAATTATTATACAAATATATTAGAACAATATTCAAAAATATTAATTAATTCTAAAAAAATTATTAAAAATCAATCAAAATCATTATGATATACACAATTTTAAAATTTTTAATTTTAGTATTACCTTTATTAATTGCTGTGGCTTATTTTACTTTAGTTGAACGTAAAGTATTAGCTTCTATTCAAAGAAGAAGAGGACCTAATGTTGTAGGTACTTTTGGATTATTACAACCGTTAGCTGATGGTCTTAAATTATTTGTAAAAGAAACTATTTTACCAAGTAATGCTGATGTAATTTTATTTATATTTGCACCAATTTTAGCTTTTTTTTTAAGTTTATTAAGTTGGACTGTTATACCTTTAGGATTTGGTATGTTTTTTACTGAATTAAATATAGGTATTTTATATTTATTAGCAATTTCATCATTAGGTGTTTATGGTATTATTATTGGTGGTTGGTCAAGTAACTCAAAATATTCATTTTTAGGTGCATTAAGATCAACAGCACAAATGATTTCATATGAATTAACTATTGGATTTTCAATTCTTTCAGTAATTATCTGTGCTAAATCTTTAAATTTAATTTCTATTGTTTTAGCACAAAAAACTGTTTGGTATTGTTTCCCTCTTTTTCCTATTTTTTTAATTTTTTTTATATCTTGTTTAGCAGAAACAAATAGACACCCTTTTGATTTGCCTGAAGCTGAAGCTGAACTGGTTTCTGGTTATAATGTTGAATATTCGGCAATGGGATTTGCATTATTTTTTTTAGGAGAATATGCGAATATGTTATTAATGAGTAGTTTAACTACTATTTTATTTTTAGGTGGATGGTTAGCACCTTTTCCTTTTAGTATTAAATTTATTAAATTCTTACCAGGATCTTTTTGGGTTTAGTATTAGAGTATGGTTTTTTTGTTGTTT